TTAACTGGTCGCGAGACACTACCGTGTCTCTTGATTAAAATTTTCCAATTCAAGATAGAAAGATGCTTATACTGCTGTATAAGATTTTTTTGGATATTTGGGTTCAAAAGATGAAAATAGGAGAGATATACTATAATTAAAGGAGAAGTATATTTTTATTTATATTTTATGATTTATTGTATTAATATACTATATATTTATTTTTTAGGATATCAAGGATATCTGGTATAAAATAGGATAACAGGACCAGAACAAGAATTTTTCTTTTTTTCACAGGAACCAATCTAATTATCCAAAATTAGTAAAATATATTATACGACATTTCTAAAAGGACAAGAATAGGAAAATAGGTGTATAAGATGTTAAAATTTATTTCTGCAAGAAAATCTATCTAGCTATCTCTCTTTTGGATCAATAAAGTTAATTAAGAGGAAAAGAATGATAATGGTAAGAGCCATTAAAAGAAAAATGAAAACAGTATGATTCAAAAAGTAATATATTAAGAAAATTGCAGAATTAATGATAGAAGCAACAGTGCAAGATATAGGAGTATGATTTTATGTTGCGCAAATATTCATATCATTTATATTGATCCTTAATAAGGATCAACAATAATTGATCCATTAGAAAATTCTATCTTGAATTGATTAATTAGCAAGATTTCAATCAGGTAATGATTTAAAAAAAATTTTCTCTACAAAATAAAACTTTTGAAGTCGTACAATTTGTTATAAAATACAATTCACACAATTTCAATTTAATAATGAAATATTAGAAAAAAAATATCCGAAAAACTTGGTCACACTGAATCCAGATCTTCAAATATTTCTATAAAATCTGGATTCTGAATTTTGTCCCTCCTCTCAAGTCCTAAATCCTTAGGTTATATATTAGAAAATTTCAGATTCTCAAATCAGATTATATAACCAAATTTATAATTTCTTGAAGTCAACAGGTCTTTGTGCAAATTTCTGCTACCTATTGTGTAAAACAAAAAAAAGTATCGAGCAAAACATTGCACAATATATACATACAGGGTGTTCGGTAACAGGTGGGCCAAAATGTAAGGAGTGATTCTACATGATAAAATAAGACGAAAATCAAGAATGACAAAATTGCGTTCGAGACTTCGTTTATTAATTATAAATATTTTACACTTTGCAAAATATACATCAACTGTTACGATGTAAGTTTTTGTATACTTATGCGTCACAGTGTATTTTGACGGCGACTCTACCGATGTACCTTACGCACGCCAAATATCGGAAAATTGCCGTGCGTCAGGCACCCTTAATGCGAAGTTTAAAATATTTATAATTTTTTTTAATCATTTTTTACGTGTTCCCAATTTTTGCCATCATGTATCTTTAAAAAATTCTATTAAAGTAAATTCTATCTGAAAATTAACTGAAGCAGGATCTATTGTGTGACTTTGTCGCAGAGAAAGAATTATCATGAAACTCGCAGAAAATCATCATAGATCATATGTAGAAGAAAATTGATTCTTTGCAGAACATAATTATTATGAGACTATCACAAAAAGTAATCAAAACATGATTTTGTTAATATATATGAAAAGCTCACATTTATTATTAAAAGAATGATCGAAAGAATCATTGACTATCAAAAGACTATCAGCAGGAAAGGTTTTTTATAGAATTATGGAATCATTGTGGAACTTTTTTGTTGCTAGAAAAAATTATAGAATTTCATCAAGAGGAGATTCATTATGGAATTTAATCCAAGAGCAGGATTATTATATGACTTTGTTGCAGAAAAAGAATTATCATGAAACTTACAGAAAATCATGGATTATTATAGAAGAAGATTGGCCTTTTTTGCAGAAAAGACTATGAGATTTTATTGCAGAAGAGAATTATTGTAAGACTTATCGCGCAAAAATGATCGAAACATTGAACTTTATCTTGAAAAAATATTTTTAATATTTTGTAACAAAAAAAGATCACTATAGAATTTCTTATTGCAGAATAAAAGAATCATGTGATTATTATTGTATATAGTCTTCGTATTTTGATCTCTGAATAGGATTACTATGAAACTTCTATATAGAAAAAAATCATCTTGGAATTAAAATTTTAGAGATTACTAAAAGAATATCACGAGATTTTACTAAAAAAGATCTACACTGTAAAACTTTGTTACGCAAGAAGATTATCATAGGACTTTGTCACAAAAGAGAATGGAGCTTTGTTGAGAATGATGATAATTCACAAAAAAATATATATTTTAATACTTTATCACGAAGCAAAATTATTGTGTGATTTGCCACATCTCCAGTTCTTAATAGAATTATAATAAAAAAAGAAATAAAAATTATCATGGAATTCTATCGCATAAGAAAGTTAATTATTATGAGAAAAAGAGAATCTCATAAAACAAAACTATTGAAAAAGTTTATCCATGTTGATTATTGCAAAAAAGAATTATTAGAGAAAAAAAGATGTATTACTTTTTAATGTCATAAATTAATCTTAGAGTCTTATTAAATATTATTAATATGAAATTAATAAAAGTAACTTAATAGGCCAACAATCGAGCAAAAATTAGGTGTAAATAAAAACTTTTTCTTTATTATTAATATCTTTCACATGTAAACATTTAATGTAAGCATTAACTTAAATAAGGACACTGAGTTGCTCGATAGCAGTTATTTTGACATTTTCGATAAATTATCTTAGTCACGACAAATAAATATAACAGCATAGACATTAATTTACACCGACGTTCATTTCTCATTTTAACTTTGACTTTCAATCGTATAACAACAATTATATAATGTTTGTGACTCTTATGATATTTTAACTAATTTATCGATTAATTGTTTCAACATATGGACATAGAATGCGGATTATTACGAAACTCGTTGAATTCCAACTTTTGACTGTGCGGATTTTTTAAGATAATGACTCATAAAGAAACTTTAACCATCTTTTCCTTTGCCTATCAACGAGGAATTATGCCAAAGGTTTTCTTGAACGACTTGTACAAAATTGTTTAGAACATTTTACTGTATTGGCGATATCCGAGTTTTGAATTGACATAGCTTTCTCTAATTAAATATTTTCGATACCACATTACATCATATGTTTTTTATATCATATAATTTTATATCATGTTTTAATGTTTTATTAATTTTTTATTTTGTATTGAAAAAGACCTTACTGAGGTCGAAACGTTTACACGTAAAGGATATTAATAATAAAGAAAAAGTTTTCATACGCCTAATTTTTGCTCGATTAGTTGGCCTATTAACAATAAGTTACTTTTATCAATTTTGAATTTATGCGAGATTTTACTTTCTGAATATTATTAATATGATTTCATAAAAAACTTGTGGAATTTTATCATAAAAAATATTGTTATTTTGCTGCAAAACAGGATTATTTTTATAATATACTTCTAATAAAAGACAAGAATTATGTAAAGTTTAAATACAATTATATAATTCAATTTATTGATATAAAAATTTAATATATATATAGCAAATTTATTATAAATATTGAATTTTACATAATTTTTAAATTACGCGATTATTGTTTTTTATTTATAATGAAAACTTTTACATAACAATTTTAAGTTGAAGTTTTAATATTACATAAAAATATATGCATCATTTCAGTAAAGTTTTCTATTTTTTCTTTTGTAGCTACTTATATTTTTTATGAAGAATTTATCTATATTTTCCAAGCATTTTATTTTGTATATAAAACATATATGGACTTAAAATAGCATGGGATTTAAATTTATTTATTATTTCTTGATCATAGTTTTTCTCTCTTATATTATATTACTTGAGTTTTAAAAAACATTTAGCAATTATCGATATCCCTTATAAAAATTTATCACTAGTAACGCCAATTTATCACTTATTTCGAGTATTTATAATCACTTATTTTGAATACTTAAATTACTGAATATCAGTATTTTAAGCACTCGAAATAAGTGATTAATTGGCGTTACTAAGTGATAAATTTCTACAATAAGGGATTACCCAGACAGCACCAAATCCAAAATCGGCATAAGATATCTTTAAAATATATTTAAGATGTCTTTCGGATATCATATAAGATTTCTTAAAGCTGTCTTAAAGATTTCTTATAATGATATCTTATGCGCCAATTCTGGGCTTGGTGCTGTCTGGGTACCCAAGTAGCACACTGATGTTATTAAATGTCAAAGTGACATCATTTTATTGGGTATTTTTCAAAAAATTTATTTAATATTAGAATTGTAAATTATGAATTTTTTTGTTTTAATATTGTAAAGTTGAATAGAGTCAATTATAGGCTCGGTTCCACAATTCGCTTTAAGGCTGGGGATCTCTCAACAAATGACGAACACCGACAAAATAGCAGCACACATATCCAAAAGTGATAATAATATATATATATATATATATATGTGTGCAGAACAAGCGGCAAAATTTTTCAAGTTTTGTTCTTCCTGCACCGTTATGTGCAAAAAAAAGAATATCTTAGCAGTATATTGAACAATAATATAAAAATAAAATAAAACAAGATACAAATTTATTTTCTGCGCTGATATATATATATATATATATATATATATATATATATAGGGTGCCCGGTAAGTGTTGCCTCAACCGTCGTGTCCAGGTAGAGTAAGTTAAACCGAATAGGAAAGTCCTCTACCGTTTTGCGATTTTCGCAATAATTATTGAGTTATTAAATAAAAAAGATCGGCCAATTCACGCGAATAGAAGCGCGCGACGAGAAGAGACGTCTTACTGTAACACGATACACGAAGATTTTTCGAATACGATTCATAGACAGTCATCGTTCGCTCCTCCTTCCGCTTTGCGGCGCGCCGTGTATAGTGTTACAGTAGGACGTCTCTTCTCGTCGCGCGCTTCTATTCGCGTGGATTGGCCGATCTTTTTTATTTAATAACTCAATAATTATTGCGAAAATCGCAAAACGGTAGAGGACTTTCCTATTCGGTTTAACTTACTCTACCTGCACACGACGGTTGAGGCAACTTACCGGACACCCTGTATATATATATCAGAGACAAACATGAGAGCGGCTACCGGGATTTAGCGGCCGTGTGTGCTAGCAGCTGTATATATTTATAATTGTTGGTGATTTTTATAATTTATGTCTGTAATTTATAAAATAAAGTATAGAAAACTATGGAGTGTTATTCCCAGCGTAAGTATATAATGCCAAATCGTATAAAAATATACAGAATACTTATTTCCTAACCTAACCTAACCTAACATTAATAATATATATTTTGTATTATTAATATTGATATATATTTGATGATGAAGTGCGAAAATAATAAAATGAAATAATTATAAACTATAAAATTGAATATAAATTGTAAAAATAATTCATTAAAATATAAAATTAAAATTAATTATTTGACACTACAAAAAAATATTAATAAGTTGTAATTAAATTAGATTTAGCGCAGTTTGCGAGTAATAACCTAATATATATAAATAATACCTATATTCTGAAAATATATTTTAAATGAATTACAAAATTTATTATAATAAAATGTTATTTTATTATTCCTTAAATTGATATTTTAATATATAAAAATACACAAATAAAAGAAAAAATAAAATAAAGATTATTTGTATGACTTTAAAATTATTTATTAAAACATTTAAATAAAAACAATTATTTATGAGTTTAATAATTTATTTATAAGAAAGAAAAAGAGATAAATGACGAAATCCGGTAATAATCAATTATTACTGGACACTATATATAAGTAACATAATAATATATTGTTTTATTATGAATTACAAAACTTGTAAGAAAAGGAATTGTTTTTTTTTCTAAATATGTTATTTCTTTTTTACAGAAAAACTCTTGATAGAAGCTTTCCGCACTGACTGCAAGACATTGATAACACGTTTTGAACTGACTTATAACACTCACTTTCAAAACTTTTGTGAGATCTGGAAGGAAATGCAATTTAGCTTAGTTTTTAGGTATGTATATTTTATTTTTTTTTATTAGAAAAAAGGCGCTTTTTCCTCTAAGAAACTTCATTATATTATTTTAACTCTTGTGTTGTTAAATTTATAAGTCTATCGGAAAAAGGCTACTAATAAAATTTAATAATTTGCAGTTGTCATCCCTCTGAAGGAGCTTTAATGTCATTTTGCGAAGATGCTCTTTGTGTAACAAAGCAACTTCTTATAAATAAATGCAGCTTAAAAGAGCGTATTGGAGCTCTGTATCTTATGTATTCAATCTACTATAAAATGCCAATGGATCAGTTAAAAATTAGAATGACCATGTCAGACTGGAAATGTGTAATGGAGTTGCATAGTGAAATCAAAAAGGAGGAATATCTTGATGCTAATTACATCTTGTGCAAGTTGATCGTTGAGCATGCATTTGTTCTTTGCATCAGCGACAGAGAGGTAAACAATTTGTAAAAATTACAAAAACCTGATATATGTCAAGAACTATGATATTTATAAATATTAAAAATATAAATATTTACAAATAAATATTTTAATGAATATTAAAAAAATATTAATAATAAATATTAAAAAATTAATAGATATTAAAAATGTATTTTTATTCACAGTATGGCATTGAGAGGCACTTTTATAAAAGGCAGGAACATCCTAAATTGGACGTCAATTTGATGCCAGAGATTAAGGATCTGACAGCGCCTGGGAAACTGTTGTCATCAATCGGCAGATTGAGCAAAATCTATGAGGAGAAGAAACGTCTTTTATACGACGCAGAGGGAGATTCTAGCTTGCAACTCTATGACGCCAACATGGCAGATGATATCGTTAATAACATTCGCATAATGCAATCTGAGAGTAGGCTATTTGCCAAATCCAACACGGATCCAGAGCCGAGTTGTAGCAAATCAACAGCATCATCGTCAAATAGCGAAGCTGTTCAGAAAGGTCAAAAACGGTAAGTAATTTTATTTCAAAGAGATAGATGATAATAATCCTACAGGAAAAATGTGTAGACTAAGGAGATAAAATAAATTTAAAAATTAAATTTTTGTAGACTTAATTTTTAAAAAATATTTTGAAATCGAGCTTATAATTTTCAGATAAAATAGAGTTTTAAAGGGGGGGGGGGGGAGAATAAGATCACTAAATATAAAATATTTTTTAAGATCCTTTGAAGATTCTTTCGACTTAATTACTTTAAACTGAATAATTTATATATAAGACGTTTCGCGTCAAGCGGGCCACCTCTCCTTTCAAAAATTAACGCAATGGAAAAAAAACGGTCTTAAAATATTTGTACATTTGTATACTTTTGAAAGAAATGTGGTCTTTTTAAAAATTTAATATGATTCCAATATGGCGCCTAAAATCCGTAAAAGTCACGAATGATCATACAATATATTTAATTAAATTGCGAAATTTAACAAATTAACTTGAAAATAATGAGGTTTAAGGTTTTCGAGATCGTTCAGTGTGAATCTGAAGAAAAATATAAAAAATGGTGGCTATAAGGCCTATGATCTTTGTTTTATAAGTAATGGAAAATCACTCGAATCAGCTTGAAAATGATTTCTAAAGTTTTCGAAATTGTTAATTACAAATCTGCAGTCAATTTTGCACAATTAAAAATGGCAAATTTAGTATGGCGGCTTCTAACTCATTTTCCATCGACTTATAATATAGACAACACAAGTTGAAATTTAATCTCAGTTTGAAAGAACAGCAACGACAACTCATATCGATATCTGTCTTTTTGCAGTAAAAGCCGTCATACTAAATTTGCCATTTTCAATTGTGCAAAGTTGACTGCAGATTTGTAATTAACAACTTCGAAAATTTTAAAAATTAAGCCGATTCGAGTGATTTTCCATTCCTTACACAAAGATCATTGACTTTATGGCCGTCATTTTGAATTTTATAATTTTTTTCAGATTCACAATCAACGACCTCGAAAACCTTATACTCCATCATTTTCAAGTTGATTTGTTAAATTTTCGCATTTTAATTAAATATATTGTATGGTCATTCGTGACTTTTACTGATTTTAGGCGCCATATTGGAATCACCATATTGAATTTTTAAAAAGGCCACGTTTCTTTCAAAAGTATACAAAAATGTATGAATATTTTGAGACCTTAAACGTTTTTTTCCATTGCGTTAATCTTTAGAAGGAGAGGCCCGCTTGACGCGAAACGTCCCATATATATATATACAGGATGTCCGGTGAGTCGCCTTTAACAAATTAATGAGAGATTTCTGAGGTGATTTGGAGACGATTTTTCCTCAGCGAAAATGTCCAGGCACCAATAATTTTTGAGTTATAAATGATTGAAAATAAAAGTTTTTTTGTAAACTAAGCCTTGTAAAAATAAATTATTAACAAAACTACATTTTTAGTTAATTTCAGATAAAGTTTACTGTAATAGAATTTTAATTCAACGCTTAGTTACATAGATATATGATTTCAAAAATTGGGAACATTAAAAAAATGATAACTTTTCTTATCATTTTTGCTGAGGAAAAATTGTCTTCAAATCGCCTCAGGAACTCCCATTAACGTGTAAAACACGAGTCACCGGACACCGGTATACGAGTATACATAAATAATGCTATACACTAACACTGAGACGAACAGTACCTCGTCAGTGACACTAATATATTTAATTTAATTAAAATTATATATATCATATACAGGGTGTCCCATTTAACTTGAGACAACTAAATATTTCGAAAAATAAGCATTGTATGAAAAAATGTCCCAAATAAACTTTTAACATTATCAAGGGGGACGTCTGCCTGTGTAAAAATTAACCCACCCCCACCGCCCCTTAGGGGTGGGGCGGGTGTCAACTTTGAAATTTTAAATGGGAACCCCCATTTTTTATTGCAGATTCGGATTCCTTGGAAAAAAATACGTAAGTTTTGTCCGAGACATTTTTTCGAATCGTGATAGATGTAATCAGTAAAAATTAGTTTTTGCCATTTTCTCTCACCATCGGGGTGCTTTATTTCGGTGAGTCCCTTCGCCTCTCACCATCGGGGTGCTTTTATTTCGGTGAGTCCCCTCGCCTCTCACCATCGGGGTGCTTTATTTCGGTGAGTCCCCTCGCCTCTCACCATCGAGGTGCTTTATTTCGGTGAGTCCCTTCGCCTCTCACCATCGGGGTGCTTTATATCGGTGAGTCCCCTCGCCTCTCATCATCGGGGTGCTTTATATCGGTGAGTCCCCTCGCCTCTCACCATCGGGGTGCTCTATTTCAGTGAGTCCCCTCGCCTCTCACTATTCAATTACAATAAATGCTCGAAATGATGACCTTCCATTTCGATGCATTTATTAACTCGACCTTGGAATGCTTGTACACATGTAGAAAGTGTATCTGGCGTTATTTGTGCGCAAGCATATCTAATACGTTCCATCATTTAGTTAATAAATGCATCGAAATGGAAGGTCATCATTTCGAGCATTTATTGTAATTGAATAGTGAGAGGCGAGGGGACTCACCGAAATAAAGCACCCCGATGATGAGAGGCGAGGGGACTCACCAAAATAAAGCACCCTGATGGTGAGAGGCGAGGGGACTCACCGAAATAAAGCACCCCGATGGTGAGAGGCGAGGGGATTCACCGAAATAAAGCACCCCGATGGTGAGAGGCGAGGGGACTCACCGAAATAAAAGCACCCCGATGGTGAGAGGCGAGGGGACTCACCGAAATAAAAGCACCCCGATGGTGAGAGAAAATGGCAAAAACTAATTTTTACTGATTACATCTATCACGATTCGAAAAAATGTCTCGGACAAAACTTACGTATTTTTTTCCAAGGAATCCGAATCTGCAATAAAAAATGGGGGTTCCCATTTAAAATTTCAAAGTTGACACCCGCCCCACCCCTAAGGGGCGGTGGGGGTGGGTTAATTTTTACACAGGCAGACGTCCCCCTTGATAATGTTAAAAGTTTATTTGGGACATTTTTTCGTACAATGCTTATTTTTCGAAATATTTAGTTGTCTCAAGTTAAATGGGACACCCTGTATATTATATAAAATATATATCACATAAATTACTTATAAAATATATATTATATAAAATACTTATAAAATTTTATATATATATATATATATATATATATAATGCTATACACCAATATTTCATAAAAATATTTTTCGATTACCTTGATATATTTATGCGTAAAATAATGAGAAAAATTAATTGGTGTAAAGAAAACACATAGTTGTTTTTAAGGAAAATTACATAATTTATAATTAGCAGTTACATATTTTTCCTTAAAAATAACTGTGTTTTACACCAATTGATTCCTCTTATTATTTTGTGTATAAAAGAATTAGGGTAAGGTAACCAAAATATAAACATTTTATGAAATAATTTCCAATTTATGTTTTTAAAATTAAAGTCCAAAGTAATTCATAAACATTAAATTTTTTGACCACCTTAGCTGCATAATTTTTTATGCCGAATATTATTGTGAGAAATCGATCTATATAAAAAAAATTAGGTTGACCTTCAAATTACTGAAAAATGACCTTAGTTAAAATTCAAGATTATCCAATTTTTTTCCTCCTAAATATTACTTAATAATAATATACTAAATTACTAATATACTAATCATTCTTTTACAGTATTCGATTTCGCAAGAATAGTATTTTGTCCAAGATAGGGCGAGGATTTGAAAAAGGATTTAAATCAGAATCCGAAGAAGAACAGGATTCGGAGATGGATTTTCTGGATGACACATGAGAAAGCTCGACATTATTTTACAGAAACAAATGTAAAAAATTATAATATATTCAAAAGACTTCATTCAAGTATTATCTCAAATGTACATACAGATATAAAAAAAGAAAAAAAAAGTTTTTTTACTTTTCGATTAGTTGACAAATAAACATTAATATCATTAATTATAATTACTTATAATTATATCATTAATTATAATTATAAATCAAAGAATTAAACTATAGCAAAATGAAACAATTTTCTAAACATAAAAAATAGGCATAATTGAAGAATTTAATGTAAAAGTAGTCGAATTTATCTTTCTTAAAACTTAAAAGTGATATAATTTTTAATTTTATTTTTTTTAATATAAAATAATTATTGTTTTGCATCAAACTGCTCAGTTTTATTTCGCCATTAAATACTGTACTATGTATGAAGAAACGCTTTCTCTCTAAAAATTGAAATCATCAGTAATTGGTATTTATTTTTCTCTTTTGCAAGTTTTTATAAAGTTTTGATTAATATATATAAAACAGAAAACCCGCACAGGAAAAAAGTTTCACTGTGAATTCATAATTATTTATAATTAGGAATTTTTTAAAAGTTTTAACAAACTCTAAACATTAGTGTTTTTCCCAAAAACTTTGAAAATTAATGTACGAACAATATTTAGAGTTTAAATAAAACAGAAATTAGTTTACATGTCATTTAATTTGACAAAAATAAACAAAATTGAAAAAAATTATATTTAAAATTATATATATTTTTGCAACGAAATTAAATGTACAAGAAGATTTTAATATTTCATAATTTAGGAAGCAAAAGTAGTCATTTTAAATAATCAAAATAACATCGAAATGGCTACATTTGCTACTTGAGAAGATTTTCGAGATTTACACAAGTATCGTAAACATTCTTTATTTCTCTAGAAAATTATTTAAAAATTTTTGTCACGCGTTTGAAAATCGCCTGTCATTAATAGAAGAGACCTTGAGACCCTGTTTTTCAGGTAGCAAACGTACATCATTTTGACGTCATTAAACGTCAAAATAATACCATTAGACGTCATTAAACGTCAAAATGACATTATTAAACGTCATTAGACGTCATTAAACGTCAAACTGACGTTTATCTTTTAATTTTGACGTTTAATGACGTCAGTTTCCCAAGGAGAACAGAAGGTCAAAATGATGTCAATTTGACGTCATATTGACTAAATATTGACCAAAAATGACATAAATTTAGTCAATATGACATCATTTTGACTTTTCTGTTCTTCTCGGGTTGCTACGTGGGTTAGTAATCCGAGTTGGGATTACTCGGTTTTGTAGGCAAACCCAGCAGGAATCGAATCTTGCTCTTATTAATAAACCTTCAACTGATTATTGTCATCGAAACCGGCGCTATGACCCGCGTTTCTCACTATAAAGCTGGTACCATCGTAGTGCATGCGACGTTCACCGCGACGCACGAACAGATGCGAGGTTTGACCCAAAGATGCGGTGCAGTGCAGGAAGGGCGTCGTCAAGGATGCTGTGCCGTTGCTGGGCGATGTGCGTAATTGATATTTGTTGCTGTTTCGCGCAATCCTGTTGTACAATGAAAATATTAGACGTATACAAATATCATAAATAGAGAAGTTTTTGTCTTATGCTATGTTCTAGACCTTCTGGATCACCCATTAAGATTTCTGGCTTCTCGTCGACAGTGTTGTGCTTAGATGATTTTAAAATTAAATATAGATAAAGATGAGATAAAAATATGTAAATTCATCTTAGATAAGGTAAAGATGATATTTATATTTTAAATGTATCTAGATAAAAGATAAAATTATATGACAATTCATCTATATATAACTGCTTATCTGGAAGTTATTTAAATAAAATCGTCAATTTTATTATATCTTTTATCTAAATATATTTAAAACAAAAGCATCTTCATCTTATCTAAGATGAATTTACATATTTTTATCTCATTATTTAACCTAATTAATTTCGAGGCAATTAAAAATTGTGTTAAAGCCATCTCAAGTATTGTATAGTGTTTCATCGAAATATCTTTTCATTTAAAAATGGCATCTAAAAATTTTCAGCATGTATATGTTTTCTGGCTCTGACGTCACAATCTAACATGGCCGCGGCGATCCAGCAGTCTTAATCATTTTTGTTTTTATGTAATTTATATTGTAGTCTCCTTTTTTTTATTTTTAAACCGGTTAGAAACATACCTGACAAGACCATCGGGAGTTTGGGATATTCTAATATTGTTGATAATCCAATTCTCAACCCCTTCATCTGTTTGCCAATACTGAGCCGTATTGAGATGTGCCGCAGCTTCTTGTAGACAAGTTGGTCCATGACGAGACTCCGAGTAAAAGACACTCAGCGAGAAGTCCTGTGATATTCATCAAAAATTGCAAAAAAAATAAGTCTATATTTAATTCCATATACAGGGTCATCGAAAAGTATCGGACCTCTCTAATATTTTTAGTTAGAATGCATTTAAGAGAAAATGTCCAATAGCAAAGTTGTATGGCTTTAAACGAGGAGTAAGGTGATGACCTTGATTTTCACCTTGACCATGTTCTTCAAGGTCACTTCCAGATTAACTTAATATTTTAAATGGAATCCCCTACTTTTTATTGTATATTCTTATAGCTTAATTATCTCAGAACCTTTCCAACACACTGTAATAAAATATTTTTTCATTAAGTACTTTTTGAGTTATAAAGGTTTAAAGTTAAAAATTTTGGGACAAAAAGTTTGTTGATCTTCTGGAATCCGAGATCAAAAATAGGGGTTCTCATTTAAAATTTTATAGTTGACCTTTAAATTACCTTGAAGAACACGATCAAGGTCAAAATCAAGGTCATCATCTTACTCCTCGTTTAAAGCCGTACAACTTTGCTATTGGACATTTTCTCCTAAATGCATTCTAATCAAAAATATTAGGAGGGTTCGATATTTTTCGATGACTTTGTATAACTATAGAACGGTACTAATTATCCAAGTAACAAATTGACGTCATTAGATGTCGAATGATGTCTTTTTGATGTTTACTGACGTCATTTGACGTCAAAATGACGTATGCTTGCTACCTGGATACCCGCAGTAACAACTGAGGTCATTAAACGTCAACATGACATCATTAAATGTCATATAATGGCAAACGTCAAAATGACGTCATTAGATGTCATTTTGACGTTTAATGACATCAATTTGCTACTTGGGTTATAAGAAGTCTTTTGAATCAGCTGATTCAGAAGCGTAAGACGAAAAAGTTCCTTTTGCTGGTTCTATACCTGACTCATATCCGAGAAAGAGTCCGTCGTGGTCCTGGTCCCAGCTGTGTCTACCAGATAAACGAGAGCGCATTGCTCTGACGTAAAACTGACTCCTTTGTACCACATTTTCGCATATCTAATAAGAAGCAAAAGATACTGAAACTGACGCGATCGGTTAAACGAATTGATGATTAGCAAGAGAACTTGTCCGAACTGACTTGTTATTGCCGTGCATGTCGTGGGCGACGATCTCCACCCGGGAACCGTATTGATATATCCTACCATTGGGATGTAGTAAAGCGGCAGCCGCTCCGGAGCCGCTCAAGGAAAGAACAATATTGTTCTACAAATTAAATCTAAATCTGAGTTGATACACTTTTATTTCGTCCAGTGCCCCGCACTAATCTTACGTGAAATGTGTTAAATCAGCTTTTTTCAGATTAATAAATGACGTCATTTTGACGTTTAATGACATTAGTCTGCCACCTGAGATATTATAATCACCGATATTTTTATAGAGACGAGTTACCTTAAAGTTGATAACCCTGACGGCGCGATCAATGGTCATATCCACGCGTATTCTATTGTGCAGCCTCAACGATATAGTGCCATGGGGGGTGGCAACGACGCTGCCGACCCCGGCGTCGGTGTCATGCTCCCTCCAGTTTTCCGTATAAATGGAAGCCTCGTCAGCTGCGTAGTAAGGTCCGCCGATCGACTTCCTGGGCTGTCGCCAGATCGCCGCCGATCCTGAATACCCGGTTCCTCCGCCGTTCCACTGTTCGGCCGGGGGTTCGAAGTACTTAGACAACTCGTTGTATCGCTGCAAGATTCGGAAGAAAGTATTCCAAGTATCAAACTGACGTCATTATATGTTATAATGACGATAATAAAATATACGTTATAATGACGTCATGGACGTCAAAATGATGCCATTAAACGTCAAAAAACGTTCATTAAGCGTTTATATAATAACGTTATTCGACATTAAAATGATGTACACTTGCTACCTGGGATGAGTACAAGATCAGATGGCGATAAATCTCTGCATAAATGTGTCTCTTTTTTATAGGGTGTAACTGAATTACAAACATAAGGAGCGCACCACTAAATTCTCTGGTTAATTTGGAAACGATTTTTTCTCAGTGAAAATGTCGAGGCACCAATAATTTTCAAGTTATCAATGATTGAAAAAAAGAGCTTCTCACAAATTAAATTTTGCAGAGTTAAAATATTAACAAAACTATATTCTTGAGTTAATTTCAAGTTGAGTTTATTTTAATAGAATTTTAATTTTTAAGGCTTATAAAAAGATACGAAATGGCAAAAATTGGGAACATGCAAAAAAATGATGACTTTCCTCGACATCTTTGAGGAAAAATCTTCTGCAAATTGATCAGAGATCCATATGTTTTATATCATCATACTTTATACAATTTTGATAATCCGAGAGAAAATATTTATGCTTCCAATATTCCAGAAAAAAGATTTTGTAGAAAATTTATGGGAGGGGGAGAAACAATAGTAGACAAAATTTTGAAGAAAAAGTTTCTTTTATATTAATTAGTATTTTGTTATTTTCACAAATAGCTATTATAATAGCAGTATTTTTATTTTTAAAATTATAAGAAATTTTTTTTTTTTTAAATAAGTGATTTTTCAGTGCATGAGACAAGGTTTTTTATTTTAATAAATAAGATTTTGTAGTATTTTTTCTGTTTTTTTTTTTTATATTCTTGTGCTCTGTTTATCTTTTTTATCTTCATTTATTAGTATTTGTAAATTTTTAATTTCGAAATTATCTTTAATAATCTTAATAAAGTATATCTCTATACAATTTAATCCCTTATTTTTTTAACGCATGCTTTTTTGTAACAAATGGTAAAATATCTTTTTTTATTATCATATTTTAAGAAATCAAAACAAAATTTTTAAATTACATTATGAGACAAGTTTTTTATGACATTTAAAATTTCGTAATATTTCTTTTCTTGGATATCTTCTTGTCATTTTTATTGTTTATTGAATTTTTATATTATTTTCACAACTGATATTTTTGGATTCAATCTTGATTAAGTATCTACGATTTAATCCCTTAATGCATGATTTTTGTAACAAAATTAAAACAAAATCATTTTTTTCATCAAATCAAATATTAAAGAGTTTGCATGTTAAGAAGTTAAATTTTTTATAATTATTCATGTCCAAAATTGAAATATAAGACATTTTTCAGAACTTTTTAAAATATCTTATATAAGACATCTTATAAAATATGATATCTAAAAGACATATCTTAAGATATCTAAAAGACAGCTTATTATATGACCCGATTTTGGACATATTTCAACTTTGATGCTACCCAAGTAGAACAGAAAATCAAAATAATATCATTTTGATTTTCTGTTCTACTTGGGTATTTGGGAATCATTTTGTTGCAACTTTGAGATACAAAGAATAGCAACAAAAAAAACAAAAAACTAATCACTCAAATAAAACCTCTTATGTGAAATCATACTTGTTTATATTTGAGAAAAGAAATAAATTACCCAGGTAGCAGACTGACGTCGAATGAGGTCATTTTGACATCGATGACGTCATTTTGACATTTAATGATGTCATTTTGCTACTTGGGTAAAGAGATAAAAGTCTAAAGTTTGAAAACTGTACTTGAAAACTAGGATCTTCAGATTGTGCATGATAATTGTGCGCGGTATAAAGAGATCTAGGTCGTATGGCTGTGCTTGAGCTAGTCTGATTCTGTAACGTCACAGGATATGATGGTGCCGTTTGTATTGCCGACAAGACAAAGGGCTTATGTATCTCCTTATTCCGGTATTCGCTGCAGATATTTGTCATTTCCTTTACCTCAAAAAAGGGATGCAAATCGTCGTTTTACATGCGTGAATCAAGATTTTATGAGTATATTTATACATATATATATATATATATATATATATAATCTAACTTACATTTTTAAGATTATTTTTAAGAAATTAAATTTATGATTACTTTTAAAACCTTTAGCATACTAAGTATTTTTCAATTATTAAAATTGGAGAAATTTTTTCGCGACTTTTATTTAAAAAATTTGGAGTGATATATTAAAGATAATTTTAATTAAAGGCTTTAAAAGTATAAATTTAATTTTTCGACTGCAATATTTTAGTTTCTTCAAATTTTTCTGAAAAGCTAAATTATTATGAATTGGAAGAATATTTACGAGACATTTATATTAAAAAATTTTCATAATTAATAGTTAAAGGCTTTAAACAAATAATCCTTTTAATTTCTCGATCTAATTTTAATTTCTTTAAATAAATTGAATTATTCATGCAAACTCTTTCAAAATTATGTAATTACTATAATAAATTATAAATAACATAAATGTGACAAGAAAAAAGCTATTAAAAACGCATTTTGGAGTTGTCGATGATAATAAAAAATTATATATAATTTAACTTTAAACATTTAACTTTAAACATTTTTAAGAATTTTTTAAAGAAATTACATTAACTAAACTCGAATTTTTAAAATAAAGGTTTTGTAATAATTTCTCCAATTTTAATAATTGAAAAATATGTAGTTTCTGAAAGAAAAGCTGCATTTATTAAAAATTACGTTTATTAAAAAATCTCGAGTTAGTTAAAAATATTTAATTAAAAGCTCTAAAAGTAATTCCAAAATTTCTTCTAAGAAGATAAATATTTTTCAATTATTATAAACTGGAGAATGTTTATAAGACATTTATTTTAAAAACTTCGAATAACATTAAAGAAAATTAGTCAAAGGCTCTAATTTAATTTCTCGACTGCAATATTTTAGTTTCTTCAAATTCTTCTGAAAAATTAAATTATTATAAATTGGAAAATATTTACGGGACATTTATAAAAAAAATTTTGAGAGCGAAATTGAAGATAATAATTAAAGGCTTTAAAAGTCCTAATATCCTAAATTTAATTTCAATTTCTTCAAATGAACTAAATTATTCAAAATTACGCGGTTACACATTATATAATAAATTGTAAATGGAATTATTAAAATGTGACAAAAAAGGCTACCACTAAAAACGCACTTTGGAGTCGCTGGTGGTGGCAGCAACGTTGCTCTTCGGTTTCTTACGCCGGGACTTCCGGTGCTTGGTGACCGACTTCGTCTGGCCGACTTCGCCCGCGCGATCCACGGTTGAAGCGATTTTGGATTCCCCGGGATGTATCGATATTACTTTTACGCCGCGTTTTCGCAGTCGTCAGACTCGATTGTAAGCTTCGCACTTCGAGCGGAATATCGCGGACTGATGCTGCGGTGTGTTAACAAGCGAACCTCGTAGTCGCCTTGGTGATTTGTCGAAAGACAGCTGATGATCTTATATATATTCGTGATTCGGAAGTGATCTAGATCTCCGCTCGCATGATTATCGGCGGTGAAAAATAATTTGACAACTAGAGTATTTTAATATATAATTACGTTACATATAATTATTTTTATATTTTTAAAATAATAAATTGAAAAGGCTTTATTTAATGTATTTTTAAAAGTTGTTTGATTTAAATCAGATACAAGATGACGCTACTGATCTTTTTCATAGAGCGCGCGCGTGTCTCAAGGTCATTTGAAGGTCATTTATTATTTTTTAAATAGACGTATTTCAATTTTTTTATACAAAATTTATTTCTCACAATTTTCTGTATAAAAAGTAGTTGGTGGCTAGAAAATGAATAGTTTATGATAAATATTAATCAATTTTATTATGTTTAAAATTTTACACTAAAAGTACAAAAACTATGAAATATCGCTAATATTTTAATTTCGATGATCTTATCTCAATACTCTTTATGTATAAAATAATAATGAAAGGATCGAATTAATTGCGGTTTAAAGGAAACACATATATTTTTTTATTTGGCTGTATATTATATTTGGATATACATATATATTTACGAAAATCAGCAAAAAAGAAAGAAAAATAGTTTATTATATTTCAATATTTCTTTCGGAACAGATATATTATTGCATAAATCTCTCACTTTTGTAAACTTCTAGATAGATAGATAGATATAGTATATATTTATTGCCGCCCCAATTGGAGATTACAAGGCGCTTTTTTTTTTTTGTAAACTTCTAAATAATAATAAAAATAAATCTTATATTATATAAAAACATAATTATATCATATGATTATCATGATAATTATAGATACTTTATTATGTAATAATAAGATTTATATTTGATATGAATAATTATATTTGCGAGTAATTTTCAATTATGAAAGTATAGTATTATGATATAAATTGAAACATGTTTTTTTAAAATAAACTTGATTTAATTATATCAACTTCCTTTCTCCCGTTTCTACTTCTTTCTTTTTTCTTTTCTTTCTCAGTGATAATTTTTGTGTGAGAATAACAAAAAGTAGGAGTTACACATATATATCAACTTCAAATTAAATTAATTCGATTTTGAATATTATAATAAATAAGTTGAGTTGTGAAAATACTTAATGTTTCTTGTATAATATGCTTAATTATAGTGCAAACAATTAATATATAATTAACAAAGAAATAAAAATAAGAATAATAAAAAATTAAGATTATTAAAATTATATATATATTATATGTAAAATGAATCATTGACTTCAAAGAAGCTATATATAATGGCGATAATAAAAAAAATCATTGTGAGCTATTTGAATCATTATTTATTATATATATTTTCTTCGCTCATGCAATTAGGTATAATAAATATTTTTTTCTCTTATCATTTTGCTAACATAGTCACGCATCTTCACTCTGCGAAAAAGTGACTTGCTTTTTATATAAATATGATGTTTTTTAAAACGGCCAACAGAGCCAAAGCACGAAAAATTAATTATTCGGAACTGTATCTCTTGGTTTGAGATCACTAAGTTCCATATATAAATTAATCTCGAAACTTACATATATAGAGCATTTTATATTTGTAAATTTGTTTTTATATATACAAATTGTTAAACTATACTTTTTAAATCAATTTAATTTAGTAAAATTTAATAAAATTATTTAATATCTTCTATTTAATAATATTATTTATCTTCTACAAATCCTTCTTTAAAAATTGCGCTATATTTCGTCAATTGTTATTATATGTTGCGTAAGAATAAATAAGTGTTTTGTAACAATGTACATACATGATATGTGCATACAATAAGTATATATCACGTGAATATATATACATATATATATAAAAACACATCACGTAAGCAAAAGCATACTCGCGATGATGTACAATTATTTTTTATATCGCGATAGTGATAGAGATGATTTTTTTTCACAGAGAGTGAGCTGCAAAGAACTCTAGATCAGAGATCAAAGCTCCAAGAAGATAATAATTTATCTTTATATCTTACAGATAATATTTTTTTCAAAGTCTTTCCGTGTCATATGTTAATAAAATATCACGTCGAGTTGGCGAGTCTCTCTTTATATAGGATCTCTGCAAATTGAAATAGAATCATTTGAAGAGTTAGATAAAAATAACACTAGTTGACAGTTAAAAATTATTTTAAATGTTTTTTTTAAAGATTTTTAGATGTTTTTTGGAAATAATGCCGAAAACCCAATTTTATTAGCACACGTTAAATTTTCAAAATAATTATTGAGGTTTAATATAAAAAAATTTATTTATTTATTTATTTATATAAATAAAATTATTTATTTTTTCTATTTAATTTTTTTATTTTTTATGTAAAAAATGGCTTTTTGCGATATTTGAGATTTTTTTGTAAAAAGAGTTAACGGTTAAGAAAAGTCTGATTAAATATCTTGAATATATATTGTTCATTCTCTATAAAAATGCATTTTTATTTGGATATCTTACTTTTTAGCAATGTCATGAAAGATTGAAGCGGAAGGAACACAACGCAGTCAAAATGACATCATTTTGACGTCATAATTATGTCACGATAGGAAGTCAATATGATGATTTCTGGTTTTAAAATTTGACGATTTATTGACGTCAAGAAAACATCAAAAAGACATCCTATTGTAATAATATAAAAACCAAAACGGTCTAAGAGCCGGAGCACAGATTTTTGTATAATGCATAAGAGAATCAACTTAATTAGAATTCTTTATTTTTCTATTTTCAGAATGAAAATCCTGAAGATATAGAAAATGAAGGATTCTGATTGATGATTATTTACATTATGTAATTATCTGTTCTCCGTGGTCCTATACGAGTTTTCTTTTTTACAATATTTATAAGAAGATTGAAAATATAACATATTTATTCAGTAAAACATGAAATTTGCGGAGCCAGCGAAAAATTGAACATTTTTTCGTCACTGAGCAGCATATATGAATAAAATATATATATGAATAAAATACATATAAAATACATATAAATCATATATGAATAAAATACTCCTGAAGGTTTTTTAGAAAAAATTACTTTTTCCAAAATTTATATTTTATCATTTTATTATACAATATTTTTGTCTGGAACATTTTCTCGAAAATGCATTTGCTGCAAAAAACTCAATTAAGGAGGCCAATTAAAATGAGACACCTTATCTATCACGATTACATTATATCAATAGTTCTACATATAAAATTATGAGTAATATAATTATATTATATGACCCATACAGCATAACAAGATTGCAGCAGCATTGTGGCAACATTTCATTGCAATATTACAACATTGCATAAACATTGTGAAATGTTGCAGCAATCTTGCTGCAAGGTTCTAGCAACGGTAACATGTCCGCTTTTAGAAATATTGTTCTATAACATTGCAGCAATAATGCAATAAAATATATATGTAATATTACTATTGGATTATTGGAAATGTGTCAAATACATGATCGAAAATGTTTTGTATTTAATATTTTTTATGTGAATTTTGTTTTCATAATATTTCTGAAATGTTGCTGCTGCAACGTTATTTAAACTATATTGCAAATCCATGCCTATGTAATATTTCTGCAATATTGCTATGCAATGTACAATATTGCAATGTTGTTGCAATATTGCTGCAAACTTGTGTGCTGTATGGGAACTTTATTATCATAAAGGCGGAATAGTTATCAGCAAATAAGTTCATCTGTATTTAAATCCTTTTTAAACATATATGATTAAAAACTAATTAAGATAGTAAAATAAAAAAATTTTATATAGGAGATAAAAATACATTTATGACATATATCTGATCAGAATTTTCAGATAAAGTTAACTTTTTTATTCACAAAAAATCTCAAATGTCGCAAAAAGCAAATTTATTCTTGCATATTAAACCTTAACTACCCAGATATAACAAGTGTACGTCATTATAACGTCATTCGTCAGTGACGTCATTTTGACGTCTATACGCAGTGGCATCAGTTTCCTATCCCAAGTAGAACAGAAAATCAAAATAATATCATTTTGATGTCATTGATCAAATTTGGAGTTCAAATTTGATTAATGACGTCAAAATGATATTATTTTGATTTTCTGTTCTACTTGGGATATTTCTCAAGTAGCAAAAGTATACGTCATTTTGGCGTCGATGACGTCATTAAACGTCAAATGACGTCATCATACGTCAAACGTTTAATGATGTCAGTTTTTGCTACTTGAATTAAAGATTTTGAAAATCTTGACATGCAAGTGAAAATTGGCTTACAGCATCCAAGAATCTATAAGAAAAATCTTATTGTCTAGTTTAAAATAATGAAAAAATTTTTTTTGTAAATTAGTGTAATAGTAAAATTATTTTAAAATTTTGATACAGATTGGGAGATAGATTAAAAATATTGGGAGAGAAAAGATATAATATAATCAAAAACGATAAAATAAAAAATTTTGGAAAAAATGTTTTTAAATGTTGAAAACAATTTGTAAAATTGATAAAAAAAATATATTTATTTGCAGCAAATCCTTTCAGTACAATATATATCTTCTTTTATTATTTTTAATGTTTTGATATATATAATATGCTTATATATACGTACAATATATGTATGCTGTTACATAATAATTTATTTACATAAAACATATGCGTAATAACAACAATATATATAGTTGGCGGAACGTGCAAAGCTTGCAGATGAATTTCATAAAAAAAAGAAGAAAAGGAAAAAAAGAAGAAGAAAATAAAAGAGGAAGAAAAAATATAAGATATTTGCATGAAACTCCGATATACACACATCGCATTGTCTCGACAATGCGACGTTTAGACGTTACGCGCGACAATAATTATCGATATAATTGCGGAAAGATAAGACAGACGAAAAGAACGGGTTTTTTTGCAGAGGAGGGAGAAGAGAGGGGATAAGATGACTTTATATCTATACGCACGTGTTGTAGGCTCCTCTCAGTACGTGATCGTGCATCTTCGCACGTGCTTCATATATGTGTGTGTATATCATATATATATTCACTCTTTGTAGACTATTTGTGGATCAATCTTGTCGGCTCTTAATTCTCATCACCGTGATTAATTCGGAATGGTTCTTCTGGCAGTGACTATTATTGCTCTCCTTACACTAGCGCTGGCATTAGGTATAATTATTGTTTTTTTTCTCGAATTGTTTCTTATCTTTGCAAATTATTTATTCCGTTTTATACAGAATGTTTAACAAGGCGATTAAGAACTTAGATAATATGCTAAATTATTATATGCTAATAAATCTGTAAAGTATCTATTTTTTAAAGCAACTATATATTTTCTTATTTTATACCAATTTATAATTGGTGTCTCATTTCCAAATAGCCAAATGCAGTGAGTTTGCTGTCATGTTGCTAGCAATCGTTAGCAACTAATTTTAACAATAAATTTATATTAGAACAAGGTGAGACAGCATTATGTCTGTCAGGTTGAATTCATTTGAATTTTAATTTTAATAACGGCAAATTGATTGCATCAATTTTATATTGTCAACATTTTATTAGCAACAAGCTACAATTAAGAAACTTCACAGCTTGAAGACATACAAATGGAAATTATTATATATGTATGCCGTTATGAGACGAAGTTTACAATATTTTAACGTAAAAAATAAAAAATATATTTTGTAAAATATTTAATTTTCGGTAATCTTTATACCTAAATATTTTTATGAACAAAATAACCCAGTTTCCATCTTATGATGCTCAAGCTAGAATGATGAATGATTTATTGCTGTCATATTGCTGACATGTTGCAGATAACATAACGTATTACACTTTATTATAGTATTGTAAACTATTTGCTCTTCAAATTTTATAATCTGATTGCATTTATAAGCAATATATCATGTAGCTGCATTTCGTAACGTGTTTTATGTCGATGTCAGCAAATGTAGAGCAAATATGTAACAACATATGCGTGCATTAGTTTACTCAATATATGCTACACATCATATTTGGCTATCTGGGTTATTTTGTCCATAAAAATATTTAGGTATAAAGATTACCGAAAATTAAATATTTTACAAAATATATTTTTTATTTTTTACGTTAAAATATTGTAAACTTCGTCTCATAACTTGAAAAATACTTGATGAGGGAAAAATATCTTAATTGTAGTGTTTGGAAAATTCTCGAGATAAGCTACAAGAATGTGTAATAAATAATAGGGGTTCCATTTACAAGAAATTAAAGATGACTTTCTTCACTTGAGCTTGACAACACTTTTCAAGATCATAATAATATTGCTATATAATGCGCCATTTAAAACCCTACAACTTTTGTCTGACATATTTTTCTGTAAAACTTATACTTTTCGAGATTTTTAAGGATCCCTTTTTGGGACACCCTGTATATATAATTATATAATTATATTGTCAAATATATAATTGTATAATTTATATTTGATTACGTATAGATTTTTTCTTTCGGAATTTTAATTTATATGTTGGAAAAATATTTACTTACACAACTTTATTTTTTATATAAAAATATTAGTATATGTATATATATACATATAGTTGTTATAGTTGTCATTATATTAATTATATTATGACTGTGTTATATGCAATATTATCTTTTATATAATATATTCCGAGAATAAATAATGCGGATTTTTTTCAAATATGCGATAAAATATATTGCTAATGAAATACAGATACACACATCTAAACTGAAAATATAATATCGATGTTTTTCATATTTAAAACAGTTTTGAGAAAATAACTTAAAATATATAGATTTGTTTTTTTTTTATTCGAAAAACATATTTATACAGAATATTTTTGTATGTAAACAACGTTGTATTTTATATTTTACTTAGGAATACCTTTGTCCTCCAAAGTTATGAATGAAGAAGATGAAACAAATTATGCAATTGAAAAAAACACTTTGCGACTTGTCACAGTGGTATGTATAAGTGTATTAGAGAAATTCACATAAACAAATTTTTTTATAGTTAATTTTGTACTTTCGAATTATAAAAATTTACAGTTTTAGATTTTATATAATGTTTAATAATTTTAAAGTTCTCTAATATATAATTTAGTATTTAATATATAGTATTAATATCAATTTATAATAACAATAAATATTAATATATATATATATATATATATATATATATAGGGTCAAGGTGCCGATTATGAGATACCATTTACATTTTCTTAATTATTTCCAAAATATATGCAATTAGGAAAGTATCTATATACTGTTTTTAATCGTCATTTCATGTAGTTTTAGAAATCCTACTTCAATAATTAAGTTATATCTCGTTCGAGTTTTAATATACATATAGGTTTGATTAAAGTAAGTCAGTTTTTGTATCAAAACCAAAAGGTCTCCTAATATGAGATACTAGTTGATCTTAATATGATAAACCGCCTTTTATTAGATAAACTTAATTTCATTTTTATTAACACCAAAAATAAAAGACATATAGATAAAAGTAAATGGTTTTATTATTATCTGTCTTAATTTGAAACCTTTTACAGTATATTATATCTTCAGAACCAACAATAAAATTTAAAAATATAGCTTTAATTATATTATTTATTAGACTTATTTCCTAAACTCTTATATCAAAATAAAATATAATAAAAAAAAATTTTTTAATTTTTTAATTTTTAAAATTTTTCGACGCTTTAAAATACCCCATCTGCTTGAATCGGACAGCATCAACAGCCTTAATCATGGCGCTAAGATTCCAGCTTTTTACTTTTTGATAGCAGTATCTAAAGACATAAATTATTCTTATAAAAAAAAAAAAAATAATCAATTATCTACGTTACAAAAAATGGTTCCTAATATGAGATATCTCATATTACGAGACCTTCGGTATCTCTTATTAAGAATTTACCATTTGACCGAGTTTCAACAAAAAACATTTTATTTCACTTATAAAACACTATAATGTGCACTAGTATCATAAAATAGACTATATTAGCGACGAATTTATTAATATTTTACAACATTCAAAACAAATTTTATAAAATTTAACGTTCTTTGAATCTAGTGCGGAAAAATTTGTGATTTTGCTTCCGCGACAAATCAGCGTGTCCTCGTCTGTTCGCTATCGCTGGCCGGCACACATTGATACACAATTGGATCTGTTTATCCGACGAAGTAAATGACGCAAACGTCACACATTTCAGATGTACGGTGTCGTTACTAACAATAAGACGCTATCTCATATTTAGAACCTATCTCATAATCGGTACCTTTACTCTCTCTCTCTCTCTCTCTCTCTCTCTCTCTCTCTATATATATATATATATTAATCTTTCTTATAAAATAAATATCTTTATAATTCGGTGTATAAGCGACGGACAAAATTTTAATCATAAATAAATAAAAAAATAAAGCCTTGAAAACAGCACTAAAATTTGAGACAAATAATATTCTTTTGCATAGACAGAATACATAGACAGAACATATATTTTTTTATCATTAATTTTTATTTTTTATTTTGGAGTATGTAATCTTATTCTTTAGGTAATAATTAATCATATTCTTATTTGTAACTAACATATCCCGGATTAAAAAATCGATAAAAAATAATAGAAAACGATTGCATCATTTTTAATCGTATAGTTATGAATATACAATTGATTACGATAAATTTTCAATCATGTTTTCTCGACAAATTCCAACAAAACAATAAAAAGCAATATATTACTATAAGAATTTGATCGTATTTTAATGACTGAATCTGATTTTAACAGAAAATAAAAAAGAAAATGATAAGAAACGACAACATTTTTTTGAAATATAAAAAGTGAAACAATAAAGTTAGGATATAGGAAACAATAAAATTTTTTACAAATTCTATCGGTTTCTAATATTTTCTATCGATTATTTTAACCAGGAAAATTATTATCATTTTTGTCATATGATCATTTTAACATAAAGTGATACTCATAGTAAATCGATATAATAGCATCGAAATAATAAATTATTATAATAGATTATTAGTTCTAACATTTTTGTTTTATTTGTGTGTTTAATAATTTCTATATTTATTCAATATTTTTCTTATTTATTTAATTTTCTATTCTATTCAATTTTTAATATATTTTTTCAGCCTATGTCAATTATTGATTAAATATGTAAAATATATTATATTTATATATATTTATAAAATAAATATATAATATATATTTATTAATATATTTATAAATTTATAATATATATTTATGAAATAAATATATAAATATACATATATAATTAAATATAACAAATAAATATATATAAAAAATGTACATACAAAATATACGTAAAATATATATAAATTAAATAATATTTGTATATTTTTGGCAGGAAAAAAGAAAAGAAATTTAAACGAGAGTGAAGCATCCCTTATCGCATGTATCTCATCAATTCATCATATATATAGTCATTCTCTTCGAAATCAACGACTTTCTTTGTAAAGCTGGAACAATTCAATTATATTTGCACCATTAATGTTATCGTGCAATGATACAATTTTTTCTGTATGTATATATACTTTTCTTAATAACCGATGATTTATCAAGCAAAATATGACACATATCTACCAGATATAATTATTTTATTTAATTAAATAATTTTATCGAATATTGTATACAATTGAATATAAAATAATCGATAATTGAATATAAAATAAAGAATATAAAAAAAATATTCACTAAAAACTTTCAATTTAAAAAAAATATCAAAAAATCTCTGAATTAAAATATATAAAATATTAAATAATAAATCTCTTTCGTTCGGGATGATTTTTTTCGTTAATATATATATATATATATATATATATATATATATATATTCATTTGCGCTCTAAAAAACGACAAATTAAATTGTCACGTGATATTTTTATTTATTTATTTATTTACTTTTAGGTAACAAGACATGGAGAAAGAGCACCTGTGGATACCTATCCAAATGATCCTTATATTAAGGATAATATGGAACCTTACGGCTGGGGTCAGCTAACAAATGTAAATTATTTTATTTTTCTTCCTCTTTTTGATCATTATATACAAGGTGAATTATTTGTTTTTAAGGAAAAATATGTAATTTACAACTAGCAGATATAAAAACTTAAAGTTGACCTTGAAAACTTAAAAGAAAAATCAATTGATGAAAAAAGGACCTTTTGGAATCACATATAAAAAACAAAATTGTTTAAGAAAATTACAAGACTTTTTGTCGCAAAGCAATCATAAACAATTGAAGGTGACCTTGGAAAAAATTAAGAAAACTTAAAAAAATACTATTTGATGAAAAGTCTATATCAAGGTTTTTTTGAGTCATAAAAAAATTTTAATCGATCTATTAACAACAGAAAATAATTGTTATATCCTAATAAACAGCAACAATAATCATTTTTGCGTCATTTGACACCATTTCGCTACATTTTTACCAATTTGGAGCCTTTTGATCAATATATCACGTCAAATTGACATTTTGACTTTTCTGTTCTATTTGGGTACCTATTTCATATTTATTTTATCTAAATTAAATTTAAATCTGCATATTAATCATATATATACATACATATGTGACTTAGAAAGGAAGAAGGAACCAATACAATCAAGGATTATTCCTGCGGAAGCGTTACGACAGTTTTGTAGGCTCGATGTACAGCCCCGATATATTTTATCTGCAAGCCACCGCTGTGGATCGCACAAAAATGTCAGGAATGCTGGAAGCGGCTGCTCTGTGGAAGCCTAACGAGAGACAATTGTTTAAACCTGATCTAGCTTGGCAACCGGTCACATTATTCTATCAAGAACGTCCGGAGGATACGGTAAAGTACTTGTGTAAACATTTGGCCAGACAAACCGAGCCTTTCGAATCTTTTTAATCTATTTCGATGCAAGACAATCATGCACCTTCATCTTCCTCTGATGCCATCATCACCCGATATACAGGATGGTTCAAAAGTCCGGCAACTGTCAATTGATTTCGAAAATAATGGTCCTATGAAAAAATGTTAAAAGTTGTAGGGCTCAAAATAATTATTTATTTATGCTTTAAGGCACTTGATTGACCTTGACCTTAATTTTGATCTAGGGGTCAAAAGGTCATTTCAAGGTCATTTAAAATTTTTTTAAATGGACTCCTTATATTTTTCATAAGAAGGGTTCAAATAAATAAGGCACTTGATTGACCTTGACTTTGACCTAGGGGTCAAATTTAGAGGTCATTTCAAGGTCATCTTAATTTTTTTAAATGGACCCTCTATTTTTCATTGCATATTTTTGTAGCTTATCTCGAGAGCTTTCCAAAACACTATAATAAAACATTTTTTCATTAAGTACTTTTTGAGTTATTAAGGTTTAAAGTTAACAATTTTTTGACATAAAATGTAAAATCGAGGTTTTCTGCTTTTTGTCAGAATTTTCATGAATAGTGTATACTTTTTAGCTCATGCTAGTGTGGAACACATGTCCAAAGTATACTCAGCTACGGAGTTCGGTGAACGACCTGCCGGAAATCCGAAAGGTACACGAAGACAATAAACAATTGTTCGAAGAGTTGTCGAACTTTACAGGAATGCCAATCACAACTGTCGACGATGTCAGTTCGCTTTATAACACGTTACTAACTGAGGTAAATTTAATACACGTCAGTCCTAATCTGAGATAATCTTCAAATAACTAGCTTCGACTCAACTTTCAATTGTTTCAATCGCATTACTCTTGAATTACCAATTATAGGAAGAGATGAATTTGACTTTGCCAAAGTGGACAGAGGGCTACTATCCCGACAAATTGATACCCTTGACCTTATACGAGCTACAGCTTAACACTTACAATGAGAAATTTCGGAGGTTGAAAGGGGGTCCCATGTTAAAGAAGATCGTTGATGACATGAGGGCAAAAAGAGAGGGCGTTTTACAACCTAGGAGGAGGAAGATGTTTATGTACGTCGGTCACGATAGTACCATCGTCACCTTGTTGGACACGATGAGTATTTGGCACAATCAGATGCCGTATTGCAATATCATGACGATGATAGAGCTACATGAAGACGAGGATGGATGGAATGTTCAGGTGAATTATTTTATCATTTTCTTTTCTTCATCCATATAAGATAGATATTCCAATAAATCGAATTTTCTTCAGTAAAACCCAATTTTAGAGGGTTCCCCTAAAATTTAATTTAAAAAAATTAAGTTGACATTGAAATGACCTCTAAATTTGACCCCTAGCTCAAAATAATGTTGGGAGAGGAGATATGTGAATAAAGTACTTTATGCGTTGAAAACTGTTTATTACGCGGATTCAATACGAGGAGAATAATGAGTGTCTCTCGATCGGGCGGTCGTCTTATATACCGTCGTCAAAATAACCGACGCTTCAAATCGCGCCAATCACGCGAGGACACGAATTCGACAAAAATCTCAGACGACGAACGGATGAACACGTACGGAAGACATACAATACAAAAGAATGTAAATACCGAGACAATGCCTTATAATAATACATGCCCGCAATAACAAGACGGACGACGGATAACTAAATAAGTCGAGCCCAACAAATAAATGCCAACAGTTCGGCCATTCTGACATTAGGCCGTCCCGGCCTAACATAATCAAATATCGCATATCGGTCAAACGCATACTCGTGAACACAATTATAATTTTACATATGGTCGCATCTGATCGGGCGCAACTACGCCGCTATATGGCCGTTGTGTCACCTGGAAACCGTCGATATCGCTTACAATATATCGGTCATAATCGAGCGCTTTCTTTATCACGTACGGTCCTTTAAATTTTGGTATCAATTTTTGTTTATTCCGACCGTATCCTCTAACTTTGTCCCGCATCCGCAGGAACCAATAAACTTTCCTTGTACTATCGATAACCTTGTCGACACCGACGTGATCCAAGTCGTCATGACAAGTTCTAATCACGTTGCTTTCCATCGACTGTAGCACGTAAAACAATAATTTCCTATTTTTGTCCTTCCGATAGACTAATCCGTCGCGCAATTCATAATATTTTATTTCGCTCTTTTCGAGTTCGTCACGAATTTTACTAATTTCTTCGTCGTCTAGATATAATAATATTTTATTGGCTCTGATTAATGATACAAACACCATATGTATAAAACGCTGAAACACACACGGCGCGTTCGTCAGTCCGAACGGCATACGTAGCCATTCAAACTGCCCCAGCGGCGTCACAAATGACGTATATTTTATCGACGCGGGATGCATCCTGACGTGATGGAATCCATCCTTTAAATCCAAAATCGAGAAATATTTTTTGCTTCTCAAGCGATCAATATTATCGTCGATCAATTCCGTAGGGAAATTATCTCGCACCGTGATTTTGTTTAGTTCGCGATAATCGATACACAAACGAATACTTCCGTCTTTTTTCCTAACGAGCACGATGGGACTCGCATACGGGGAATCGCTGTGTCGTATGGTTCCATCACTCAAGAGCCTGTCTAAAATACCGCGCAAAGCCTCCTTGTCAGCGAATGACAACCTCCGCGGGCGCGACGCTATCGGTTGTTCGTGCTTCAACGCGATGGTCATCTCAAAATCGGGCGCGCCGCTCTCCGCCCGCAAGCAACCGAGGTAACATGCCTCGTACGCCTCGCTGATCTCTCTAACGCTCTTTTCGCCAATACCTTCGTCGATTCGGAGTTCGCCACACATATTGACCGAATCGTCACCACTCTCAATCGTCATAATTTCTCCAAAAGTACTCGGCTCCTCAATCGCTACGATTTCTACTGTTTCTCCGAGCGTAACTCGTATTGACGGACACGTCAAAAAATCTCTTCCGAGAAGAACATTATACATCATTGCGTCGTCCGGTACTGTATAAAACTTCATTTTGATTTGGACGCCACAGACTTTTACAATACTATAAAAAATACTATTTACGCGGAGTAAAGAGCCGTTAATACCGCGAAATTGATTTGCGCTCTGATCGACCAGTGAACACAATTTTTCTGGTGATCCGGTGATCCCGAATCAACCACTGCGCCGTCGGTATAATTAAAATCTGCGCCCTCATCCGCCGCTAAAATATCCACACTTACAATGTACGGTTCAGGAAGCGCGGCGGGCCGAACCGCGTCCGCCAACACGATCTCCGTCGATCCCGCCGTCGGACCCGCCACCGCCGGCCGTCCACGCCCAGGGCACCCCGCCGCCAAGTGTCCCGACGCCCCGCAAACATAACACGCGCGACCCGTCGGCGGCCGCCCGCAACGTGCCGCGATATGGCCTACCTCACCGCAGCGGAAACACCGCGCCCGCTCTAACCCCGGCCGCCCGGCTCCACCATCCGCATCTGGCCTCACCCTGCCTCCCCGGCTCTCCGCCCGTCCCGGGCCCAACGCCGCTCCTAATCCCTCGCCGACAGCGGGTCTCGCTCCTCCGGGCGGCCCCATCATCCCGTCTCTGCGCTCGAACACGATGCTCTCGAAGGCCTCCAGCAGTTCCGCTCCCGACCGGAACCTCATCAGACGCGCCTGGTTCCGCAATTGCACATTCGTAATGCCCTCAATCACATGATCAAGAAGCTCGTCCTCAGCCACCGGGACACGATTAGCAAGAATCACCTTTTCGTGATAATAATTGCTAAATGGCTCGTCGCCCCTCCACATGCGAGCCTCAAATTTTCTCCGGAGCGTGATCCTCGCCGGACGCAGGTCGAACATTCGCGCCATCTCTTCCAGCAGCTCCTCCATTCCCAATGCAAGGTGTTCGGTTTTGGAGTAGAACCAGGTCAATGCCCGTCCCTTCAAACGAGAGCCGATCAGGATCCTGGTAGCGCCTTCGTCAAGACGATAGGTGTCCCTGAGAAGTCCGAGCTGACTCCTCCACCTCCAAAACGTATTCTCACTTCCGTCGAATTCCGGCAACAACTCCTTGACACCCCTAAAACTTTCACCACCGGACGATCCCGCTGATGCCACCGAAGAGCCGCGAAGCAGCTCTCTCTCCCTTTGAAAAAATGATCTCTCTCTCTCCCACAGATCCTTCTCTCTCCGCAAAAGATTTAACTCGGCGCGTTCTAAATTTCCGAGGAAAGCGGACGAGGCGCCCTCGTGCCCTCGCATCGCCGCATCCCGTCTTGCCGCAGTCCTCTCCAACGCGGTCTCCTCCGCAGCAAACTCCTCCAGAAGGTCGTTCTCCGCCAGGGTATCTCTCCCATCTCACTCTCCATTTCCGGACGCGAGGCACCCGCTGAACGCCGCCCCTCTGGTTGCTTGTTCAATTCGGCCCACACGCCCGGATCGCCGATCTTCTCGAGCCTCTGGATCAACTCCGCTTTCGCTCCTCCCGACGGCAGCCCTTTCGCCCGTAAAGCCGATTTCAATTCCACCACCGTGAAATTATTACCCGGCGTACTCATTATGCACTTTTCTCCTTTTTTTTTCAAGTAATTGACACGCGAACTTCGAATCCCACTTCTGATAAACTGTTGGGAGAGGAGATATTTGAATAAAGTACTTTATGCGTTGAAAACTGTTTATTACGCGGATTCAATACGAGGAGAATAATGAGTGTCTCTCGATCGGGCGGTCGTCTTATATACCGTCGTCAAAATAACCGACGCTTCAAATCGCGCCAATCACGCGAGGACACGAATTCGACAAAAATCTCAGACGACGAACGGATGAACACGTACGAAAGACATACAATACAAAAGAATGTAAATACCGAGACAATGCCTTATAATAATACATGCCCGCAATAACAAGACGGACGACGGATAACTAAATAAGTCGAGCCCAACAAATAAATGCCAACAATAATATATTTTAAATCTCACAATTTGCAACAAGGATATCTTTGTCGCAGATATTTCTGAGAAATACGACAGTTCACGAGCCATATCCAATGACGATACCTGGATGCACTATTGCATGTCCTCTCGACAAGTTTGTGGAGATTTTGAAGCCGATGATACCGGACAATTGGGAGGAGGAATGCAGGGTCGAAGGTGATTATGTAACTCCACCTCCACCAGTTCCATGATTGTAGAAAATCTCGCGCATTTACTTACTGTATTATAATTCAAATAATTTTATTGTTTACATATCGTGTAAATAAGTATTTACATTATTCATGCCAACAGACATTTAGTCATAACTCTAAATGATTCATCGTGTTTTCTTGTAAGAATTCAAAATACATATTATATTATTGATCCATTTGGATCTACCTCTGTATTTTGCATTTTCAATTTTTATATTTTATAGAATGAAAATGGCATTATACGTGCATTCATGTCTGTCCATAATCTCATCTTCACCTTATGGAATCATTTTTGTAGCAACCATAAAGCAATGCAAGAGAAATCCATTTTGATCAAGTTTTTTTAAAAAAACATGATCCAAATGAGAGAGATGATTCGAATTCACGGTGTTTTCCTCTTACATTTCTCGCAACTCTAAATCATTGGATGTTCCAACTTGGATCCTATGTCATCTAACCAAAATGCTCGCCACGAAGAGAGATTAAGCAAAGATCTTCTCTTCCCGCCGTTTCTTGGTAACCACCGTTCCAGGCTTATGCTGAGCATCTGGATGATTAAGTAGTTCCGGCGGACAAGTGGATATCGGACTGGCGAGGATGGTCTGTTTAAGGTCATAGAACAAGTGACTGTCGTCTTTCGTGCAAAAGGAAATAGCGAGGCCAGCTTTACCAGCTCGGCCAGTTCGTCCGATCCTATGTGTGTAATCTGCAAATAAACATTATAAATAGGTAAATTATACAAGGTCTATTAGATATAAAAATTCTATGAAGATATAAATAAAAGAAGATAGAAGATAGTGATAAAAGAAGGTAATATGATAAAGAAAATAATACGATAAAAGAAGATAATGACTTATTATTATTAAAGATGTCTTTATCATTATAAAAGAAGATAATTCGATAAAAGAAGATAATGCCTTTATCATTATAGAATAAAATAATCTAATAAAACAAGATAATGCTTTATTATTATAAAAGAAGATAATGATAAAGAAGATAACATAATGACAAAAGAAGATAATATGATGAAAGAAGATAATAATAAAGGAAGATAATATGATGAAAGAAGATAATGACAAAGGAAGATAATATGATAAAAGAAGAGAAAATAATTTACCTTCGATGGTTTTAGCCATGTCATAGTTGATGACCATAGAAACGTCCTTGATGTCAATACCTCGTCCTGCGACATCAGTGGCGACTAGAATATCCTTACTTCCACTTTTAAGAGATGCCAAGGCATATTCTCGCTGTTCCTGGCCTTTTCCACCGTGCAGGGTACAAGCGTTGTACTATGAAATAAAATAAGTCAAGAAAGTTAGACTTTTTATATATAATATTATTTTTTTCTTAAATTCTTACGCTTTAATTCTTGAATGTGTGATAATATGTGTAGGAAATATTCTTTTTTTATATAAATTACGTACCCCAAACTTTTCCAAGCCTTTCGCTAGCACGTCCGCACCCTTCTTCTGATTGACGAATATAATGACGGGTGGCTCGACACCTCTGCTCAATATCTCCATGAGTTTCTTTCGCTTGTCGGCTTCGCCCATTATGTGGACTATCTGTTCGGTACGCTCTGTCGGTTTACCAACACTACCGATGTAAACTACCGCCGGCCTCCTTAGATAAGTTCTAGCGAGACGTTCTACAGCCGGTGGCATTGTGGCGGTAAACATTACGGTCTAGAAACAAAAAAAAACATGAAGAAAAATAAATAAAGAGTAGTCTAATTCAAATTTTATTTTTTGAAAAAAAAAAATATTTCTTTAGAATTCCCCGATTTTGCATAAAAGTGCAATATATCACTATATCTAAAAGCTAAAATATATAGCAAAAATATAAAAAAAGTAATATTAAGTAGTAAGAAAAAAATAATTTATTAAAAATGAACGTCTTAAAGAGTAATAATTTATTTAAATATTGTAAAAAAACAATTTTTATGAATCTTACATAAGACTTTGATATTAAGAAGAGATCTTTAATAAAATTACATGGAATTTAAAAATTTAAATATTGCAAAAATATATTTTTGAATAAAATAAAGAGTAAAATTATCATAGACAATTTTTGGTAAGATTCCGAGTCTCAATAAAATTCCATGAGAATTTCTGGATTTTTAAGATAAAAAATTCCTGAGGTCTCGTTTTTTCGGTAAGTAAATATCTTAAGAAAATAATATATTATTAATTTCCTATTAAGAAAGATAAATTTAAAAGTTTTTTATACTTGTCTATACTTCTTCTTCGTGTTATAATTGGCTAGAAGTTTTTCTTCATTTTCCGCGTCCTCATTGTCTGGCTTCAAATTCGTTACAGGCATGTATTCCAGAATTTTTTGAACATCTGAAAGAAATAATTATTATGTTACATTCAATTATTGTGTACATAATATGATGCTTCATTCTTTTCTTGCAGGCTTGAGTCTTAAAAAATGGTAAAAATCAAAATTTTGTTTGAGAATTATAGAACAATTATATATAGAAACATTATAAATGCTTGAACTGACCTGGTTCAAAACCCATATCTATCATTCTATCAGCTTCGTCCAGTACAATATAAGTACACTGATTCAACACAAGATATCGATTCTCCAAGACATCTATCAATCGACCAGGTGTAGCTATGACAATCTGAAAAAAAGATCCTTAATTAAATACTTTATATACCTTAAATTTGGATCTTGATTAATTTCATGTCATCTAATTTGAAAGAAGTTGATGATGAAATCGTTACATGTATACATATATTAATGCATTTCAAATATTATTACCTCACATCCCATTCGCAATCTAAAACCTTGTTCCTCTCTCGACAGACCACCTACCACCACAACAGTCCGGATGCCCAATGGCTGTCCAAATTTATTGGTCTCTTCTTCTATTTGTTGTGCTAACTCACTGTAATAATATGAATTAAATATATTTTTACCAAATATATCTATCTATAAGCATCAAAATATATTATGTAACTCCTCAAGTAGCAAACTGACATCATTAAACATCAAAATGATGTCATTTTAACGTCTAATCACATCATTTGACGTCTAATGACATTATTTGTCATTTTGACATCTAATGACATTATTTTGACATTTAATGACATTATTTGACATCTAATGATATCATTTGACGTCTAATGACATCATTTAATGTCAAAATGACGTACGCTTGCTAACCAGAGTCTTTCTTTAATTAATTAATCAATATCAATAAACTAGATGCTTAAAATATAAAAAAGAGAAATGTATGTTTTTTATATCCGCAATAAAAACAAGAATTAAACTGAACAATTGATACCGTGTGGGTGCTAAAATGATACTGTAGGGTCCTTGATCCGCTTCTTCGAGTCTTTCGATTTTCGGCAGATTAGTAATCCATAACAGCAGCGGAATCAAGAAAGCCAATGTCTTTCCCGACCCAGTTTCGGCAACGCCGATAATATCTCGATTCTGTAGACCAATTGGAATTGCTTGTCGTTGAATAGGTGTGAGATCCTTGTAGCCCACTTTGTCGATGATATCTAGAATCTCTTTCGGAAAACCGGACTCTTTCCAGGAACGAATGGGATCGGGAATGCGACCGCCCTTTATCGTGATGTTGTAATCTTCCCTGAAGATGCGCCAATCGCGCTCGGTCATCTCGTTCAACGCCTTCTCGGACCAATGTCGATCGTCCCACTTTTGCTTCTCTTCCTTTCTCTTCACTTTCTTTAGTCTCATTCTATATGAATAAAGAAAAAAGGAAATAATTGCTCTAATTCTTATTTATTTTAAAATAAAATTAATAATTATTTAACAATAAAACTTACTTTTCCTGCTCCTTTTCAGCTTCTGTGCGTCTCTTCTCCAACAATTCACCATAAAATTTGCTCTGATCTCGCTTTTGTGCCTTTATGTCAATACCAGCTAGATTACCTCTACCAAAGAACTGCACTTGATGCCTCTCTTTGTAAATGTTATTGTAATCCACAGATGTGTCCTCCGAGGTGTCCCAATCAAAGACAAATTTTCGATCATTCAGTCTTCTCACTCGCCTCTTCTTTTTCACCAAGCCCAAATATCGTTCCTTGATAGCCTCCACTTCTTTCTCCTTGTCTTTATCTTTAATTTCATCCTCACGTGAACGTTGTCCATCTCTTCTTCTGCTAATAAATTCAATATTTGAAGATTTACTTATTTTCGCTTCTTCTTCTTGGAAATAAAAGTGTGATGTGTCTTAAAACTGAATTAAGTTGTAACAATGCTTAAAAAAACTAGCAAGCACACATCATTTTGACGTCGAATGATGTTATTAGATGTCAATATGACGTCATTTTGACATTTAATGATATCGTTTTGACATTTAATGATGTCATTTTGATATTTATGTCATTTTGACATTTGTGATATTATTTTGACATTTAATGATGTCATTTTGATATTTAATGACGTTATTTCGACATTTATGACGTTACTTTGACATTTGATGACATCATTTTGACATTTGATGACATCATTTTGACATTTAATGACGTTATTTTGATAATTTTCTAATACCTGTCTCTATCATCCCACTCTCTGTCCTTTCCAGTGCTGTCGCTGTAAAATAAGGACTTGAGCTCCTCCTCTTGCTGCGTATGTGTATGCCTCCTCATTGCTTCCACTTCCTTTTGACGTTTCTCCAACGCTAAGGCCGCGCGCTCCTCTTTACTGAGGAACTTCGGTTTAGCTCGCGCTTCCTCCTCCGCCTTCTTCTTGGCCAGCAGCTCCTCCAGACTCAACGGCTCCTTCTTCGCTGCCTGCTTGGCCTTCTCCTCCGCCTCTTCTTCCTCCTTTTTAACATCATTGCCCTTTAGATCTTTCTTTGAGTCCTCCTCCACAAGCGCAGGGCTACACTTGTGCTGCTTTTTCTCATCCTTGGACCTGTCCTTGGCATCTCGACGCTCCCTCGAGCGGTCCCGATCCTTCTCCCGCGATCTATCGCGCTCGCGCGATCGCTCCCTCGACCTGGACCGCTTCCTATCCTTCTTGCGGTCCTTGGATCGACTCCTGCTGCGTCGTCGGTCCCGTCGTTCCCGTTCACGCTCACGTTCCCGCTCGCGGTCGCGAGACCGGCTGCGTCGCAGGATTTTCTTGTCGTGTGGCATTTAAAAGTTGCTCGACGATTTCAAAATTCCTTTCTGATAAAGCAAAATTTCTTCTTACAGACTTTAATATGTCTCCGCAGCTGAAGGTATGGCTTTTTGATACAGCGTCTATTAATCTTCTGTAAAATGAACAGTGTTGTGCTTAGATGATTTTAAAATTAGCTAGATAAAGATAAAATAAAAATATGTAAATTCATCTTAGATAAGATGGTTTTGTTTCAAATATATCTAAATAAATGATAAAATTATATGGCGATTCATCTAGATAACTTTCCAGATGATAATTTTTAAGATTGCTTATGCAAACATAGTTATAAAAAAAATTTAAATTATAAAAGAGATATAAAAATATATGTATCCATATTTTTATTTATAAATTTTTATCGCTTACTGCTTAAGTTCTACTATTTAAATATCTTTGTGCTATGATTCTAAACCAAAATTATCTGAAAATAATTCTAGATAATTTAGTAAAGATAATAATTTTTTTCAAGATGCAACTATATAGATAATACATATTTTTATTATCTATATAAAGATAACGCCAAAGTTTCATCTAGATGATCATCTATATAATTTTATTTAGATATAACAGCAAACATTGAAGATGAACAAAGAAATCACGATTAAAATTGAGTATATTGTTCACAAAACTTGCAAGAATCTTTGGATAAGTAAAATAAAAATTTCTGTCAACAGGATTTGATGTTTCCAACTAATAGAAATATATGAATAGAAATATATGAAAGATAAGGCTCTTTGATAATCAGCGTCAATTAAGTAGTGTTTAAAAGAATCTCTCAACATAGATGACGAATCAAAATTCCTTCTAACAAAGTTTAATGTGTTTTTGATTGAAGTTATTTAAAGCTTTTTGATGATCAGTCTGTTAATCCTCCATATAATAAAAAAAGAAATAGTTAAAATTGATTAGAGTACTTACTTAAAAATCTTTTAAAATAGATGACGTATCAAAATTTCTTCTAACAATTAATGTGTTTCTAATTGAAGATATAGCTTTTTGATAATCGGTATCTAATAGTCTTCTGTAAAATGAAAGAAAACAGTTAGAAGGTTAGATTAGGTTAGGTGCTCACATTGCAATGCTAACAGTATAATAGTGATGCATTTCACTTAATAAATTAATAAATTAATTATTGCTAATTAATTTTATTTTTTAAATAGAATAAACAGTCTAATACAAAGTGGTTTGTACAATTATATATTTCGCAATCTTTTATGTCTTATGTCTTTCTCCCTTCAAATATAGCACATATCCAAAATATACATATATATAACTCAAGGCACAATTTCACGTAGCGAGTAAAAGCTGGCGTTTTACCCCCTCTCCATCAATTTTTACCAGATGGCGAATTTAGGGATGTTCCGATATCATAAAAGTATCGATACCTACTCAAATGAGTAGTACTCAAATCGTCTGAGCGATACTACTCATATGAGTACTCCAAAAGTATCGATATACTTACTCATATCGATACTTTTTTATTTTTTTATGCAAATGAATTAATGCTGAATGTATATATAATATTTTACTTGATTGTTTATTTTATATAGTCTAATAAAACACGTTAAATACTTTTATTTCTTTATTAATGATAATTGTTAAACAAAAAAGTCATCTTTTGGAAGATTTCCCAAAAAGAGCAATTGCTCTAAATATTTAGGGGACAACTTATTTCTGTTTTGAGTCATAGTTGCACCAGCTTTTGAAAATAAGCATTCACTAAGCACAGATGTTGCAACGACGATAAGATATTGTTGAGCATATTTGTACAAACGAGGAAAAATGACTTTCATGTCTTCCCATTCTGCAAATGGGTTGTTCTTCAAAGATATTACAGGGTTTGATAAATAAAGAGATATTTCATCACTTTGGTGCGTTTCCTGTTTCTTTTTGTGACCATGCACTAGCTCTTTATGATATTTCCAAAGTCGTATTCCTGTGTTACACTAGACGAAGCATCTTCCTCCGAACTTGGACTACTTTGTTGCTCATAAACCATACTTTTGAGTTTTTGTATGGCTTGCCTGCATGCTGCTGGATCTTGAAAATGGATTCGATACAAGTACTTTTCTATCGATACCGAGTATGTATCGAAAGAATTATTCAATTCTAAAAGTACTCGGTATTGAAACAAAAGTATCGAATACATACTTGTATTTACTTTTATCGAATCATCCCTAGGCGAATTTTAGCAAATGAGGCCGGATCTACAACAGGGAGTCGATTGTGTAACTTTTTCTAAAGTAAAAATGTGAAAAATGAAAATTTTCTTTCAATCACACATCGATTTCATTTTAAAATCAATGCGCGATTGGCGGAAATTTTTCACTTTTCACGTTTTCACTTTCAAAAAAGTTACACAATCGACCCTCAGGTGTAGTAAGCTCTAAACTTTAAGAAATTCACCAATTACAGTCAAGAATGAGAGGAATAATCGACTGTGATTGATCAATTTTTTGAGGCTTAGAGCTTACTGTATCTATTGTAAACCCGGCCTAAACGCTCAAAGTTCGACACAGTCCAACTTTTAGCAAATTACAGCAACGCTGAAATTTAAATTATTTTAAAAGTGTATGGGCCGATTTTTCCAACTTCTCGGTAAGTTTTACCTGATAGGTAGCATATTTTCGTCTCTTTTCAGATAAGTTCTAAAAAAAGAGACAAAGATATGCTACTTGTCGGGTAAAACTTATCAAGAGTTAAAACAACCGGCTAATATCTGAAATGATATATAAATAAAAGAAAATATGTCAATAAAATATAAAATAAAAATAATTATTTCCTCAGTGATAAATTTTATCCCTGGAAACGAAATTCCCTAAACTCGAACCAATCATTGCGCGCGACGTCATCCAGCACGGCTGATTGGACGTTACTTGCGGACCGACCAATCAGCGTCGAGCCGCTCCGCTTTGATTGGTCGGTCCGCAAATGTCAAGCGCAACCTCCCACCCTCTTATCCTCTTCTCCTCCTCTTCTCTTCTTCATACCGGGGTTCACGCCAGTTTGTGCAAGGAATTTTGATCGATTGTTCGTGTCTCGTCGAGCAGCAAAACGCCGTTTTCGCACGTCGGTTCTTCTTTCTCGCGTTCTATTTCTTCTCGTCATTTTTCTCGCACCAGGCGGACCGCGATCTTGTCCAGGTCCCTCAAAATGGTGAAAATGGAGCATGACGTAAGTATCGAAATCTTTCGCCGATCTCCGTCAAGCAAGCTATGCGACGAACCCAAAAATGGCCATCCGAGTCTTAGAAGAATCTCGTTTTATCATTCTTTTGTCATTCTTCGTTCCGTGCAAGCGGAAAAATTTTGAATCACGTGTTCGCCTGACACTGAAAATTTAAGATCGATATTTTTGTTAATATTGTTGCGCAGAAATCTGTTTTTTCATGCAATAGGATGTGACCGAAAGGCCGGTGTCGAGCAACGCCATCAATAATTGATGCAATAATGGCGGGAGGCGATAAAAAAAAAAAAAAGAGAGAGAGTGATTTGATCAAAATGATAACAATTTTCTTTAATACTTATTTTAATCCGAATTATAGTTAATAAAAAAATTACTCTACATTTTATTTAAAATTATATACATTTTATTTTATTTAGTACTGTTATAGTAATTTTTTATATATTGAAGATAAAGAAAAATATATATATATATATATATATTGTATTATAAAATAATATATAAAATATAAAATCAAAATCAAATAGCTTCTAGACTTGATTATTATTTTAATGACTTATAATTCTGTTTAATATTTTTCAGGATAGCAAAAATGAGCCGGAACATGTGAGAAAGCTGTTCATCGGTGGCTTGGATTATAGAACAACGGATGACTCGCTGAAGAAGCACTTTGAGCAGTGGGGAGAGATTGTAGATGTCGTCGTTATGAAGGATCCTAAGACAAAGCGATCCAGGGGCTTTGGTTTTATTACTTATTCTCGTGCTCATATGGTGGATGATGCTCAGAATGCCAGGTAAAGAGGCTTGATTACTCGTATTACTTCTTCCTGATCCTTGCAAACCAAGGAATTCACTTATCTCTGAAGAAATATATCTGTGCAGCAGATATATTCCAGAAAGTTTCTATTTTTACACTGTGATGTCTTTTGTAGACCCCACAGAGTGGACGGAAGAGTGGTGGAGCCTAAGAGGGCGGTACCCAGGCAGGAAATTGGACGGCCGGAAGCCGGAGCCACCGTGAAGAAGCTCTTCGTAGGAGGCCTGAAGGATGATCACGAGGAGGAGGATCTCAGGCAGTATTTCCAGAGCTATGGTAGCATAAACTCGATTAGCATAGTCACCGACAAGGAGACCGGCAAGAAGCGCGGCTTCGGTTTCGTCGAATTCGACGACTACGATCCGGTCGACAAGATTTGCCTCCAACGCAACCACCAGATTCGCGGCAAGCACGTCGATGTTAAGAAAGTGAGGTTTTTTTTTGAAAATTTTAAGTTAAAAATACAATATACACAGAGGATGTTTTATGTTTAAATATACAGGGCTTAAATATAAAATTCAAGGTTTTTATCGAAGAATATTTTAATTATTTTTTTTTTAAATGTGCAGTTGCAAACTGAAATTTTCTTTAATTACAAAACTTTACACCAATTAATAGCTCTCGTTATTCCATGCAAAAAATTATGGTAAGACTTAAAAAATGAGTAATATTCCGAGATTTTTCATATTTTTTGTCAAAATGTGTCAGAATGAAACAAAATATCTTATTTTCGATTATTTAACTCTAATTTTATGCACCAAATATTAAGGAATCGATTTATGTAAGAAAATTTATAGTGGTTCTGTTTAAAAAAGTAATGATGACCTCGAAATGCCTCTGGAATAAGACTGTTTACAACAAGATATTCTCTACAACTTTTTGCATAAAACATTTTTCGATAGAAGTCTTGGTTTTTAAGAGGTTTCAACCCGAAAATTGAAATGGAATATCCTGTATAAAAAACATCGTCTGTTATAAACCAACAAAAGTTGTTTGGTTTTGAAGAAAAAAGATCGATAGTTTTGAATTTTGATTAAGATCATTTTTCAAACTCATTTCAAGACATAAATTAATACAATTGTCGCTCGTATATTGAAAACAAAGTGATAAATATAAGGCCAACTTATCGAGCTGAATATTCGAGATGTTCAGTCAACTACCATTTATTACATGTATAAATTATAAAACTACAGTCATTATATTAAAACTAACGCAAATTACAATCATTCTATAAACGTTTCGACCGCACGCGGTCTTCTTCAGTATAATTATTGAAATATAAATTCTTACAATTCACATAATATCGAAATTTAATTATAGTTATTCAGAATCAAGAGTTTTTGAGTAATTAACGCGTGTTTCAATCCGTCCTGTCCAACAATGTTCGCCTCGATATGATCCCTGATTTTGTTCAGATCTCGGATAGTTTCATCGTTAATATGCGAGAAATTAACCCGTTCCGTAGGCGCTGCGATTTATAAAAAAATTACCGATCAACGCATGTCCAAATTATAATATGTATCCCCTACAATTGGTAGTATGCTTACCTATCATCGTTCTTCTTGATAATTTTGCTACTTATTAACCGTTATTAAGGATGACACATAACAAACCAACAATACAGAAAGACAGCTCATTTTAAACTCTACTTGATCGGAGAGCGTGTCACACTATCCGAGATCTGAACAAAATCAGGGATCATATCGAGGCGAACATTGTTGGACAGGACGGATTGAAACACGCGTTAATTACTCAAAAACTCTTGATTCTGAATAACTATAATTAAATTTCGATATTATGTGAATTGTAAGAATTTATATTTCAATAATTATACTGAAGAAGACCGCGTGCGGTCGAAACGTTTATAGAATGATTGTAATTTGCGTTAGTTTTAATATAATGACTGTAGTTTTATAATTTATACATGTAATAAATGGTAGTTGACTGAACATCTCGAATATTCAGCTCGATAAGTTGGCCTTATATTTATCACTTTCATTTCAAGACCTTTTTTAATTTAATCATCTTAAGTTTTTATATAAATCAATTCCTTACAATTTTTTGCATAAAAAGTTATAAGGGTAGGTTGATCAAAAAATAAATAAATTTGAGATATTTTACACAGTTTCGAGGGGGACATAAGGTATGATGGCAAAAAACTGAATATTTTACATTTATGTCAAAAAATCAATAACTTCGAACCTTTATAACTCAAAAAATACTCCATAAAGAAATACTTTTATTATAGTGTTTTGGAAAGCTCTCGAGATTAGCTACAAAAATAGGTAATAAAAAATAAGTGGTTCTGTTTAAAAAAATTGAAAGTTAACCTTTACGTGACCTTCAAGCAACTATTCAAGGTCAAATTAATGGCACCATCTTACGTCCCCCTCGAAACCATACAACTCTTATCTGAAACTTTTACAATAAAAAATCAAAAAATTATTTAGGACGGGACATTAAAATAAGACACCCTGTATTTTGTAAATCTTCATTAACCTTCATTAATCTTCACGCAGGCTTTGAGCAGAGCCGAGATGGCGTCCGCGTCCGGGGTGGCGGCGGCGGAGGCGGCGGTAGCCGCGGCGGTCAGGGCGTGGGCAGAGGGCCGCGTAGCGGCAACCAGGGTGGCGGCAGCTGGGGAGGACGCGGCAGCGGTGGCGGTGGCGGCGGCGGTGGCGATTGGAACAACGGCGGCAATCAGGGCGGATACGGCGGTGGAGGTAATCAAGGCTGGGGCGGAAATGGACCGTGGGAGAATCAGAACCAAGGTAAAGGTCAGGTTCGCGGACGGAGACGAAGTACTCCCGGCTAACTACTCTTGAATGAAGTGGATTTCGGTTCTCTCATACAGAGTGTCCCGTAGGAAATTGCTGAAACTAATTGGCTGTCATATTTTAATGCATGCAGTTATTGAGAGAACAAAAATTGTGTTGGAAAGAGGAAAGTCTGCGATTTTTAATGGATATAAATAAAATGTTTGTATACCAGTTTATTTTATTGAAAAAGAGTAATGAAAAAAATGCTACTAAATTTTCTTATTTGACTTAATACCTAGAAAATCATTTTTCTATAAGAACTGTGAGTAGGATACCCTAAACTAATTTGCATGAGAAACGTTGCAACTGAACTTTTCTAAATTTTAAGGCTCCCTTTTTATTTTTAGATGACATAAATAATGTTTAAAAAAAGAAAATAAAAATATATTGACGATGTATGTTTTTTTTAAAGGTGGAGGATGGAATCAGGGCGGACAAGGCGGTTATAACAGCGGCGGCAATTGGAGCAACGACAACTTCGGTGGCGGATATCAGCAGGGCTACGGCGGCGGTCCTGTGCGCAATAATTTCAACTCTGGCGGCAGATCGGCGCCCTACGGCGCGAATTCAGGCCCCAGCGGCCGGCAATCCGGCGACTCGAGATGGCTGCCGCCCTTCGGCGGACAAGGTTACTCTTCATCTTTGAAACTCGAGAGTGTGTCTTGGTTGCTTTTCGCCATTCTTTATTCCCCTCGCGCTAACTACGCCTTCTTTGTTTAACAAGAATTTCAAGAGCGATACTAACAACATCTCTGGGTTGTATCTGATACTTGTGACAATTTTATAATTATTTAATTTATATATTTTTATGTGGTTATTTAGTTATAATTATATAGTTTTATATTATTTATGTATTACATTATTATAACTTTTAATTATTTTATAACAATGTTTCCGTTACATAAGTCGAGGATCATCTTATCTTTTCACTGTAATAACACAGTAGCAATGTTCATTTTTCCATTTATCTTTTTTCTCAATATTAATTCATAAAAATTAATATATATATATATATTAATTTTAATATATTAACATATTAATATATATTAATATATTAACACAATATATTAATATATATTAATATACTATATAGTATACTATATAGAATAAATTAAAATATATTTCTCATATTCTTTCAATTAATTATCACTTATGTATTCACCCAATCATTAGCAGTTCAAATTTAATATATCAGGATCACACATTTTTACGTCGTATTCTGTATTGTGTGACTTCCAACTTCATGTATTGCTATTTTGTGTGAGTTTTGTGTGACTATCAACCTTTTCACGTTACAATAGACCATCTTTTACATTTTATGATGCTTGCAGGACCGATGGGTGGCGGAAATTCCGGTGGCGGCGGCGGCGGATACGGAAATCAAGGCGGATATGGCGGAAATTCCCTTGGTGGTGGAAACATGGGTGGCGGCGGCGGTGGAGGTGGCGGCAGCGGGAGGAGATATTAAAAAAGGAAGAGCATATAGCGATCCGAACCTCTCTTACTGGTGAGCAATTATTTATATATATATATATAATTTTAGAGTATAATATTATTCTAGGCTGCTTATCTTTTTATCGCGAGGTTCCGGAATTGTCGAGTAATTTTTATCCCTCGGATTTTTTTCTTATCTTTGGTTTAAGAAATATTTTTTTAAGCTCCTGGCTCCTCATCGACCATGTTAGATTGTGACGTCAGAGGCAAGAAAACGTACTCTAAAAATTTTTAGATGATATTTTGAAATAAAAAGATACTTTGATGAAACAAAGTTATCTAATGATGTCAAAATATCAAAATGACATCATTAAATGTCAAAATGACGTATGCTTGCATACGTAAGTGGGTATTCTTTTCTTTTTATAATCAACAATTATATCTCGAAAACCACTCAAGTAGCAAACTGACGTCATTAGACGTCGAAATGACGTTATTTTGACATTTAATGATGTCGGTTTGCTACTTAGATAGTTTTTGAGATATTTTAAAAGTGTGTTAAGGTCATCTGAAATACTATTTCATGGAAATATCTTTGATTTCGAAATGGTATCTAACAAGAATTTTTAACGTGTTTTCTCGTCTCTGACATCACAATCTGACAACTGAGCGCAGTGAGGCCCGGGAGCTCCTTATGATACATGTATGTATTACCAAAACAGATTATCCTTTTAATATAATATATTTATAAATATAATCATTATATTTTTTTTTAGTAAGAAACGATTCTTTAAGAATGATTATGATCTTTTATGGTTTTATGGTGTGCAAACGACGAATTAGAGCGCAGAGTTGTCTAACAATTGTTGCATCCCATTGCATCATTTTTATTTGACGTAGCTAGAATTAATCTGGCTATATTTAGCAGCGAAACAATTCGATAGCGTTTTTCTTTTTTTTCTTTTTTTGTAATCGACACATTTCCGAGCGAAGCTTAGAAGTGTAGAATAGATGAGGAGCTTAGATGGAGAGATAGTAAATTAGTTTTGTCTATATATATATATTTCTATGAGTGTAAAGAATATTTACTATATACTTATATATATATATATATATATATATATATATATATATATTTTTTTTACATAATAAATAAATAAATATATATATATATATATATATTTAATAAGTAGGTTATAATAATTATATATAACTGTATATTTCACTCTAACGAGCGAGATAAGAAGTGACGAGAAATTTCTCTTGAGGAATTTACTTAGTGCTTTCGCAATTCTCAAATTTGTGTACTAGGACCTCCGAGGGTCTCCAGGGTCAAGGATTTAAGAATCTCGGAATACGAGGTTTTTTTTGAGAATCTTAGGGAAGTCTAGAAGAAATATGTATTTCTTCAATTTTTACGGATTCAGTTATATAGACTGGATTAGATGTAATATTGTAAATTTTAAGATAGATCTGAATATTTTGGAGATGTCGAGCATCGCACAATTTATTTCCTTGGATTTTAATATTTTGCCTTATAAAATCAAGAATATAATTATAGATCAGAAAATTTGTAACTCACGAATTTTTTTGAAAGAGTAGAAAAGAGATTTTAAGAATCGGAATATTTTAAAATCTTTTAAGATTTAAATTATTGAACCATTATGAGAGATTCTAAGTATCAATAAAATAAATTTAGAATTAGAATAAATGTTTTCCAACAAATTATACAAAAAAAAAATAAAAACATTAGTAACATTTCAGCTACAATTTCATACATTTAAATTATTAATAATCACAATTTTTCTATATTTTAAATTATTATAGTGATTCCGAACAGATAATAATGATTTGTCATTTTATCTTATATTTTTTCTTTGTTTTATTGAAAAAATATACAATATATACATAAAAAATTATAAAAATATATATAAAGATAGAAGTGTAAAACTAATAGCAGTAATATTGATTATACTATTAATAATTTGGAAAATTAAATAAAATATATTTTATTACTCTTAGAATTAATTTAGTTTTAAAATCTTACATACTAGAACATAATTTAATGTAATGTTGTTGCTGGAAAACTTCTAAATGTCAAAAACTCCAATAGGGAGTCTCAATATCTTTATTTAAAAATTTTCAAATTTAGTTCAATAAAATTTAGACACCTAGAAACTCTCTTTAGTTAAAATTTTATATATGTAAAACTTCCAAAGAGATTCTATAAATTCGAATGTCTAGAAAAAGAAGAGTTGAGATATGTAGAAATTCAAGGATTTATATATAAATTGTCTACTTGGGTAAATTCAAAAAGATGTTTTCTTTAAATTTTTCAAATTTTAAATAGAAAAATCTGAAGAATTTTTAAAATATAAGAAAATCCGAGAAAATAGTTTTAAATTAAATTATCTAAGAAAAAGGAAAAGAACGAAGAAGAGAGTAGAATATTTGATTCCTAAAATTCAAGATGGACATTTTCTCGCAAAAATATGAACATTAAAAGAAAAGATCCAAAGATTCGATAAATTCTTTGCTCGCGACCCGACCGCGGTCCTTTGCACAGCCTCACAGGGAGTTTGACTAACGGATTTCTTGACTTTTGAACCTCAGGTGAAGCTACTACTCCTACTACTACTTGTCTTCTAGTCGCCAGTACTTCTGTACTGTTTAGTATCGGAAGCAGGCAGGCAGGCAGGCTATCAGGCTAGAAAGAGAGAGAGAGAGAGAGAGAGAAAGAGAGAGAAACAAGACAACGAACAGGCAGAAACTCAGAAAACTGTCAGGCAGGCAGGACAATCAGGATACAGGACAAAGATAAAAAGAGAAAGAGACAGAGAATCATCAGTTAGCTTGCAGTGAGAGAGGTTTACTACTATGCCTATCCCTTTCTAATCTTGCGTCTGATTTCCCTTTCCCTTCCATTCCACCTTTCCACTCATTGTAAACACATTCTCGCACCATCTCTCGCCGAGTGTCCTTTTTTCGAATATCCGGGTTCTCATCAAGTATCGATTGGCCAGGAAAAAAGGAAGTTTGTGTTTAAGTATAAAGGAAGATAATTTATAGGAGGAGAAAACGCGAGAGGGAGAGAGAAAGAGCATATATATATATATATAATATACATGTAGCGAGAGAGACAGCAACAGAAGACAGATAAGTGTATACCTCAGCGTTTCTTTTTTTCTTGTAGGAACTAGGATTAATTAATTAGGAAGTATAATTGAACTTAATTATTTTACGAATCTGTGTAATTGTTTAAGCGCTTGCAAGTCGACGAAATAAAAGTGGAGAAACCTTTTTCTTTAGCATGTTTTATATTTTCTGACGCCAGAGGGCGATAGTAGTTATAAGCTCAGGTTCAAGGACCTATGAAAGGGACGCAAACGGGGTCTAGAAACGGAAACTTGTCGTCCAAAACATCTTTCTTTTGCAACTTCGAAGTTTCATTGCTTCATGATCTCATTAGAAAAGTATATATATACACATATAAAGAATACAATTATATATTGAAACTTCTTAAGATAATCTCTTCCAAGTTGCACAATAAAGATTCAGGTGATTCTGACAGATCAGGATTATTATAGGCAAAATTGATATCTCATACGCCTCAAAGAGAGCTTGTAAGATGTATCGTCGACTTTTGTAGTCAATGAAAGAAAAAGAAAAAAATGTCACCGATATGTCTCGGGGCGCGTCGATGTTCAAATGTGTAATCCGCAATATTATAAATCATTTGTGTGTATAGAAAAAAAATCTCAATCCCACTTTTCTATAGTTCTTTTCGTCGCGAGGAATCTCACGAATTCGACTCGCGAGCCTTTTCCCCTGTTGCACTATCTCCTTGTCATGATTATATGTAGATAGTGATGCACACTTTGTAAAGCATTTGAACGTAAAATATTATCTAAAATTAAGAGCTTTGGCAAATTAATTAAGTTTGAAACAAGCTTTGATTTGATAAGATTAATAATATTAGCAACTTTGAAGAACTTGAAGTTTTCTTTAAAATCTTAAAATTTTTTAAAGTGAAGTCGCGTTTTTTGAGACATCCTTTTTTCGTTTTTTTTTAATTTTTAAAATTTAAATTATTAAATTTAAAAAAAATTTAATATTTATATAACATTGCTTGGAAATTTATGTAAGAGAGAAAAAAATTGTCATTACTAGAAAATAATAGATAGAAAAATTCACGAAATATTGGAAAATCTTTATTTGAAATATAAAGATTTCCACATTCAACGAGATCCGATCCGTTCTTCTTATCCTCCCCAATCAGTTTTTCCATCCTTAAAACCTAAAAGTGACGTCAAAGGTACTAGAGTAGTTAGTCTAGTGCAGTTTGTGGATCCCAAATGTAGTAACGAAGATTAGCAGCTTAAATGCCAGGAAGAAGCTAGAAGGCAGGCAGGTAGCAGAAAGAAAGAAAAAAGTAAGAGAGAGAGAGAGAGAGAGAAAGGATTCTCAGGCTGGAACAGAGACAGGACTAGTGTTCGCGCGCTAGGCTTCTCGCTCTAGCCTCTATTATACGAATCACAGGTAGGAATGTTAAGATCTCATTTGCTTAGACATACATATAATACGTATAAATATACATATATATATATATATATATATACAAGATGTACGATGATAATCGCCCCATCTCTTGTGTGTAGATAGAGTTAAGGCTCCTGATTCTCCTCATTGATTATGTTGGAATTGTGACGTCAGAGGTAAGAAACACGCTAAAATTCTTGTTAGATGCCATTTAGAAATCAAAGATATTTCCATGAAATAATACTTCAAATGGCCTTAGCTCACTCTTAAAATATCTTGAAAACTACCCAAGTAGTAGACTGACGTTATTAGACGTCAAAATGATGTCATTTTGACATTTAATGACGTCATTCTAACATTTAATGACGTCATTTTGATATTTAATAACGTCAAATGACGTCTAATGACGTCAATTTGCTACTTACATAGTTTTTGAGATATAATTGTTAATTATAAAAGAAAAAGAATGACGTTTATAGCGTCATTCTTACGTCAAAATGACGTATGCTTGCTAAATGGGTATCCTTTTCCTTTTATAATCAACAATTATTGTAAAATTACTGTAATATAGGGCCCAGTCTATATCTGGTCTTTGTACATGTGCAGTCATTCTGCATGACAAATCACAGTCATTTTACGGTTGATTGATTATTATTAAGACAAAATAATAGTTTTTATTATATTCTAAGAATGCTAAAGTCATCTAAAATAGTGTTTCATCGAAATATCATCATTTAAAAATGACAGCTAAGACTTTTCAGCGTGTGCTTTTTTACTTCTGACGTTACAATCTGACATGTCTATATACAAACGAGAAGTGGAACGATTTTTATCAGACACCCTGTACATACACACATACAGGATGTCTCGAAAGTCATGAATAATAAAGATATGTCATGAAAGTTCGGGAAAGATAAAATAATGAAAGTGCATGCAATTTTTTAATTTAATAGGTAGCAACTTTTTTTAATACTATACAAATGAGATTCACGAACAGACGATTTTAACCATTGTTTATTTTCATAATCAAATATTTAAACCTTTAAAAACTTATTTTGGAAAACAAGATATACACATTTTTCATTATTTAATTTTTCACGAATTTTCGCGCTGCAATTTTATTATTCTTATATCATTTTATTATCGAATTTTGAGACACCCTGATATGTACATATATATAGGGTCTTAAATGGTAAAAACTGTGTGCATGATGTATTACAGTGTTGTTTTACAGTATCCTTCAGGCGTCTCTACGTTGTATTTGGTATGCTGTATACCAGAGTTATTGTTTAGAAAACTTTATGGAAGTTTAATGAATTGAAAAGAATCGGTAGAAAAGCTCTTTATTCTCTATATATTTTTTAAGAAGAAATTAGAGAAATCATGAAATGCTGAGAAATATTTTTAAAAATCACTATATAATAAGATACATTCTTAGAATAGATAAATACGTAGAATAGAAAAAAAACCGCTTAAATAATATAAAAGTATATAAATTATTTAGTTAGTATATATTTAGTATTTAGTTTTTTGTAGGTATCCTTTTTTCTCATATGAATTTTTTTTTATATTTTATGTTTCTATTTTTGTTATACAATTACTAAAAGTAGCCCGAAGTGGGACATATTCAAGAACGCAGAACCATTTAAATATTTTCACAGAAACATTTAATTTTGTATTAAACAAAGCTTAAAATTATATATTATATTATTAGGAATTTTTTATTCGTGCTTTTATCTCGTTCAGCATTTAATAAATTTTTATTACTTACTTAAAAATATATAGTGCGTGTATGTATGTGTGTACACACAAGATATTTATTTTTAACTGAAAGTTCCTAGTTCTTAACTAACCATGTTGGAATTGTGACGTCAAAGGCGAGAAACACACGCTAATTTTTACAATTAGATGCCCTTTTGGGAAAAGAATAGTTTCTGAGGTATTTTAAAAGTATACTAAAGCCATCTGAAATAGTGTTTTATTGAAATATATTTTCATTTAAAAATAGCATGTAAGAATTTTCAGTATGTTTCATGTTTTCTCGCCTGACGTCAGAATTTAATATGGTCGCTCTAGGAGCTTTAATTTTTACGAAACATACTAAAACAGGTTAATTTTGTAAAAGTTAGTCGGAAATGAAAATAAATTAGGATGGGAGAAGTTTTTAAATAAACATCCTTGTACATATACAGGGAGGGGCAAAAGTTACAGAACAAAATATCTCGGAGAATATTGATTTAATAAAAAAATATTTTAACCAAAAAGAGTAGGGCTTAAAAAAAACTACTTGGTAATGATATTTGTTTGACCATGAAATGACCTCGAAAAACCCGGTCAAGATCAACATGAATATTTTAAATGGAACCTACTTTTTATTACATATTTTTGTAGCTAATGAGACCTTTCCAAAAACATTATAATAAAATATTTTTTCTTAAGCACTTTTCAAGTTATAAGACTTGAAAGTTATCTCCTGTTCTCTCCCTGTATACAGATTGAAAAAAGTTTAAAAAAAAATAATTTTTTTATTTAGAAAATAAATCATAAAAATTTCTTTTACTTATTTTAACTCTCTCTTACAAAATAAATACGTAAGAATAAAATTTACATTTGTTCAATATTAAAATTTAACTGGAAAAATGACAAAATTTCGATATTGATGTCGTTATTAATGTAAAAAGTGTACGTTTTCATATTTCTGCCGATTCCTTTTGATTCAGCTTTCTTTCGAAAAAGAAAGAGAAGGGCTTAGATTTTGATGGAGGGTCATTTACGTTTTGTATCGCTGTTGCATCGTTGCTTATTATATTTTTCCTCTTCTTTTTTTCATTTCTCTTTCATACCAATGTTCCCGTATGCACAAAAAGTCTTTCTATAAAAAAAAATTGCATTTGGAGCTTTTCGAAACAGGACTTTTCATAGACACGATATGCTTTTCTTTTTTTATGTGTCGCGTTCGAGGAGAATTAGGATTCTGTATATATAGTAAAGACTTTTATAGTTTTTTATAGTTTATTATAGTAATGATTTGAAGGATCTTAGGCAATAATTCAAACACATTTTTTGGAAAACAAAATTGAAAAACTTATTTATATTTAAAAATAATTTATTTATGCGTGTACATGTTTATTATATATTATTAAACATGTACAGGGTGTCCCATTTTATCCCTCTTACACAGCAAAATATCTCTTGAACAGTTCAGACAAAAGTTATAGGATTTCAAAGAGAAAAGAAGTTGGCATTACTAACTTTTTCTTAAAAAGTGATTTTTTTTTTTATCAAGATCATTTTTTTAAAATGAGACAACCATTTTTTATATAAATCGATTCCTCCCGCAAATTTTGATGTAAAATTTTGTTATAAGAATAGGAGAGCAAAAAATGAATAATTTAAAGGTTTTTGATACTTAAATTTGCCATAATTTTACATAAACTATAAAATCTTATCTCAATACTTTTATACACACGATAACGAGAGGAATCAATTGGTGTAAAGAAAACACATAGTTGTTTGTAAGAAAAAGTATGTAGTTCTTAGTTGCAAATTGCATTTCGGTAGATAAAATCCAACCAGAGTCATCATTGTGATCCTTCTTTATAATATACAATTTTTATGTGAAAAATATTTTTACAAAATTATATTTTTAATTTTTTTATAAAATTATATTTTTGAAGCATTTGCCTATTAAGATTATATGTCGTCTTGTTTATAATATATATAAATTATATTTCATAAAAAAAGAATTACACTTATATAAAGAACAAAATTTTATATTCTATTTTGCATTTTTCAAAAAATTAATTTTCAAAAATATAAGAAGAAAATTCAAATATATTCTCAAAGATTTATGTATAACTTGAATCTTTACCCAGGCAGCAACGTCACGTGATTTTCACGTTAATTTTTGGTCAGTCGTAACGTCATTTATAAATACGTAATAATAACGTAAAAATGACGGGAATAAGTCACAGCCCACAGACGTCATAACGAGATGTGAAAATGACGTGTTATTATAATCCTTTTTTTACTTTATTTTGACATAAGAAAGACGTCATTTTCAATATTTTGGAAAAAATAAAAAAAATATATAGTACATATTTATTTCACATTTATTTATTGCTGATATGTAATTTAAATACATTATATATAATATATATTTCTTTGTTATATATATATGTATGTATGTATGTATATATATATATATATATATTTATATTTGTTGAATGAGATGGACTATACAATGTTTGAGGATCACCATTAAAAGAACTCAGTGTATCAGATGTTGCACTTTGTTGAATACTTTTTGAAGTTTCTAAAAAATATGTAAAATATGTAAATATTTGTTTTTAAATAATATAGAGTTCATTTATTGTTTATTTATCTACTCTGAGTAACTTGTAAAATATTATTGTTTCTATCTTTACTTGAGCTCGATTTTTATCTTTTTTATTTAGTGTCAAAACTATAAATAAACAAAGGAGTAGATCTATATATTTCGTAATGTTAAAATCAAGGAAAGCAATTCTTAATTAATATACATAATTATAAATCTATCTATTTCTATAGTTAACCAAAATTAATATTATTATATATTGATATATAATGATCATAACTAATTAATATATCAAACTTACGTGATGATGAAGGTGATGCTTCATCATTATTTACCTTGTCATTTAATCTGGCAATCTTTGGTGGTGGTGGAAGTTTATGCTTCTCAGATAAAGCCTCGTTTTCATCATCACTGCTGCTGTATATTAATTTTTTTGATTTATGGATTGTTCTCTTTAATGGCAAAGCCTCATCAACTTCACTTTGACAATCAGACGTTATCTGTACTTGTCTGATTTTACTTTGTGCTTTACTATAATCATCTACAATACAATTATACATACATAAAGATAAATATTTTATAGAAAATTTTGTAATTTATACATTACCAGTTTCAAAAAAACAGCGTTTAATTTAAAAAATTTTCCAAGAACCATCTTTTTCTGGGACTATGCCTTTTTTAACAGCCTTATCATATTGAGAATGAAATTTATAAGGTGGCCAGAACACTTCCTGTTTGCGTGGTGTTAACCACTGTTTGCTTACAAGAGCAATACCACCACCACTACCATCTGTAAATTCAATTCCAATAAACGACATTTCTAAACAGTAAATGTCGTTAAACCTACAAATTTTAATACAAATCAATCAATATAAAAAGTTTGATATTTAATAAATATTTTTTGAATAATAATGATATATTTTTTAAAATATTAATTATTTTGAATTATTGAAATTATTGAAATTAAAACATAAGATTTAAAAACAAGTATTTATAGATATTAAAAATTAAAGTAAATGTACAGCTATTATTTTGTATTTCAAAGTTATGTTCCAAAACATCCTCTTCGAGGAAAAGTCCACTGAAAATTTATAATAATAATGTGCATTAGTTTTTTATGTAAAATTTTCTTGGATGTTATTGGAACATAACCCAAATAGCAAACAGAGAAGTTATGATGAATTAAGTATTTTACAAAATAACATACTTAAATACTGCAACATTTGTCTTCAAGTATTTATGAGAAAAAATATGTTAATATAAAGATAATAAACTTGTATTAGATATACTTACCAACAAATAAACCGTAAATTGTATCACGCAAAGCACAGAATAGAAACCTGTACTTGGCATAAAAAAGGCGCGTACAACGTACATGAACACTGCCTTCATGCATTAAATTATGTGTGCGTATTTGTCACCTATCTATTTTTTAACACTTAGAAGACATCTTAAAGAAAAAAGATATCTTTCAGACATTTTTATAATGTCTTTCAAATATTTTATAGAAATTTCTATTGAAGTGTAACAAACTGACGTCATTAAATGTCTAATTGACGTCACCTTGCCGTTTAATAACGTCATTCGACGTTAAAATGATATAGAGTTGCTACATGGGAAAAATTTATATAATTATATTAATGACGTTTATGATAAAAAATTATCATTAATATTTTAATATATAATAGATTTTTATATTTCCCATTGACGAATTATAAAAAAAAATGTATATAAAAAAATAGAATTTTTTAAAATCTTAAATGACTTGTTTTAAACGTATTATAAACGTCAGTTATTGGGTATATGACGTCGAGGACCGCTAATCACTACTTATTGACGTGAAAATCACGTAACGTTGCTGCCTGGGTAATGGTCCATTTTCTCACGTTTACTCTTAGATTACTATTAGATCACTATTTTTCAAAAATTCTTTTAAATTGTGTCCCTTTTTGCTGAGATTCTCGATATTAAGTTGTATTTAGTAGATATTTTAATTAATTCAAACTTTGTTATTTGAAATTCCCTAAAGAATAATTGATCTTTCCGCTGATCTTTTCATGCCCGAGATTCTTCTGAAAAATTTGATACTACTTAAGGATTTAAGAACAAAATGATAACAAGAAAAGAAATTCTCTTAAAAGATAAAAAAATTAATGCTCTTGATGAAGTATCCAATTTGAAAAAAAGCGACTTGGCCGAATTTAACCAACGAACTAGATTTATAAGATGTAAAAGGGATAATTTGAAAAGGACGATAGGACGATTTAGGTTTCGTTTGAGTTCTCTTCTTGAGGGAGACAGGCAGGCCGCGTTTGTTATCGAAACTTTTTTTTACTTTTCACTGTATATTAATTGTTGTCTTTCGTTTTCATTAATTTCTGGTTTACCATTCGGGCTGGTACGCGAAGAGAGCGACTTATCTCCGCCGCCATCCTTCCGAGAATTCGTCGACAGAGGTAAGTTCACATTACAAATCCGCCTCCACGATCTCTAGCGATCCGAAATTTTTTCGAGTCGCTCCAATTATTAATCGAGATGAGGTATTCTTCGAGAAAATCTGAGAATCCAAGTTTTCGAGAATGATCAAGAGAGTAAAGACTTTTTCAAGGCACCTCGTTGGCCATATTAGAATTGATGGCGTCTCTGACGTCACAATCTAACATGGCCGGTGAGGACTCGGGAGCCTTAACGGAATAAAAAAATCTATTAACGGAAATTAAAAAATTAAAAATCTTAATGTTTCAAATAAAACCTGAAAAGTATCAGGCTGTTCTTCCCTGATGAAGTGAACTGAATTGTTCACGTTGGAATCAAACAAAAAGTCTATGCGATTCAAATTCGAAAAAACAAGTTATATTTCAAAATGGAACCTGTTTAAAGATTGAATTTAAATTGTTTGAGGATTTTTTCGAATCGGATGTAGAATCTTGGAATCTGGTTTTTTTAAGGATCTAAACATTTTTTGCATTTACAGCTACAAAATATTAAGTATTTTGTGAAAAGTTTTTAACAGAGCAAAGATCTTAAATATCCTAGAAATTACGATAAATTTCTTAGGATTTTAGGATCTGCTGTATTTAGGATTAGTTGTATTTTTACATATTTAATAAACTTTTTTCTAGTCTACAGAGTTTTGTTTCATTTTCCTCCGAACTCTTGAAATACACGATTGCATATTGTACTCACGCATTATTCTAAAAAATTTATTTAAACCAATTATGACACTCTGTCTGTGATATTTTTTTATGAAATTTAATTAAATATTATAATTAAATATTAGGCGTACAAATTAATTCTCGGTTTTTTTTCAATGAAAATTAACGTTTATTTAAACAAACTTTAGAATAAACTTTAATCAACAAAGTAATACAAAACTATATATATAAAGTAGAATGTACATAAACAGGTCAACTTAAAAACGAGCAAATTATTTAGGTGTATAAATTAAAAAAAAAAAAAAAAAAAAAAAAAAAAAAAAAAAATATATATATATATATATATATACAGTATATATATATATATGTATATTACAGCGAAAAGACGAAATTGTATATAATAAGTATTATTTATTGAAGATAATAATATAATTTATTGACTGATAATATTATATAATAATTAACTACTTTATAAACTGTGCAGTAATGTAAATCATAAAGGTGTTTTTCTCCCACTTGTGCGGTAAAGTAAAATATACATCGTTGAGAAGTAAACTACCTTCTGCATGCTACAACAGCAATCGAAATTCGAACTTTCGTGACTGGCATTACAAAAAATAATTATATGCGTTGTCATCAAAAAATAAATAATATAAATAAATGTGTAAATAATAATTCAATAGTATATTGTGTTTTAAGTGCGGAAAGTTGACAATTGGTCACGAGTGCGGGGGATGGATGCACGAGCCGAAGGCGAGTGCGACCACCCCACACGAGTGAACAATTGTCAATCCGCACGTGATACACATACTATTTTGTATTACAAGTGCAGGCAAAGTGGCTTTGTGCGTGTTTTCTGTGCGCGAGATGGCCGATCGCACGCCACCATCTTGCGGCGTGGGAAATCGGCCGCTTTCCGCACAGAAAACACGCACACAAAGTGCCACTTTGCCTGCACGTGTAATACAAAATTAATTTTTAATTATTATTTACAAAAATAAATTTTTGTTTAATATTAACAAAAATTAATTTTTAATTATTATTTACACATTTATTTATTATTTATTTTTTTTACTATGACAACGCATGTAATTATTTTTTGTAATGCCAGTCACGAAAGTTTGAATTTCGATTGCTGTTTAGCGTGGCTTATTTCTCAACGATTTAATGTATGCCTTACTTTACCGCACAAGTGTGAGAAAAACACCTTTATGACTTACATTAACGCACAGTTTTTAAAGTAGTTAATTATTATATATTATTGTTCAGTAAATAAAATTATTATCTTCAATAAATAATAGTTATCTTATATGCAATTTCGTCTTTTCGCTATAACTTTAAAACAATCGACTTTAAGGCATATGTGTATTAAGTCTTTTTGACTTAAAATGATCCCAAAAAGACAAAATTTCACTGTGGACATCACGTTGCGGGACACCCTGTATATAATATATATATATATATATATATATATATATATATATATATATATATATAATATAACGGCCGAGAATTAATTTGTATTACACCTAATAATACAACGAAACAAAAAAATAGTACAAAAAGAGAATAACCATTTAATGTAATTTTTAATGCTAAATTTATGATAGAAAAATGTTATTGCAAAAATGAATTTAATATATTTTATATTATAGTATATGTGATGTATAAGAGTTTTATTGCAATCAGTTATTTATTGTCAAGATTCTTAACCCTTAAAAGAAATTAGTTACTATATATAAAAGTATTATATTTTTTGTATTGATTGTTAGTAAAATATTTATCGTTAAATATAGAATCTATTTCGGAAAAGTTACGAATTAGATTATTGAATATTGTCAAATTTTCAATTAATTTTTTCAATTTAAGGATTTTATAAGTTGTTACATATGAATTTAACATAAAAATTGTTTGAAAAATTCAATATGATGGAATCAATAACAGATATTAAAATTAAAATATTTTCAGATTTTTGAAAAAAATTGTACATATATAGAAAAATTATAAGTTTGTTAAATTCGTATAAAAAAAAGGCCGTAACCGGATAAGAAGGACCAATCTGCCCCCAACACGAACCATGCTCATTTTTTTTAATATGATTGCTATCAGTGTAACTGAAAATTTAGCCAAATATTAGCCTTTAATAGTGAACCGTTTTAGTGTAAAAAATAAAATTAAAAGTTTTGAAAGTAATTTTAGGCGTGATACTGAGGCGTGAGTCTGTTTTAAATAATGTAAGTGCTGAGCTGGTTTCGGTATTTTTGATAAATATCATCCGTAAGATAAATAATAAATAATAGCAGCAATTGGACATCAGGAATAAAAAGATACTTTTGTGAGTGTGCCAATGGACGGAAAACAGTTGGCTGCTGTTCACACATTGCTGCCATTATTTATTGTACATTCTATGGACGATATTTATCAAAAATACCGAGACCAGCCTATCACTTATGTACATTATTTAAAACAGACAGCATCACGCTTATCAATGAAGATATAGTGATGAAGATTAATTCGTTCATTGGAATACTGTAAATAATAGTATGAGAGTGATTATCTGAACGGATGTGTATATGTACATCATTATTTTGAGATTCTTTAATAAATATTTGATTTAATACGATTATAGTTTATCCTTTAAATAATTATTTTATTTTATTTTATTTTGTTATTGTTTTAGTGCCTATTTATTTAATCGATTCCGGAAAATTACTTGTAGGATATCAATCCAAGATCCTAAATACAAATATAGCGATGATACAAAAAATCATGATAATTTTGAAAAAAATGCTTTATTTCTCAAAAATACCGCTTATCTATTTTATTAGTTCGAAAAAATTACTTGTTACAGAATATTATCTCAACATTCTACAAAAAATATATAGCGATCGTACCAAAAGCATATATTTTTTAAAAATTATAAAAGGATTTTATTTTTTTAAAAGTACCCCCTACCCATTTTATTGCTTTCAAAAAATAATGTCTGATACTGAAACTATTTCAAGATTGTATAAAAAATTCTTCATAATTGTACCAGAAAGATTATCGGCTTAATCAATTGAGACTAATAAAATGTATCGAGACTAATAAAAAGTAAAAACATTTATTTATTTTTTAAATCAATGTTTTTATCATTAGAAACTCCCGAATTTTTCATAAATGTGTGTCAATGATATCTACAACATATTAAAATTTTATTAAAATCGATTAAGCCGAAATTTTCGAAATTTTTAATTTTATTTTTTTACACCAAAACGGTTCCATATTAAGGGCTAATATTTAGTTAAATTGTAAGTGACACTGATAGCAATCAAAGCAAAAAAAAATGAGCATAATCCGTGCGGGGGTAGATTGACCCTCCTTATCATCCAGCTATGACTTTTCAATAAACATAATTAAAAACTGTGATAAATCTAATAATTTAATTTATAACTTTCTCACAGTAGATTTTATATTTTATTTCGAATATTTTATTAGTTATGATCGACACAAATTCGTTCGAGATAAACGTATTAACAATGTTTTTACTTTGATTGCATTGCGAACAAAGCTTTTTAATAAGTCACATAATATAATTACAACATAATAAAATAGCTCTTTTTGTAACTTTAATTGAAAATTTTTGCAAAATCGTGACATGGTATAGAAACAATTTGGAATTGCATATATATATATTCAATGATAAAAAACTACACAAAATAATTTTTCTCTTTTTTTTGTGTTAACAAAAAGTTATTTCTTTTTTAACTGTATAATTAAGTATATTAGTGAGAGAAAATTAATTTTATAAATATTCGTGTATGTACAATAATTTTGCAGTTTCGTGTATTATTCTTGTTATTATAATTAAGCATTGATCATGAATAAAACATGCGCAATTAAATATAACTTTATTATAATTACTATATATAAATAATAATCGCAACTATATAATTACGCATTACTACTAATAAAACTGCAACTATATAAAACTATATACACTATATAATTACGCATTACTACTAATTAATTGTATCTAGATTAATGTCTTTTTAATGGTACTTATATATATTATTTATTATATTATATAATTATTTACCAAATTTACTTTACATTTACGTTCAGTACGTCAACCAATAAGAGGCAGACAAGCTTACGAAGGTAAGTCGATTATAAATTAATTTGAACAATCAATTCAATAATTCTACCTACTCAATTAATGATTGGAAGTTCGAAAGCATGATTTTGTACTTCCAAGCGATTCTCGATTTTTTCATGAGTGTGAATATTATATTCCCTTATAGAAATTTATCACTAGTAACGTCAATTAATCACTTATTTGGAGTACTCAAATTACTGTATCAGTATTTTAAGTATTTGAAATAAGTGATTGATTAGCATTACTAGTGATAAATTTCTATAAGAGTTATCTGTAATATTTCTAATATTATCTCTTATAAAATTTAGCATCTACAAAATAAAAGATTTTCGATGAAGAAATATTAAAATTATCCAACAATATCCGCGAACCATCTAATGGAATTTTGTATTCGATGAATATGGACAAAATTTATATAAAGCATCGTCTTACGATATTACGACACTAATTTAATACTGAAATATCTTTAAACAGATAAAAATGTTGCAAATTTATTTTTATTTCTTAATAAGGCCTACAATGTTGTTTTTAACATTAATACTTATTAACTTTAATAGGTTGAATTATTATTATATTTTATCAATTTCTGTTTTCAAATATTTAAAAATTTTATTGTTTAAAGATATTTCAATATTATCTTGCGATGTCGATATGAAGATTCGCAAACATGCAAATGTAAAATGCAAAAATAAAATTAATAATTTGTTGAAAATCAAAGACGTGTCAATCCTATCTTGGATTATTCTGAATATTAATCAAATGTTAACATAAAATGAATGTGGTTCTATTCACAGAAATTAAATTGATTAGGTGTAATTATACTAATTGTAAGTTTTTGAAAACTGTAGCGAAATACCTCGAAAAATGTGATTTACAAATAAATATTTCAAACGAGTTGATTTAAAAAAAAATCTAAATTTAAAGTGTAAGACAGGCAATAAGAGCCAATCGCGGAAGACAGTGCGTTATCCCAACGAAACTAAATTTTTTCGTTAGAATTAAATATCTGTGCTTAAGGCACTAAATTTTTACTTGATCACGGCCAAGATTTTAAAATATGAAATAATCTCATATTTGAGATTTAATTTCAATAATTCTTTAACCCTCCTACGGAAATAAATAAATAAATGCAAGAGAAAAATATAGATCCGAAAGTCGTATTTATTTATTTCCGTAGAGGGGTTAAAGGATTATTGAAATTAAATCTCAAATATATGAGATTATTTCATATTTTAAAATCTTGGCCGTGACCAAGTAAAAATTTAGTGCCTTGTGCACAGATATTTAATTCTAACGAAAAAATTTAGTTTCGTTGGGATAACGCACTGCCTTCCGCGATTGGCTCTTATTGCCTGTCTTACACTTTAAATTTATATTTATATTACAGAGCCTTGTTAAACTCTTAAAAAAAATCTATTGTATTATAATTTGCAACTAACAACTACATATTTTTTCTGACAAGGAAAAGTGTTTTTCTTTACAGCAATTAATGTTTCTCTAATGTTATTTTGTGCAAAAATATTGAGGTAAGATCATATCGAAAAATGAATATCAAATATTTTATGTAAGATTATGCCAAATTAAAATATTTTATAAAATTATTTACTTTTTAGCCTTATAATTTTTTATTGCGAGTATTAATTGAATTGATTTATATAAAAAAGGTGATTTCCATAAAAAAAATTTAAGATGAATTTCATTCTGATTATAATTCATGATATCACTAAAATCAAAATAATAAGGCCAATAAATAAATTTTATTAAAATTCTATAACTTTTTTCTGAAACATTTCTATGTGTATAATATTTGTCAAGATATTTCGCTATAGTCCGCAATTTTTTAACTACTGTATGGATTTCGTTCAAGAGAATACATGCAATCAAGAAGATTAAAAAATTGATTTTTCAATCTTTATATCTTTAATTCTTGTTGAAATGTTCTTCAAAGTCACGGATGTGGCAAAAGAAAATGCTTTTCTCTTTAACTTAAAAAAAAAATTAGAAAGATTTTTTATTTCCGTTGCTTTCTTTAGTAGACGTATGCATTTTCTCGAAAGGCGTATAGAAATGGGTGAATTTTTGTTTATAAAAAATTCATTTTTTCGAGAAAAACGAAATAATGAAAATTTTTATGCATTAATATAGATGTAAAAATTTTGTTTTAAATTATTAGTTTTCTTAAAATAGTGAGAACAGATTTTTATTTGTGTTTTGAAAAAGAGAAACTAATCTTTGGAGAGAGTCGTGCTTTTATATAAAAAAAAAAAGATTTTAACTTATTGTCAGACGTATTTTTAAGTGAACGGCGATATCGCATTGGATTTAACTAAGTTGTGGACACGAGATTTGGCGGATTGTCGGACGTCTCGCTTCCGCTGCTGCTGTAACGTGGCTGATCCTTCAGAGATTCGTCGGCGACGACGACTGAATTGCCGGGAATGACACAGGAATGATTTCGATTGGCGGGTACCGATCCGTAGGTGTCCTTGTATAAGCAGAGGCCGCAGAATCCCGTCGCGTTGTAGAGCGGCAGGTTCATCAAACCGTTCGACACGGCGAAGTTTCTGCAAGAGACATATGAGACAGTTGAGTTGAGTAAATAACCCTAGTTCGCCCTTCTGAGGACGACTGGAGTATGCATTTGTGCATTTCCTCACGTTATAAAAAAGTGTGTAATAGAGCAAAAACAGCAATACATATTTATGTTCAAACCTATAGTATGAAATGTAGCAAAAACAGATTATGTGTGCATAGAGTTCTAATACATGTTTGCTCTGAATGATTTATATAATTTAAAATTCAAAATATATGTAATTATTCTTCGAAAATCAATCGATAATTACCGATATTTTTAATTTCAAAAATAAGGGCGTTCTTATTTTGTCAGAGTTCGCTGTGGGATCCCTTTAATCATTACCAATCAACGAATATTTTTGGACACTCGACGTTATATTTTATATATTTTCTAATCTCGCATGGTTTATGATTACTTTTGTGAAAAATGGTCCCGGGAAAATTGCACGTAGGAAAGGGCGCGTGATCAATTTGTGTATCCCTGTTCGCTCGAAAGAGCTTTTATTCGGCGAAGCATTAGGGGAGGATAAACTGTGGATCGCGTGTCGGCGACCCTCCCTGCTCGTTTACGTTCCTTAATACTGTGGTTGGGTTTAATGAAGACTGTTATTGTGAGATCATCCCCTCCTTCCCATTAGGATCTTGTAATAAGAGTTCCCATGACTCTTCATTTTTTATCAATATGTAATATTTTAAGTGTGAGTGGTGTAGAGAGTTGTACGTCTGTTATCGGTGCCAAAGTCCAAATCCGAACAGAAACATCTCTATTTGATTACCTCTCAATAGGTAATGGCAAATTATTTTGTCACCCTTCTCTGATCTAATCCCAGCACCATGTCCAAAATTGATGCATAAGACATTTTTAAGATGTTTTCAAGATGCCTTTATTTGAAATAGCATATCGTAAGATTTTGTAAAGATGTCTTAAAGACTCTTAATGATATCTTATGCACCAATTTTGGACATGGTGCTATCTAGAATTATTTGGAATTGGTATACAACTGTTTAAGTTCCTATGGAAAATGTATGATAAGGGCAAATATATACATAGAGAGGAATCATTACCTTCTGTCAAGAGAAACGGATTGTAAGAAAGAACATTTTAGACTAACAAAAGAATCTTTAAACACAAGAGACGAAGCTAATGGGAGTTTTCCAACAAGAAAACAAATATAGACACATGAAAAGTGATGCAATTGGCTACTGAAGAAAAATTTTTAATGTTCTGAAAAATTTTTCTATTTGATAATCATGATATTGTGCTTATGTTAAAATCTTATTATACTTCCAATAAAGTGAACTAAAAGTTTGTTTGGATTTTGTCAATAGATGATGACTGAAAGTAATCAACCACTAGGTATACGAGGTGTGATTAAAAAGTAAGGTGACTTTTTGAATTTCGCGCGCTCTGTACACTCTAATGTCAAAATGTTTGTTTGGTTGTGTTGATATACTCGTCACGATCATATGTTCACAGTTGACTATATAGCATGTGTTGTTTTTATGTGAGAGGCATAAAGGTTAGACTCGTGTTTGCGTGCTCGGCGATTTTTTGCTGTTGAAAATAATGGAGCAGAGAGTTTGTATTAATTTTTGTGTAAAAAATGGTATTAAGTGTTCAAAAACTTTTGAAATGTTGACAGTGGCGTACGGTGAGTCAACTTTGAGCAAAAAAAGTTTATAAATGGTATAAGTTATTCCAAGAGGGCCGAGAAAATGTTAACGATGAACCTTGCTCTGGATGCCCCAGCACGTCAAAAACCGACGAAAATGTTCAGGAAGTGAAAGAAATTGTGTTAAAAAATCGTCGAATCACGATTAGAGAAATAGCTGATGATCTTAACATATCGTTTGGCTCATGCCAATCAATTTTAACGGATGTTTTGGGTATAACATGTGTGTCAGCGAAATTCGTTCCAAAACTGCTTAATTTTGATCAGACTAGTGAGTAGTTTTTTGGCCAAAAACAATACTATCATCATGCCTTAGCCACCGTATTCACCAGACTTGGCCCCCTGCGACTTTTTCCTCTTCCCCAAATTGAAAAGGCCTATGAAAGGACGACGATTTGCGACGATTGAAGAGATTAAGGCTGCATCGCTGGAGGAGCTCAAGGTAATACCCAAAAGTGCATTTCAGAAATGTTTTGACGACTGGAAAAAGCGCTGGCACAAGTGCATTGTATCAGAGGGGAATTATTTTGAAGGGGATAACATAATTTTGGATGAATAAATGAAATTTTTTTATAAAAATGAAAAGTGACCTTACTTTTTGATCACACCTCGTATGTATATGCTAGGAATAAAAACTAGTTACGCTGATTATTTATAATACTATTTATTGACAAAATCCGCGAACCCAATCAATCCAATAATACGAAGGTAGTGAAAATAATAAACGAAAATTTTGTTCTCTTTTTCGTCGTCATATAAATCTGTCATGTTAAAGACAAATATGCTCAGCCTCATACACTGCTTTTTAAATAGATCTCGTCAACTTCGAAGTGGAATATTCTGCTATCTGTCATACAATCCTAACTTGGTTTTATCTGATTAACTTGTTCGAATCAATAAAGAAATTTTTAAGAGACAAAAAATTTTATAATAGGCATGACAAGGCTAATGAAGATGTACAAAACTGGTTTAACAAGCAACGAAAAAATCTAACAATTTTTTTAAGATTGGAATTTAAAAAAACTTTCATTATGATGAAACAATGCATTACAGTTAAGGGGGACTATACAAGTAATACGTGATAGTGTTATAAATAAAATTTATAGAAATAATTAATATTTGATAATGTCTAACACCCTAGTATAACGTTGAACACATCTCAACGAGTGAAAGATTGTTGAATAAATAAATTTTACTGAAAATCCATCGAAAGACATAAAAGGTTTCATTATCTTATCGAGATCCCAATAAGATCCCTTATTGAGCCCTTAATGTTCAGATTAAATTAAAATTGCAAAAGATCAAACCGAATGTAAAGGGAAGGGGATGAGAAAGGAGATGGCGACAAGTGGATGAGAAAATCCCCGCGGTTAGCACGGCGAGTGCATTTATCCGTGGGTTTATCGAGCGTCAGGTGCATATCGACTGAATAACGCCGGGGCTACCCCCGGCAAGGCAAGGGTAGCGGCGAAGAAGAGGAGAGAAGAGGGAAAGGGAGGAAGGGTGGGATTCGGTGGACCTCGAGAGAGCGACGCTCGACTGCGATGCGAGCTAGGGTGATTCCCGATGCGATATGCCGCTAAATAGCCTTAAGTAGGATTATGTCTCGTGCTATTATGACGAAGAGGTGAGGCGAGGAAACGGGAGGAGGAGGCGGAGAAGCTTGTACAAATTTCGGCTTTGTGCGGGAAGCCCGATCGGGACGTCCCGACACCTCGCGCCGCGTCCCCAGAAGGGGAGAGCGCTCGAGTTTTCGTCTGTGAATCGTACCGGAGTAATTGTTCGCGATGAGACTGAAAACCTGATTTCCTGCGATTTAAAATGCTTCCAGGAGGATTGTAAAGTTTCATCTTTGCGAGAATCCTTAAATCTTTGTAACGCAAATGAAAACATTTGGGCAATATACAAAATTAGAACAAAATATTAAATCCAAATATTATGTGTGAATACAAAGAATGCATCTTACATGATATTGGAAAAGAGATTTTACATAAAAACAAAAAATTGTATGGAGCCAAAAACAATCAAAAATTTCATAGTTTTGATGAGAAACACTAGAAAAATTAGTATTCTTAAAATAATTGCATAGATATTGCCCAAGTTGCCATTTTGGCTCTTTTAACCTCATTTATCTCGTAATCCTGAACTGATAGAGCAATTTTATGACCAAATTCATATTTGCAGTGTCCAAAAATGATTTGAGAAACCTAAATGTCGACCAGTATTAAATGTAAATATAATCTATGTATTTACACATGTATTTATCACAATAACTTGATTTGTAAATCTTGTAACAAATAATTAAAGGAAATTTGAAATTTGCGTTTGTTTTATTCTCTCTCTCTCTCTCTCCCTTCTTTTTCTTTTAAATTCACCAGTTTTACAGAATTGTTTTATTACGGAATGATTGATGAAACTAACAGCCACGCACTCTAATAAACGCATTAGAGCTAGAGTGCAATACGTCACGTCGACAAGATAACGATTCGATTGGATGCATAATGCGTGGGATGCACAAGGCGCGTGGGATGTGCGCGAGAACAGCCATATGCTCCGTATGGCCTCTTATTTTTCCCATGTTAGCTTCAATAAGGCGGGGAATTAGGATTGTGTGCGTTTAAATAGCTTTGAGAAATAACATCGGCAAATAACCAACTTAACTGTTCTAACTAAACGAATTAACTGTTGTGAGACGAATTATTAATTTTCAAATATAATATATTTATATAAATAGCGAAAAGTTTATAGTTTATGTATATGCGGATTGTTCAATAAATAAATATACTTTATGCGCAATTGAAACCTTGTAAGAGAGAAATATACATGCAGGGTATTTCTAAAACTATGTCAGAAGAGCGTATTCTAGGATCAAAAAAAAGAAAAAACCTCCTATAAAAATGGCTCCAAATATGAAAATTAGCACTTGTTGTCGCACAAATTGTCAGAATTTTAGAAATCAATACCGATACTGTTGATCCAATTGCGCTTTCTCGATCCTCTTGTCTTTGGCACGTCTGTTCTGGAACCAGATTTTGATCTGCGTCTCGGTGAGTCTAAGAGAGGCAGCGAGTTCGAACCTACGTCCCCTCGAGATGTATTCCCCTCGTCGGTACTCGACTTCCAATCTCAGGGTTTGTTCGCCGCTGAACGTCGTTCTCTGTCTTCGCGGTCTGCCCTCTTTTCTTCTTCTACGTGCCACTGTAAAGATAAAAAAATTCTTAGATTTTTCGTTACACTTATATGATGTCCACAAATGGAATATCCTGATTTCTTTTTTTCATGATCTCAATTTATTTAAAGAATATTGAAGAATAAGAATATTTTTTGTCTACTTTTAAAAAATTAACTGTTTATTGACAATGAGAGGTATGAAACGTGGCTTCGTGTAGAATATCGTTGACTGACAGTCGACAGGTTCCCAGACAGCATGTATCATATCCAAAATTGGTGTATAAGACATTTTTAAGATGTTTTTAAGATGTCTTTGTGCGATATCATAAGATTTCTTAAACATGTCTTAAAGATTTCTTAATGATGTCTTATGCACCAATATTGAACATATGGTGCTGTCTGAGTTTTAGGTTCGAATCCGTAATACCCTTTATGTCTCTTAAAAGATTTTTGGAAAAAGATTGTGGTTGTTTGGCAGAAAAAGGGTGCTTTTCTAATAACGACACAAATTAACACAAGCTGACACAAGTATATCAATCTATCTTTTATTATTCCTGAATATTGAAAAAAGACAGAATGATGCTTGTGTCGACTTGTGCCAATTTTTGTGTCATTAATAGGAAAGCGCCTAAAGAGTTCAAAACAATCATCCATATACTATTTGGAAAAAGAAAAGAAAAAAGGAAGATGAGAAAGAAGAAGAGATATGAATAGAGAGGGGAAGGAAGAACTCTATTAGATATGAGATTGCTTAGGGTCAAGTTAGAATGGAAGTTAAAGTAACGAGATTTTGTAATAGTTTAGATACGCTTCTTTAAAAGCGCCTTTGTAATCCTGAAAAGATTAAATTAAATAAAATTACAAAATTTAACTTTCTGAGAATGCTGAAAATATAAATGTATATGTAACTATTTTATCAAATATTAGAGGAAAAAGACAGAAAAAAATGAAATTAAAAGTGACTATAATTCTCCCATTCAAACGAACAATCTATAATGATCCTGTGATCAGCGTGAAACAATTAGGACACGATCACGCGACGAAGTTTTCACCCGGGATTCCCCCTAACATCTGGATGCTCGTACAAGTAACAAATGATCAACTCTGAGAAAAATACGAGCCCTGTGAACCTTTTAATAATATAAATTTCGAGATATAGTAGTTGGGAAAATGTACACCCGTGACACACGGTTTACTTTAATTTGATTTTAATCTTTATTTTTTGCGCATATTCTGTATAACTCCGGCTGAGGTAAATCTGGACTGTGCTGTAATTTCATCCTCGCCACGTGACAAAATAATTAGGACGCGCCGGGGTAAGCGACACCGGAAATCGTGATTTTCCAAGGCTTCGCTCAATCCGGTGCGAAGTGAATATATATGGGATCCTGATTGCTTCTTGATACCTCATAAACTCATAATCCTTTATATATATATATAATAACACAATAATAGATTTCAAAAAAGAAAAAGAATAAGAGAACAATAAATGAAGAAATAAAACGTAAAACCAAAGGTTCTTGTATATACACAATGTTCTGTGAAAAAAATGTATATCCAAAAGGGTGGATAATTTTAGGACACAAGATAGCGATATCAGTTATTTGTTTACAGATACCGCTTTTGAGAAATTCATTAATCATTATTCTTTTTTAAATAATAACAGATTATTTTTGAACAAAAGTATAATATATGTATCGTCGAGAGACAAATCCAACTATATACAGGATGGCCCATGATTCGAAAAGTTCATACATTAAATTAAGGGCGTTTTGATTGAAGCCCCAAGTAGCAAACTGACGTTATTAAATGTCAAAATGACATCATTCTGATGTTTAATGACGTCAGTTTGCTACTTACATAGGGTTATTTAGAGTTGAAATTGCCTAATAAACATATGTCCAAAAATTAATGTGACTATTTGAAATATTTTGTCAGTCTGGTATTGTTTATATTTTTGTCAGTCAATATATATAGTTTATATGGAACAACCTCACTATAAGAACCCAAGGAGAACAGAAAAGTCAAAATAATGTCAATTTGACGTCATATTGACTAAATTTATGTCATTTTTTGGTCAATATTTAATCAATATATGACGTCAAATTGACATCATTTTGACCTTTTGTTCTCCTTGGGAAGTGAAGAAATCTGAAAAATTTAATATGTATAATTATATATAAAATTTATATTTCGCAAAGGATAGGAATATTACTATTCTTTGAAGCAAATTGTGAGATCACGGAGATCAAAATCAGGATATACAAGTATGTATGCGGATTCCGACGCGACACAATTCGCAATGTGAGATTCACGAATATTCACAATATTTTCCGGCGAGTCGAGTCGGTAGCTCTCTCGAGAGAGAGAGAGAGAGAGAGAGAGAGAGAGAGAGAGAGAGAGAGAGAGAGAGAGAGAGAGAGAGAGAGAGAGAGAGAGAGAGAGAGAGAGAGAGAGAGGCTTAAGGACCGGCGAGAGGCGAAAGAGGAGGAGGAGGAGGAGAAGGAGAAGAGCTGATTTGTGCAGGGAATATACCGCGATGTGTATCTCGCATTGAGGGGCGGCCAACTGCGTCTCGTAATCTTGTCACAATAACGCGACGAGGTGTCGAAGCGGGATAAAACCGCGCGTTCGTTCTCGCGTGCGATGTTTTCTGTCGCGGGCTTTCCCTGACAAACTTTCCAGATGAAGAGTGAAATTCGTTAATTCTCGCCCTGCGAGTGATATCTATCGGCAATCTGTTAATTATGAAAAAAGCTGTTAGGGGAATAATAAACGCCATCCTATTTTATCGATAAAACGTATACATATTATTTTTTTGCAAACCCTTTTCTTTTTATTATAAAATAGTTCTATTTTATCGAAAATATAAAAATATTTTGATTTTTTAAATTTATATTTTGATTGGCTACACAGATTGATAAATCATTTTCTACAATTAAAGTATTAATTTTAACAAACCGCAATAGCTTATAATTTCAGGTAATAAACAATCTGTATAGCCAATAAATATAGATTTATAGTCGAAAAAGCAAAACTACTCCGACATCCTTTTAAATAGAATAATAAATGTTTTTCCATGATTAAAGTACATATAGAAACAAAGCGCGAACATACCGATTTTATGTTAAAAACAAAAAATTTTTTCTTGTTCTTATTTTTTTTAGCGCTCATTCTAAACTCGTGAGATTTTGTTGACAAATTGTTTTGGAATTTTTTATAAAATTTCAATAGTTTTTTTCGCAATGAAAAATAAAGTGTATATGATCAAATTTTCCTCCCTTTTTTCCCATCAATTTTTCAATCAATTTTTCCTTCAATTGAGCTAATGATAGTTTAAACGAAAGTTGATAACTAGTAGAATATTTCAGAAAATGAGAATATTTTCGATAATGCGGTGTATAAATTTTCGAATTCTATTTTATGATCCCTCTTTCTTTCTATATCTATGTCTTAAAATTTCTTTTTTTTAATATTAATCTTAGAGAAAAATATTGATAAATCGTTTCTCCCAAAATAACTGAAGCTTTTTAAAAATCTGTTATTTTTTTCTCGAAACAATTTCCTCGTGAAATTCGCATTCACATTGTTGCTACTGAGGAATCATATATCATTGTCGATACTAAGAGAGTATATCGCTATACCTACATCCTCTCCCTCTGGACGATGGTCGCGTCGTTTGCCCGACGTTGCATAATGCGACATCGCGAAATCTGCTTACCGATTCGCGAATATTCAAACGTAAAGACGCCTTCCAATCCTCAGCTTACACACACACACACACAGAGAGAGAGTGAGAGGAGAGGAGGAGAGAGATGCGTCGTCCGAGTACTAAGTCTTTGGAAATGTGCGATGTGATCGCTTGCGTTCCATGTGCATATCTCCGTATTGCAACTCGTATGGTAGATGGAACAGAATATATGTTCTTTGGCCGAAAATATCGTAACATCACAGACTAGCAGACTAACGTCATTAAACGTCAAAATGACATCATTTTAACGTCGAATGACGTCATTTTGATGTTGAATGACGTCATTTTGACGTTTAATGACATTAATCTAGGGTACTAACAATAAGTGTTAGATAAAATTTGTATATATTCTAAATTTGGATGCATTTTTTAAAATTTCAATATCTTAACCATGTTATAAAAGATTAAAGCTGGATCAAATTACTTATATAGAGACACTCTCGAGAAAAAATAGTTGTTTTGAAAAAATTGATTGATATTTTATTACTATTTGTTTCCCTTTAGATCATACAACACTTATTTATTTACATTTTTTCGAAAATGCATTTGTTTTAAAAAATTCAAGATATAATTAAAATAAGAAACCTTATATATAAATCTACATTTAGTGGAATCTATCATAATATAAATATATAATTATACACGACTTCATCATCATAGTCGGAAGATTTGGTATTCTCAGCAAAACTCTGTATTTGAATCCTTCCTAACATGATTAAAAAATAAGATATCAAAATTTAAAAAAATGCATTTTATAAGGGATGAACAATATACATATTCATTACATATCGGAATAATTTTTAGATTAACGTTAACTGTTTCGTAAAAAAATCTCAAATTTCGCAAAAAAGCCACTTATTTGCATATTAAACCTTAATTATTTCGTATTGGTAAAAATTAGCTTGCAGCATCGTTTTCAGAATCCAAAATTTTATAATTCTTGATTAAATTTAAATTCACAAATACCAGCTTTTGCATCATGCTACGCGTGATCAATTTTCAGATTTGCAACACGAGATTTATTATATAGTGAGAACTTACGGAACGCTGAAAATCCTTGAAAGTGGTGTTCGGCCACGGGATGATGGCCAGGGATGAGACTGTTGAGATGCGGCGGCAGCGCGGACGGATGTGCGAGTTGCGTCAGGTGTAAGGATGGATGACCAGGTGCCCTGGGAAAGAATCCATGCAGGAAGGGCAGCCTCACACCCGCGAGCACCGAATCCTTCTCCGTTCCCTTGTCCTCATCCAACACTTGATTCATCTTCGCGGCATCATCCGACGTCTTCTCGGGATCTTTGGAATGCGACGTCTAGCAGAAAAAAAATTTTGAAAAGGAAAATAATCGAAATATATTGATTTTAATGTGATTTATTCCAATTTTGAAGTCCCCCCCCCCTCACCACCACTAAACATTAAGTAATATTGATGTTATATTATTGTTACTTTAGTCTTTAGTAGGTCATCAACCCTTCAAAGAACTTTTTTGAGACCTTAACCTCTTAACGCACGATATTTTTGCAAATAGAAAAAATCATTTCTTTCATGGTAATATAAAACGCTGCTCGACTTAATTCAGCTTGTACAATTCTGCTTCAGTTCCACTTGTTCGAGTTAACTTGAGATTTGCGCTTTATTGCTGCACTGGTGAATTAATGCACACTGGTGCACATTAGTGCAGTAGTTAGAATGAAACAAAGGGTTTGTTCTTTGTTGTTGCACTAGTTCACCAGTGCAATGAGTTAAAGTGAGATAAATATATTTTGTTTTATTCTAACTTACTGCATCAGCCCAGATAGAAATGCCTGATGATCAGATTTTATCATGTCATGATCTTCTGATATGATTGAAATGTATTGTATGTCTTGTAATCATATTATGATGATAGGTATTATGAGCGCAAGTTACATACATATGATGAAAAATGTGAGTTATATATTAATTTGAGCGTATTCATGTATACTCATAATGACATTTTTTGCAATACATTTTTAAGATATCATAATATGTCTGTTTTGAGTAGCATATGAGCCTGCATCTGTGTCTATTTTTGTCATCATGTTTTAAGAAATATGAGTACAATATGAGTACAAAATGCATATATTTTGCTATCTGGAAGTGTACACTAATGCAGTAATAAAGAATAAACCCAAAATATATTTGTCCCACTTTAACTTATTACACCAGTATGCACTAGTTCATCAGTGTAACAATAAAGAATAAACCCTCTCTGTCAGTATCACTTACTCGAGTGAACTCTAGTTTGCATGATTCCCAGATAACACCATGTCCAAAATTGGTGCATAAAACATCATTAAGAAATCTTTAAGATATCTTTATATATACATATATATATATATATATATAAGAAATTATATAGGATATCCCAAAGACATCTTAAAAATGTCTTATGCACCAATTTTGGACATGTTGGACCAATTTTGATGCAGTCTGGGTTCTATACTAGCATTGCTAGCCCAAGTTAACTCTATATATAGTTTGCATAATTTTGTCAGTACTGGTTGCTTGAATTAACTTGAGCTGATCTGATACATTAATCGAGATAATTAGATGGACTTTCGAGAGTGCGCGAATTCTGAAAAAAATAATGCCATATTTTATCTTAATCATAAGAAAAAGAGTGAAAACATCTCCGTGCAAGTTTGGTATACTCACATGGAACATTTTGTGTGATTCGAGCGAACCGGGTAACACGTGCGGGGCTTCTTCCGTGATTTCCGGCGAAGAGTCCAGACTCTCCCGTGCGTGATCCTCATCCTCGTCATCCTCCGTTTTCTTGGTCGCCTCCAAGTGGCCGTAAAGTCGCGCGAAGAAACGCCGCGGTGACGACGGTCTTCTCGTTTTCTTCGCAGACATTTGGCGGGATCTTTAAATTCAGTGGCCCATAGAAGTATCGAAAAAAGCCTTAGACGTTGAAGATTTCTTCTAGCGAAGAGTGAGAGTGAGCAGAAGAACCGATTTCGAAGTCGTTTTTAGACGAAAAATTATTATTTCAATTGTGAAGAGGTTGTGTTCTGAAAATATTCTCTTTTTGAGAACGCATAGAATATTTTCTTTTTTCGAATAAAAGATTTTGTGAACAAGAATATATCTTATGATTCTTACGGATGGAGATATATATATATATATATATATATATATATATATATATCTTAGGACTTATGTAAAATCCTAAATGAATCTTTTGAATCTCCAAAATACGCGAAATGTAAAATATTTCTTCCAAGCAAAAAATGTTTAGGATTTTTCATATACCAATACTATAAAAAATTAGAAGTCTTACAGCTATTTAATGTTTTAATAGACTTTAAGGATTGAAGAATCATTAAATTTCTTTCTAGAAAAAATCAAAATTTTTTCAAACTTTCGAACCTCAGAGAGTTTCACACTGTTTTCGAGCGAGTCACAGTTTCCAAACGTCCAAACGTTAAATCCAATAAATTTCCAAGAGTCGATATAGAACCCTTGCTTATTCCTGTCTCTTTCGTTCACCTTTTTTTAAAATTCTTACACGTTTTCATAAATTACTTCTACTTTTCTATCTGAAATGTTATCTTTCACTCAATGTGTTGGTGTTAATAACTTCACTAGGGATCACTTCCAAAACTTCTTCCACGCACTTCCTCAACTGAAGTTTATCACACAACCATAAACGATCACCAGGATGGGGGATTCGGAAATTCGCGAAGAATCAGAGAACGTCGATCTCCGACGCGGGATGGCACGCGTGTCTGGATCACCTAGCAGCCCCGTCCTCCATTCTCTCACCTCGTACTCGGGCTAGGGCGACGAAGCAAAGTAGCGGGGCTATGGGGGGAGTATTCTCCCTTCTAGGAGAAATGTTTCTCTCTCCACTCTCGGCCACCCTCCCATTCTCATGCGGCGCTGCGCCGCCCCTATGCGAAGTTGCACGTGCGGCGTGCGGCCGTATTTCGGTTTTGCTTTCTGCGGACGGATAAACACGCGGATAGCTTCGAGATACGTTTACGCGGTTCGCGCGATTTTTCCGAATTCAAATGCTGAAGATATGAGATATTCAAGAAAATCGGGATATATCGGGACTATAACAACGATTATAAAGATGTAATTGATCCATGAATTCTTTGACCATTTTGGAATCGATTTTTTCTTTTACAAGAATCTTAAGGAAGATCACTATTTATTATAATCTAATTTTTGTAATAGTATAATAATAATTAATATAACATAACTCTAACAACAACAACAACAACAATACTAATAATAATATATAATATATATAATATAATATATAATAATATAAAATACATACATATATGTTTAAATAAATAAGAACCCATTTAGTTTTTGGTTTAACCTTAGATGCGCCATTACCGAGGTCATATCAAGGTCATCTTGAATTTTTTAAAACGGAATCATATTTTTTATATAAATTAATTCTTTTTAATATCCTGCACAAAAAGTTATAAGCCTAGAATAGTCAAACAGTGAATAGTTTACGAGATATTTTACACTTTAATTTGTTATAATTTGACATAAACAGTTAAGTTATAAAATATTTCGTAAAATATTCATTTTTTGATAAATAATTAAAGAAATTAATTAGTGTAAGAAACCACATAGCTACTTTTAAGAAATAGTATGTTATTTACAACTAGCAGCTATTTTTTTGATAATCGTGATACCTACGTCAATCATGCGTTATGACTCACGAAGAAATGAAAAGGGAGCGCTTTCGCGAGCCAGAATGAAAGAAGAAAATGCGTGCGGTTTAGCGTGAATAGCTGAGATTATTTGCGGGTTCATTCTGTTTTCAAGTTTCTCAATACGGCGAAACGACGCATCCCAATGCGTCCTGATTATCGTTACTTATTGGTATTCAAACGTTCCTCTCCTTCGATTTTAATCTTTGATTAAAGGCAATATTACCCTCTTTATCTCGTGGTAAGATTATTATCTATTTTTGATACAAATGTTTCTTTTTTCTAACATTGAACTGCAGGAAATTTGTAAAAAATTGTGTTATAATATAAAAAAATTAAAATCTTTTAATTGTACCTTTGTTTTTTCTTAATTTCATATTTCAAGAAATAAAATGTACCAATTATGTGTATAGAATATAAATTTTATGATTGTGTAAAATGCTTTTTTTATTTCTATTGCATTATTTTTTTTAACAGTAGATTGATTTTATTAATTTAAAATAAATTTCCTGAAAATATAAATTTTCAAATTATAAGCAGTTAAAAAGAGAGAGTTTGTTACAAATTACAAATGGATAATAATATTATATTCAGCTAATTTTTCATGAAAATTATTTTAGTAAAATTTTAATTTCTCAAGTTTGGTTACTTTTATATACGTTATAATATACAAAAATAAAATAAATAAACAATTATCTTTTTATGATACATTTTGATGAAAAAAAAATTTAGTTTATTGTAAGATTTAGAAATTAAAGAGAAAAAGAGAGAGCGCGATAATTTATTAATTAAAAATTAATGCAAAGAAAATAAAATATGTTATATCATTATTGAGATTTCCCAGATAGTCAAGCGTGATGTAGCATATTGTGCAAACAAATGCATTGCATGTGTTGTTATATATTTGCTGTACGTTTGCTGACATTGCTGACATCAAAATAAAATATGTTACGAATGCAGCTGTCTGTGTATACATGCAATTAGTTGTCGAAATTTCAAGAGCAAACAGTCCGCAATACTGATATGTTACATTGTTTACAACAGGATAGCAACACGACAGTAACAAATAAGCAAGTAGCAAATTGTTGCTGACACGTTGCAATCAATTTGCTGATATTAATTATATATAATTGGAATTTCATGTGAGTTCAATCTAAGAGACACTATGCTGTCTCGCCTTGTCTCTAGTTTGTCAAAATTAGTTGCTAATAGTTGTCAGCAACATGACAGCAAATTCACTGCATTTGGCTATCTGCGATACTATTGTTATAGTTAAAAAAACAGAAAATGTTGTAGAAGCAAAAACGTAATATATTGCTATTATAATTTTAAAAATGTACAATTTTAATAAACATTGCATCGAAGAAGATTTTGAAAGGAATGGATGGAAAATTATAATTTTTTTTTAAATATCTAAACTTTTTGGAGTTTTCTGAAGTTCAAGTTTAACAATTTCCTTGAAGCTAAAACTTCGTAATCCAATTTAAAGTTTTAAAGTCTGCAAATTTAAGTTAATTTGTTTGAGATATCGAACTCGTGAAAACTTTTTCAAGATCAAATATCATTGGCTCAATCTGAATTGTAATATACAAATTGTCATAATTTAATTATTTTAATTTTTATATTTTAATATTTCTTTATTTCTTTATTACTCCATAATTTTTAATTCAAAGACTGTCCTCTCTCATATATATCCTTCTTTATAGATTAAGCCAAAAATTAAATATATAATAATAAAGATAAAATGGTAGAGTTAAAAACTCGCAACATCACGCTTCTCGTCGTCCGCATCAGCAGCATCCGGATCTCTCGTCCTCGAGTCTGGCATCTCCCTCCCCTTCTACCTTTCCCTCCTTCCTGTTCCCGCTGCGGTTCCCCGGATGATCTGATTGTTTCCCGTGAGATTTATTCGCGAGGCGGAGGCGGATTCTGGACGCCGGGACCAATCGGGCGACAGGTGGGGATCGATGTAATTAGAGGAGCCAACCCTGGCTCGAGGGGTGAGCGCGAAGGACGCATGCGTGGAAAACGCAAGCGCGCGCGCGCGCGCGTGTATATGAGTGTCTAATTCCCTTTGTGCGCCGCCTATTGTCGGCATTTACGATTATTACGCTCACGCTGATTTCCGCGCGCGCCCGTCATCGTCGCGCCGCCGTCGTCGCGACAAACAATACAATTATCGTTATCCCCTGCGGTCAATACGCGCGAGGAGGATGCGGCATCGGGGACAACGCGGGGGTGCGCTTATATCGACGCGCTTCTCCGGAAAACGAATTTAGTATTATTATCGTTATTATTATTTTGTTTCTTCTTTTTTTTTTCAAACGAGGCAGTAAACTAGCAAAACTCTCTGCTGCTACCCGTTTCGAAATGGCTCTAGATGATTTTTAATGGCAAAAATGTATATTTTGTAAATATAAGAATAGGTATTATGATGCGTTGATTTGTTCCTTTATTTTTTACTTTCAAATAGCGGTTTACGTAGAATACAAGAGAGAGTTATTCAATTATTATTATATCCAGATATATTAAGACTTTATTTGGACATGCTTAATTACCCTAATAGCACAAACATATCTGAAAGATATTCAGAGGATATTCGAACATCCTTAGGATGTTAGGATAAACGTCTTCGGGATATGTATGTTGTTAGGGTAGCGAAGATTTTAAGGATATCTTTTCGAGCTGTTTTTGGATATTAAACCATCAAGTTATGATAAAGAGAGTTTTTAATCTTGTATATTAAACTATCAACTTCTGGAAGGATCCCCATAGCAAAAAACCAGTGATATCACAGTGATATCACAGTGATATGCTCTGGATGTCATAGCGATGTGCGAATATCCGCTTTGTCACAATGTAACGTCACAATGATATCATTGTGACATCACACTTTGTGACAAACAAGTGTATAATGTCACAATGATATCATTGTGACGTTACATTGTGACAAGCGGATATTCGCACATCTCTATGACATCCAGAGCATATCACTGTGATATCACTGGTTTTTTGCTATGGGAGTTCACAATTATTTGTTTTATCGATTAATTATTATTTTCGTACTTCCTAGTCTTTTGTCGCATTAATTTGACAGATGAATTAAAATTTCTCTACGATTGCAATACATACATCATTGATTATATACATACATCATGACGTTCGATTGTACATGAAAAACGAGAAATAATTATGAAATTACAGTTTTCCTTATCTACTTTTGTCTCTATATGACGTCTCGAATGACAGATGAACTGTCAACTCATCATATATGTATATTATGTGCTTTATATAAAAAATATACATTTTGTATGAATATAGACACAAGATTCTTGGGATTAAAATATAAGAAAGAAAGCACTATTATCCTCTAAATCTAGATTAAAAGTCTAATATAAAAGTATATATAGGGCGATATTTATGTCTGTTCTTATATTTAAAGCTAAGTCTACATTAATTGTAGAATCGTAGATCGTAGAAAATGATTGATCCAATCACAGTTGAATGTGAGGAGAATAATCGACTATCATTGGATCAATTTTCTATACGATCTACGATTCTACGACCAATGTAGACTTAGCTTAAAATCGTCTTAAGACCTCGTTCAATCAATCAAATGGCCGCATAGCATCTCTTGATTGGTTAAACGAGATCTTAAGACAATTTTTTATTCTTTGCAAATCAATTGGTAATTACCGCGATATTTTTAATTCCAAAATGAGGGCGTTACTATATTTTATTGGTCTAATTGGAATTGTGTTGATTAAGCAAAATATAGAAGAAAGTATGCTAAATCAAACCGTTAATTAAATCGTACTTTTGTGCTACGTCCACGTCGTTGATCCTGGGCAATGCCGAGAGCAGGAACACACACACGCACGAACAAAAATAAGCTTCGTACATGCCATGCAGCCTAGTATTCCTAGTACAACTCCCAGAGTAGGTTTGGAGCCAGAATACCGCGCAATTGACGATTCGTGAGCATTATTTCGAAGTGTTATATCTTGGGATGTTCTCAACTTAGCAAGATTGATGACCAGTGTTTCGAAAACCTGATCTCAGCTAGAAGAATATGTGATAAAAAACAGTAATTTCTATTATAAAAATTCTTGGTGACATTCCTGTGATCTTCAAATGACCTTGGATACAAAATCTGGTATAGCCATCTTATTTTCCCCTCTGAGCCATACAACTTTTGTCTGAAACGTTTTTCAATCCCACGTGTCTTTCTCCACTTATTTCAATGCGTCAATTAAAATGAAACATCCTGTATACTTACAAAATTTGAAAATTTTATTAAAAATTATGAAAATTGTAATGACTTTTGTTACTTTTCAAAATTGGTAATAAATAATATAATGAGTTATTTTTACAAAATAAAACTTTTTCAATCTCTTCTGGAGAAATTCAGCACTATTGTAAATCTGTGCAAATCTGCATGTATGATATAAATCCTTCCAATTTCGGTCACGCAAAAAAATTCTTTTTTTTCGACAACAAAAATAAATCTAAGTGAACCACCATATATATTCAGAAAAAGAAATCTTTCAAACGTGATGGCACAGTAGTGACAATTTTTTTATATTAGTAAAGGATAAAATCCGTTTATTGCGTTCCCTGAGGGTTTACAATAAGGCGCTTTTTCCTGATAGAAGCGTTCCCGAATCTTAAACATCATTTTGCTTTTTGACATTAATATGATAACCTTCACGATATACAGACATGACGCGGCTGCATCAATGTCGCAGTTCATCTAGCAAACTCTTGAGAAACAGCAAAAGGACATCCAAAAGCAGGATATATCCTCGAAGACTTACACGGAGCACGGGAAGTTTGGAGCTATGTCGAAATTATATTGCTCGTCGTAAATATATATGTCGTTATGGGAGCTGAATTTATTTTGCTGGATATTTAATACGTGAATATGTGTATGTACAGGAAGCCAAAGCGTGACCTCGGCTTTGACGGAGTCGCGTCTCGGAATCGGGTCCCGGAAAGAGGGCCGGTTGGCCCTAAGCCTGTTTTGCACTCTATCGTGCTCGCAGTGCTGCGTGTGGAACACTTGGGGCCCGATAGCGGGTTTTGCTTTGCGGGCTTTCCCGACCTGGAACGAGTCTCTGGTGGCCCTGCTGTCCAATTGGGGATGTATCAGTTACCTTACCTGCTGCATACCCTGCTGTTGGTTCCTTTATAAAAAAGGTGATTTTGTAATCTATACTGCATTATATTAAAATAATTAAATTATCTTACTTGCTGCATACCTTGCTGTTGGTTCCTCTACAAAAAAGGTGATCTTGTAATTTGTAATGTATTATATTAAAATAATTAAATTAAATTGAAATTAACACAAGGCCTGGCACTGTCCCTGCAAATGGCGGCGATTCTTTCAACTCTGGCGACCTTCATTCGTTGCATATCCTGTAGGGAGAACGTCTTCACGATGTACGTTTAATTTCGTGTGGCTGATTGCTGATCGGGATTAAAGAGGATGTTCTTTTGTCACTCAGAATGGTGCACACCGCGGCCATCCTGAATGGATTATCGGGAGTAATCCTTGGTCCTGCCACGGCATTGGTCTCCGCGGTTTGGTTCCCTCCTGGGAAACGCACCACCGCTACTGGTATGTATCTCTATAATTTATTTTGTATAATTATAATTATTAATATGATATTTAAAACCACTTTTTCTTTCTCTTTAAAGTGCGATAATATATTTCTTAAAGATTTTTTTTCGTGCTGAATCGCGGTGCCGTTGTCAGAATTTACTTGGCATGTCAGGATTTAGAGTAAATTGTGCTATAACGAGCCAAAAATGACCATTTTTAATATATTTTTGCGGCAAAAAGAAAACTGGTTTCTAAATAAACTTAATGATTTGAAATAAACTTAAATAACTAAATAACCAATAATAAGAATATTAGATCGGCTCTTTAATATAAAACACGATATACACCTCCTTCTTCTCGGCCACAGAGTCAAACGCGATGTTATTGCGAAAATTAAGGAAACTGAGAATTTGTATCCTATGGTTGGTATCTCAAGTATTCTCCTTGTTCCTCTTTTAACTTCCCCTGTAAAGAAATAGGCGAGAAAAATACTGGTCCGAAAGTTGGCTAAATCGGGAATCGAACCCGAGACCTTCCGCTTGCCGGGCGAATGCTCTTCTTGCTTAATTTTCGCAATAATATCGCGTTTGGCTCTGTGACCGAGAAGAAGGAAGTGTATATCGTAACTAAATAACTTCTAAATAAACTTAATGACATTTGAAATAATTCAAAGAGCTTTTAAACGAATTTTGGTTCATGGATCTCTTATTTTTATAACTTCAAAATTGTGATTGAATTTTTGAAGCTAAAGTTACATATTTAAGTTTTACGAAATTATTATTCTTTTTCTTGGATATTAGTTTGTTATGTATTATTATATACTGCATTAATTTGAACAAGTCAATCAATATTGTAGGCATATCTTCTGCCTGCAATCAATTGGGAATAGCCATTTCTTATTTAATCGGACCGGTTGTGATAGAGAACACAATCGCATACAATGCAACTTTCTTGATAAATGATACAAATTCCAATGGAAGTGTCGTTTTTGATAAAATGTACACCATGGCACTGCGAGCGCAAATTTTGTCTCTCATGAAGATAGGTAAATAATTTTTTATTTATAAGTAGAACGTGTAGCTAAAAATAGAGCTAAAGGATTCCAGTAAGCAAAATATTAGACTTGAAATAAAATAGTTGAAATATATAGATTGTCAATTTAAGCAATAAGCGGTATTTAGTAATATAAGAAATAGTAGCGTAAGATAAGTAGGATAAGAAATAGTATAAGAAAGGTAGGATAATGATGGTATAAGAAATAGTGTAAAGTAGATAAGTAGGCGATGTGTGTGTGTGCGGCGTAGGGTTAATTTTAAGGAAATTTTGTATGGAAAATTGTAACCCAAATTGGGAACAATAAAGAAATATCTATCTATCTATCTATCTATAGATTGTCAATTTTTTTCTCACGGTATTATACATTATTTCAGAATTTGTTGGCCAATTGCTGATCCTGATAGGCGTTTTTTGCTTCTTCCCGGAAGAAGAATTCTGCCAATCTGTTGTTCTTTCTGAAATTTCCGAGCGTCTTAGTCTCGCGGAATCCATCCTTCGTCTTCTAAAGTAATTTTTTATTATTTCTTCGAGATTCCAAACATAAAATTTTGTAAAAATTTGTTATAATTTATTCCTTTTTTTATGATAAATTTTGTGATGCTACATTACTTTTCATTTCACGAGAGAGTACCAAGTCCCTTTGGCGCAGAGGATAGCGCGTTGGACTTCTAATCCAAAGGTCGTGGGTTCGATCCCCACAAGGGATGTTGATCCTTTTTATTTTTTATCGGATTTCTTTTGTTTTTCTTTGAATATTGATTTGTGTATATTAAATTTTTCGATCTACAAATAATTAAATATCGATTAAATAATGAGAAAATACACACATATGCAAACTTTTCCTTCTTGTTTGTTTATTTATACATACATATATATATACACACATACACATATATGTATATATATATTATGTATATTTATATTCATAATTAATTTATTATAAAACTCTCCATTGATACTAAAACTCCCATAATTATGGGTATTTTTCTTTATAGGAACAAAAATATGTGGCGTCTCTGCTTGGCTGCTGCGCTTAGCCAAGGTGTTACTGGACCTTGGCTTGCGATGATGACAATAACTTTCAGTGCCAGCATTACGCAAGTAAGAGAGTACAGTTGCACAGTTTAAATATTTAAAAACTTCGAAAGTAAATTTTTTATTCAAAAAGTTCACAAATAAACAATTTATATTTGATAATTTTTTTTATAAATAAAGTTAAAAACAAAAACGAAAAATATCGAATTATTAATAGTTTATATTTAAAAAGATTTTATTGATTTCTGCATTTTTGGCGCATATTACTATTATTATATATATATATATATATATAATACGTTATTTCAATACACTTGAAAATGACCAAAATTATGGTCAAAACGTCGTGAGACTTATTAAACAAAGAATTGCCAGTATTGGTCGAGAAATATTTATTCCTTAACTTAATTTATATTAGTTAAAATTGATGAATTATATTAATCAAAATTTTTATAGGAAGAAGTGGACAAATTAGCTTTCTGGACCATCATCGTTAGTAGCGCTTTGAGCTTGATAGCATCGCGATTGGCAGACGCATTTCAAGGTCATCTGAAGGTCACCCTTTACACGCTGCTGACGATATCGTCGGCGATGTTTCTATGGATACTCCTGCTGGACGATCGTATGTTAGCCTTCCACAAGGGTGAGCTGTACACCGCGGTAGTCCTGGGAATATCCGCCAGCTGGTCCACCCCCGCTCTTTTTCTTGAACTCGCCTCCGAGATTGCGTTTCCGGTTTCCGAAGCCATCGCTGGAGGTTATATGATTTTCCTGTCGAATCTCGTTGGCGCGCTCTTCTACTTCTCGTACTTCCTTCCATGGATGAGTAAGGACCCATGCAGGTAGCAAACTGATGTCATTAAACGTCAATATGACGTCATTTTAACGTTTAATGACATCAGTTTGCTATTTGGGGACGGTTATAACATTTCAACACTTTATTTAATGTTGTGTTATAATATATATATTATTTATATATCATATGATATCACTCTTTATTTTGCATTCATATTACATGTATTAACAAATAATGTTGATAATTAAAAAGTATCAAAGCATAGAGAAAAAATTATTACAATACAAAAATAGACACTAATATTAAATTATCGATTTAAAAATATTATCTTTTTTCTCTTTTTTCTTCTCACATTTTAAATTTCTTCTTTTTTTATATTTTTTAAATTACATTTTTGAATTAGCTTCAAGCTTAAACTATTTCCAGAATTTTTTCTTTTATATCTCTTTTATTATACTATCGATCTGTAATTTTTATTTTTGAAAAGTTTTTAATTTTATTTTTCAGCAGTTCTAATTTGTGATTTCTGATCTCTTTATATTTTATCTTTAAGATATAATTACTTTATTTTTTATTACTTTTACTTCTTAGATAAACATTTGTCGACGTATTGGACGTTTGCAAACATTTCGATGGCAACCATACTCGTGATATACGTCAAGGAAGATTATAATCGTACAAAGATGATGAAGTAAACGAATTTATTTAACACATCTTGTCTCTACGCGATCAGAATTGTTTAATTTGTAACATCACACAAAGCAAATAAATAGCATGCAATCGAGTAAAAAATAGAAAGAAGAAAAAAAGAAATGAACAAAATGTATACAAAATTAAACACTGGCTTGAAATAGTCAGTTATTATCAAACGTTGGTTCTGTTAACATGTGAATCTTGAATAATCAGAGAACTTCGCAGTTCTCTGAGTGGAAATATTAATAACTCTTTTATTTAATTGCTTTGATCTAGTGATGGTGAGATTACATAATTTTAAAAAAAATTTTAATGATTGAGTTGACTTATAATTAATTTAGGGTCTTTATTTTATAGATCATGAAGTATAGTGTTACGAATTGGTGTATTGATGTAAAATTTAAATATATAATGGCTGAAGAAGCACAAGTATGTGCAGAAACGTACCACATAATTTCTAATCAAGAATTTTTATTTATTTGGTTTCCATCCACACATCGTAGCTCGTATTAGCCTTTCAATTATTAGTTATTTTTCAAAATTAAACAATTCTATTGCAAAACACATATTTCAATTTAGATTTTAGATTTACAAAAGACAAATAAGATAAATTTTGCATTTTATTTATTTTTTTAAATTTAATTTAATTTAATTTAATTCAATTATATTGAATTCTAATGTCAGAAATGAGAAATTATGAGAATTATTTTTCTCATATTATTATATATACATTAAATAAAAATTAATTTTTTTACATGTTATTATACTCAATCACAAGAAACATAAATATATTCTATTAAATAGAAATAGAAGGAAATATACTTATAATATGCAAAATAACTAATTTATTTTGATATTTAATATAAAACAGAATCATACGTTTTTTCACTTTTGATGTTGTCTCTTAATATATTGTAATAATGAATCATAAATCTTGTTATAGAATCTATGTTATTTATATTAAATTTTATTTAAATATATGTATATATCATATTAATAATTTATTATTATTATAATTTCGATATTTTAGTTCGACATTTCTAGCATTTTGCGAAGAAAGAAAAAGTTGCAATAGATTTCGAAGGAAGAAAATACGACGCTAATTTCATTCAATTTTTTAATTATTATTAACTAATAAATATATATATTTATCATTGAATTTTAGTTATAGGCAATATTGCAGTAATAAAATGTATAGAAATTAATATAATAAAAATTTTTTAAATACATCTATTTTATTTCATCAAAATGTATATATAATGAAATTCATAAATACATAGCAATACTTTAAGGGATAAAATGTATTACATTAAAATAAAACATATTATTTCCCCCTGCGTTGTATATGTATATATCATAATTTCTGAATTCTGAATTATAAAAATTAAAGAATATATATAATATATATTAACATAGATTTCTGTCGTTGAAACATATCAAGCGAGTTATTCGAATTAATAGTTTATTTATATATTCATTTCTCATATCTTTTCTCCTAAATTGTGAATGTGTATAATTAATTAATGTGTATAGTATACAGGGTGTATAGTATAGGTGGGTGTATAGTATACAGGTGTATAGTATATCCCTATACATCCCATAATTTGCGAAACACCTTTCGTGGACAGGTAGAGCACGTTAAAACTGAATAGAATGTCTCATACCATTTTGCTAAATTTACAATAATTATTGAGTGAGTTCAAAAATAGAAATCGTTTGGAAAAATAAATTTATATACATAAATAAGATATACATTTTTATAATTATAAAATATAAGTAAATTTTATATTTTAAATAATTTTTTCAAACTTTATTTTCATTATTAATCGCAATTTAATCAGCATAAATTTTTTTAATAATTAATTTATTTAATCGTTTGTAAATAATTTTTATCAAATTATTATTATTTATGAGAGACCGCGGTCTCTCATAACTCGTCTAAGAGTCTTGACGTGTTATCAAACCGACACTATATATTCGTTCTTGACATCTTAAAATTATAATTTTATTTTTATTTTCACAAATCACTTGATAAGGACTCAAAGAAGGGTCGAAACGTTGTGATTTAATAAATAATATTTGCCAGTACGGTCGAGAGAAGAGTTTTACTTTTTTAAATTCTGTCTTGCGATTCTCAAATATCTACGTTTTTTTTTAATTAAGCTAAGTTAAAAGTTATTCATTTTTTTTTAACTTTTAACTAATTATTAACTATATATTTAACCGTGATAAAAGTCTCTACCACAGTCGTATACGGTGTATACGACCGTGGTCTCTACTCACAAAACTTTGCCTTTTCAATAACATTTTTTATGCATCACTTCAGTAGGTATGAGGATCAGCTGATTCCAACATATGCGTGAAAGGCGTCTGGCGTCTGACGTTTACTTTACTAATCTCGCGGACACTTCCACCTCTTTCAACCAATAAGGACGAAGATTCTTTTATCCCGATTGGTCAATCGAACACTTTCGATTTCTGGCACCAAACTATCAAGTTGAATGCAATTCATGATGGTCAAGTTAGGGTTAGGATTTCCAGGTGGATCAGTTGAAATTGAACTTGACGTCACTTCGAAACGTCAAGTGGACTCTGACATTCTTATTTAGTTTTGGACCTAATTGGACGCTAAACACGATGCTCCAATTGACGTTCTCGTGATTTTTGTCTCCTTACCAGCGATTAATCCAACTGTGAACCAATGACAATGATGATGACAATGACGAATGCGTCTGATGCTCAAAATATCGTAGCTTTTGTTGCATCGGGTTGCCTTTATCAGTTCTCAATCTGCAACTAATTGTTCTTTTAAAGATTTTTTCTAAGAGTTTCCTATTATCGAAGAGTACCCAGTGATCTTAAAATCAGTATCTATTAATTAAAATACGATTTTGATACCGATGCATCATGGGAGAAACAGAAACAGGTCAGAAAAATTATATTTTAATAATTATTTAAGATTATTATTTATTATTATTATTTATTATTATTTATTATCATTTATTATAATTATTTATTATTATAAAATTATTACCCAAGCAGCAGATTGGTGTCATTAAACGTCAAAATGACATGACAAATTGACATTTAATGACGTCATTTTGACGTTTAATTACATTAGTTTGCTACTTGGGTAATAATTTTATAATAATAAATAATTATAATAAATGATAATAAATAATAATAATAAATAATAATAAATAATAATCTTAAATAATTATTAAAATATAATTTTTCTGATTTGTTTCTGTATTTATATTTTATTTATTATTTATTTATTAACATATATTTGAATCAGATGATAGATTAGGTGATGAATGAAGCTAAGCGATATCACAAATATAATATAAATTCACATCTATGTACTTATTGCGACAGAAGAAGAAAAGGGACAGATTGCGCCAGTCAATCCTCCAGTACCAGATACCGGATGCTCCAACATTGGAGGAATTTGAGTGCTTGCTTGGAGAATCACCCACAAATTATCCCAAGGGTGAAGCAGTGGAGGATATAGAGAGCGAACTACATTCTGCTGCTATTGACACAGAGGTTTATGAAAAACAGGCTGCTGAGAAAGCAGCTTATGAGAAGGAACGCAGTCTGCAAAATGTTGAAACAACAAATGAGGTAATTTTACAAATTCATATCTCATTATCGATGATATCATCAATAATTTTGAGATACATTGTGCAAGAAAGAGAATCCTGAATGAATTTTATTTTGCCGATGTTTCTTGCTTTCTATTTATATTATGTATGTAAAAAGTGTCTACAAAATTAGAGTGGAACTGCCTATAGTAATTGTTACATATATTTTTATTATATATTTCAGGTGTTGATGTTGGCTGAGAGTTCTCAAGATGAAATCGATGCTGTTGAACTTGATTTAGAATCCAAGGACACCTTAAACAATGAAATAGATCAAATCCAAGTAAGCGTTTCCGCTATTCAATTAGTGGACACATTGATCGATCCTGAAGAAGTCAGTCAGTCAGCCTTGGAAGACCCTGAAGATCTGATCAAAATGAAGATTCCAAGGCAGAAGGCTTTATCAAAGCAAACAGAAATTGCGGAGAGTAAGAAGGACATTCTGAACTCTGCATTCAAGGATGTCAGACCTTTTACGGAACAACAATTGACGTCTTTGTATCACAATCAGGAATTAACGTTGGTGGACGCCTTCGTAACTGAGTTTACAGAGACGCAGTTAAGATGCGGACCGTTGAGGCAACAGCATAGACTGCACGAATTGCTGATGAGCTATCTGAGAGTGCGGAACCACCTAATCGCGAACTCCTACGAGTTGGAACGTTTGAAGAAGTGCTGCCGGGAAACGCAGAAGCAGCTCTGGTGCCTGGAAAAGACGTCGGAGACGGAGAGTGGCGAGTGCCAGGACGGCAACCCCGTTTCCGCCGTCCACGAGTACTCGGTCGCCCATTTCAATCAGCAGGCCCTCGTGGTGCTCTCCAGGACCTTGTCCGCCATCAAGGACACCCTGCATGACAGCCAGGCGTTGTACTGCTACGAAGCGGAGTCCCTGCGTCTACAAATCGAGCATTACGTGCAAAGAGTAGCTAGAAGTTTTAACGTAAGTTGCCTTTTATGAGGTAAAAACTAAAACTAACAAGGAAAGGTCTTCAGCTAATTCACCGTTTTCAATTTAAAACCTATGCAGAAATGTTGTGGGTGATGCCAATAACATATTCTGCAAGTTACAACCCTTATTTTTGCGTTAAAAAAAATGGTATAATAATTTTCTCGTCTATACAATGATGGCAAAAATTCCAAATAGTCAAATATCTTGGAAAATAATGATTATGGAAGAAAATGTAAATACAAAAGTTTTAAAAAATCGAGGGTCTTTTATGTGGTTATATTGATGATGATGATGATGATGATGACGACTGTGGTTGATGGACCTTCATGTGACCTTGAAAGACATCGTGAAGGAAATCTTTCTCTTGCTTCAGGAATTTGCCAATCTTTCGCAAACCGCTCCAGCGAACCTCCTGCCTGAACAGTCGCCGTCTCAGACCGCTCCACAGCTGGTGGAGCTCAGGATGTGCGTGACAGTTTGTTCAACTTCCAGCGTCGAGTTCTCAAGGACTGCAAGTTCGTCACGGACACCAGGGAATGGCTGTCGCGGCTGGTGGCAGTGCTACTGAGAGTCGCCACGTGGCAGGATCATCTGTTCATCCTGAGTCACATCCTGCGATGTCCCGGTGGCGTGATGAACTGGGCCAAGTCGTTCGTCCAGGTGCCGGTGCCTCAGAAGATCTCCGGATTGAGTTCCTCGCCCTTCAACGACCCGTATCTTGATCACATGATCGCTACTCTGGCGGCGATCCTTCTACCGATCAAGGATCGGGATAAGTTCCTGGAACAGGTGCAGGTGTCCCTGCAGGACACCACGAGCAGTCCCGGGGACACGGTGTGGGTGATGCTGGACGAAGAGGGCGAGGAAGACGAGGACATTGCCAACGTCGGGGCCAATCTCTTCGAGAGCGACTTGATCTCCCTCCTCAATCAGATCCCACTGAACAGGATCTTCGAGCAGGTGCTGTTCATCCAGTGCCGGAACGACAAGTACGAGCAGGAGCGGAATGCCATCACGGATCACCACATGTTGCGTCTCTTCGCCTTCTATACCGTTCTCGTCAAACTGCTGAAGCAGGGTCTGAAGACCTACGACTCGCCGCGATATAGACAGCTGGCGAAGAGACTCAGCGCCTTAATTAGAGATGTTGTTCAATACGCCAGCGATCAGTGGGAGGCCTTTGATAGAAGCCAGGTGTGATCTATAGAGTTACACTGATCTTGAGTTGTAATTTTAATTTAACAAGGTGATCTTGACTCAAGGTCAAAATGATAAACCCAGTAATTGAATTATTTTAAATCTTACAATTTTTTCTTGATAATACATAGTTTTTAAGATCTCAACACTTGTATATGCTATTATGTAGATAACTGATGAATCGATGCTGCTAAAGCTGCAAATGGAGTATGACTGCTTCTTTCTGAGGGCAATTCTCTGTATATTTTCATCGAGGCGTCTAGGTGCCTGGCAATACCTTGCAGCAATACCATATTACATTATTTCATCGACTACCTTGTGGTACATCTTCTACATTCTGCACACTGATTCTACGCTTGGTGACACAGCAACATCAAATATGTCTGTTTCAGGTAGATGAAGAATACGATAGAACAATATAATAATAATAATAATAATAATAATAATAATAATAATAATAATAATAATAATAACAACAACAATATCTTTGATGCGACAGATTGGGAGGCAGAGTTAAGTTGTCCTGACCTTCATAAGCAATTTGAAGAGAAGTTGGGCAGCCTGCCAGGTGACGAGTCTTACTTTCTGCTGACAACTTTTGCTAATATGGCCATGGCAAGAGCCCACAAGGATTACGACTTCGTAAGAACGACCACAATCGATCTGTTTCAAGTATGCTGATAAATATATATTTAATTGATTGATCAAGTAATTTGTCTTTATCATTAATAAGAACTCTGAATTACAGATTGGATTTCTCAGTGAGAAGACTCAAGAGTCCTGTTCGAAGGACGCGAGATCACTTTTGTCGAATTTGACCAGCAAATATCCCACTCTTCTGTCTGACATCTTGCAAAAATTGAAGGACAATTTTGTATCAGTCGGGAAGGTATATAATAATAATTTTTATATCCATATATTAATTATTTTTCTATCTATATGTCACACTATATATTTGAAAATATGTATGTATATGATGGTATAATTTTATAATATAATTATAATTTATAATATTGTGTATAGTATAATTATATAGTATAATTTGTATACATATAGTATAAAATTATTATTTTCTAGATAACTATTGTATTATTATACTGTATTATAATACTATAATTACTATACACTACTATAACTACTATATTATTATATAATTATTACTATAATTATAGCTATATAGATTTAACAAAAAGGATTTTAAAAAAATTATGGGAAGTCTAAAATCACAAATATAAATTTTTATATTACATGAAATCTTGACAATCATAAATGACTATTAGAGAGAGAAGGAAAAAGAAAATTCTTATTAACATTTATTATAAAATTTCTTAAAAGAATTATAATAATAATATAAGAAAATAATACGTGATAGTATAAGTCACTAATTTATTACAAAAATAATAATTTGCAAGTAATAACAATAGATTTGTTAAATGATTTCAGCTGAGTTTATATCTGTTCACGGAACTGAAAATAGGAATGTGGACACCTCAGCAGCAGGACATAGCAATTTTGTCTACTTGGTTGCATCAGCATCCCCTAACTTCGTCCGAAAGTCATCTAGCACGACTGATTCTTACACACTTGAATTGGGGCCTTAACACGTAAATCGTATTTTTGAAAATATAGAAAATTTTCGAAAGAAGCAAAAAACAAAAAATTTACTCTGTTGTCTAGAATATTAAAATTTTTTAATTAGTGTTTACTTCACTTTTGTATCGTTTTTATCTCCTAATGAGTTATTAAAATTATAAATTCAAAATTATTGATTACAATTTGTCTAAATGAATTGTCTTTTACAGAAATGACAATTTGTATCTTCCGATTGATTTACATCGACAAGTGGCGTTACTAATTGTCGAGCTTATGATGAAATACGTGCCCGACACCCCGATGCAGTCGGCCTCGCTATTAGCTGAAGGTGTAAAGCAGGTGAGTCGTCGATTACAGAAGATATAAAAGCAAAAAGTTGATCAAAATCATTTTTAAATATGATACACATTAAGTTACACTATTAGTTTTACCACTAATATAATATTTAAATATAATATTTAAACTTTTGTGTATCTAGTATATGAAAATTAGAATAAAGTAGAATTGAAAAGTATTTTAAAATATATATGGTAATATAATTTTATAATATAATTATATAGTATAATTTTTATACTTGTAGTATGAAATTAGTATATAATTTTCTAGATTATTATATTACTATACTGTTAATACATACTTCTATATATTATATATTATTATATAAAAGTATATTATCATATACATATATATTTTCAAATATTTTAAATATTTTTCAATTCTACTCTATTCTAATTTTCATATACTATATACAAATATCTTCAAATACTATATTAGTGATATATAACATTATTATTATACAGGGTGTCTCGCAACGTGATGTCCAGAGTGAAACTTTGTATTCTTGGGATCATTCTAAGTCGAAAAGTTTTAATACACGTATGGGGTATAGAGTATAAGTATATAGGGTATAAGTACATATAGGGTATAAATATAATATACTTATACCCTAAAGTCGATTCTTTTAAAGTTACTTGTATTAAGACGTTTTGATTTAGAATGATTCCAAGAATACAAAATTTCAATGTGGACATGACATTGTGTGGGACACCCTGTATATTACTATATAATTATATTATTTACTATAATTATTATGTCACTATATAATTTTAATATATATAGTATATGAAAATTAAAGTAGATAAGAAATAGATATTTGAAAATTAGAAAATTAATATTCTAGATGAAGAATGAACTAAATTGCCACATCATTAACAAAGAAATTGATTATTATCAATGTTAAATCGAATAAGAGTCTTCAAGTTTTTGTTCTCCATCTCGTTCCAGGTCTCTTCGATGGTGAGACCGCAGAACAGCGAGCAGGCGTTCAGCCTGTGGTCGTGGGAGATGCTGAATCGCCTAAGATTGCACCAATTGGACCGATCGGAATCCGTATGCCGGAATGCGATCTCGAACCCGGCCGAGGGTCTCGCGCACGTGCCCGACATGGAGTCGAATTCCAGCCTGGAGATCCTAGCCAAGGGGGTGCGCGAGAAGCAACCGATTGCCTGCTACGCCTCGGTGTTGATGACCTTGTGGGGCCACTCGGTGCCGCTGATTTGCGTCGAGGGTTTTGGCCAGTTGCAGACCCTGCAGTGCTTCTACAAGTACGAGCAAGTCCTGGTGTGCCTGCACCGGCTGATACCGCTGTTCCTCGACTGTCCGGACTCGTTGCTGAAGAACGATAAGTTTGTTAGTCTGATCGTGCCGCTCATCGCCGCCGACCGGACCTACATGAAGATGGCGAAGAACCTGATCGCCCCGGAATTTCCCGGCCCAATCCTCAGACAGTTCGCGAACATGATCGAGTCGCACTTGTGTTACTTCAAACGGTACGCGAAATTAGCACTCCATTTTTGGGATTTTAAAATTCTAATAGTTGTTCCAGGATGTTCTAGACTTGCTTTAAATTTTGTGCCAGAAGATTAAATTTAAATAATAAAAATTGTAGCGGAAAATTGTAAAAATCACTTTTCAAGATTGTTCTAGTTGTTCTAAACATTGTTCAAAAGTATTACATTTAAATCCACTATTAAATAAAATTTTATCTACCAAAAAAATATATTTGTATAAATTAAAATAAATAGTAAAATGTAGAGATAGAATAGTCGACAAAAATCGGCGTAGAAGAGGGAGAAATTTATACAGTTATAAATACTTGAAAATAATAATTATATATATATATATATATATATATATATATACATTGATTGCAGGTATTGCTTGAACAGTCCTGAACGTTTCGTGCATCTGTGGCTGAACGTGCTGATACTTGTTCAGGATTGGAATAAGGATCATAGCGTGATGTATTTGATGGATACTGTGATCCGCGCGGCATTCTTTCACTTGGAAACTCGAATGACGTTGGACAACATGTTTCAAAATCTTTTCTGCGTAAGTGTAACATAATTGTATAATATGCACAATATTAAGTGTACATTAATTAATTATACATATATATAATATTTAATTAATAATAACTTTGCTATGTAATATTTTTACATTTTTTAAATGAAATATCGATTTACTAGCCTGCTTTAGACGGAAGTAATGAGGTATGATATAAGAATTAATTCATACATTCAGTGTTTCAATATTTATTCTAAATATTGGGCCCTACTGGGCCCAAAACAATGTTTCAATATTAAAACTCCTATTTTTTAGTGCAGATTGTTTAAGATGGGACAATATTTTGGGCCTGTTGGAGAGGATTTAGCAAAAAATGACAAAAAAGAACAAAATTTTATTTTTGGGGAATAGAATTAAAATCTGCACTAAAAATAGGGATTTTAATTTTAAAACATTGTTTTGGGCCTTATTGAGCCTAAAACAATGTTTTAAAATTGAGTCCCCTATTTTTTAATGTAGATTTGAATAAATTGAAAAATATTTGAGGTCATCTCTTAACATGGGGCATCTTGCATATGCGATCTAAATGTGTGATATTTTTTAGAACATATCGTCCGTTCGGACGCCAGGATCGTTCGGGTCCTTCTTGAGCTGGGCGACGGGATGCTCCAGCTCGGCTAGTCTCCTCGGTGGAACCGTCCAAACGATTTGGCTCGCTTATCAGATTCTGCTGACGGAGCAATACGATAGGGAATTGAAGACCGGACTTTGGCGGGAGATCCTGCGTGAATTGTCTATGCAGCCAAAGATATCTCTGGACACTGCCCTCAAGGTTTAGGAACGACAATACAGAGATTAACTGTATTAAATGCTCTAAATAAAAAAATATAATCGAAATCTCTTTCAGAGAGCCTGTACAACGGTGAAGATGACTCCCTTCGGCGTAAATAATCTGGCTATCTATCGTTGGTCCCAGCAGGCCCTCGACACACCTATGGATCATCCAATCCTGCCTCTTCTGTGGCAAAACTTCTTTAGCTTATTCCTTGCACGAGCTCCTATCATATCAGGGTGATTGTTGCCATTATTTTAGTCTTTAAAAGAGAACACTGACGTAATTTTATATTATAATAAATAAGAGAAGCAAAAATAATTTATTTTTTATTCTCAAATTGCTCTAGATCTATGGATAAAGGTGGCTTTGGAGAAAAGTTTTTCGAAGGAATGATAAATCTAAGTTACTTGAAGAAGCTGAAGAAGCGATTGCACGAAACGACGGAATATTTTCAAGTTAAAGGGGAGAAAGACACGGACAACGGGAAACCGATCACCGATGAGCGACGTGTATTTTATCTTAGCACAGCAAAGTGAGTAAACACAATCAGTGGAACGACATATTTTTTCTGAAAGATATCTCTTGGAAGAAAGAAATTCGATATCGATATTATTTTTAAAAATAATTATTTATCGCAGATTCTACAAAACACTGAGCCTCTGGTTGGAGGAACCCCGTCTTCAGGAACCGGGACTTTACCTTCCAGCTCTGCCACCGCAATACATGTCGCAAAAGCTAATTTTGCTAGTGCAAGGAGATCGAGTAAGAGTCAAAACCGTACATCAGAAATCCTAGCTAGCAAGCGTACGTCATTTTGACGTCGAATGACATCATTTTAACGTGTTATTTTGATATTTAATGACGTCATTTTGACGTTTAATGACATTTTGATGTTTAATGGCGTCATTTTTACGTTTATAACGTTATTTTGACGTTTAATAACAGTTTTACGTTTAATGTCAGTTTGCTACTTGGGACGTTCAAATTATTGTTTTACCATCACTTTACCTTTGTTTTCATCAATTTTTAGACACTCTGGCTGGAGTATATCGACTATTGGACGGTGCAGCAAAGCCAGCTGAAGGCGGTGCGCGAGTGGGAACGCGCGATATTTCGCGATTCCGAGAACCAGCCAGGGGTCCAGAGGTCCCAGAGCGCTTCGGCGAACGTCGCGGAATCGATCGACCCTCTTCGCCGAATTTTCCGCAGACTAAGCGCCTATGAATCGCCACTTTCGCCCCCAGCTCTGAGTCGTAATCAGCCGGTGTTGGGCTGCGTGGTCAGGGAGAGTCTCTACAACTCCGCCGCCGTCATCGATATGGTCAAACCCCATCTCCGAGTCGTCCTTGACTATGCACAGACCTACAATCTCATGATATCCGAGCACACTGCGGTGGACTGCAGCTTTCTCGAATTGGTCCCGACTCTCTATCGGGTCTACGAGAACCACGTGACTCTGCACGCCCTCTGTGACCCCGCGCCACCCGGTCAGAGACGTTCCAGATCGGGCACACCTCCAACAGTGCACTGCGCAGGCCCTGCGATCATCAAGATTACAGTACGATTGAAGATAGCACTAATTTATAAGATGAAATATTAGAAGATTTAGCTACTAGGGTTTTACTATACTGAGTCCTAGGACCCTAGTAGACCTAGACTAACCCTACTAGACACTAAATAAAATATTAAATGTCAAAAAGATACACATACAGGGTGATTTATTTGAATCTTAGTAGGCAAATATTTAGTCAAATATGTAAATGATCAAATGTGTTTTCCAAGTTTTTCTTAAGCAGGATTTTTACAAAAATTGTGCAGGTCGAAGAAGCACACGTCAGTGAAGGTGTAGATCACATGATAACCCAGAACCGAGCCGAGTACGAGAATCTTTTGGTGAAAGCTAGTCAACCACCACCCAGCAAGGTCACCCTTGGCTGCGTCTTCATCGATCATTTGATTGCGTAAGCGGGTTTAACTTATTAACACTAGACTATAAAATTAAAATTACCAATGGCACAGTAGAAATTCTTTTTTTATATTCCTCGCTCTTCAGGATGCTGGAGCATGAGTTAACTGTCAGTCGCACCAACGAAAATACCGCGATACTACGCAAGGTACAGGAGAGCGGAGTCAAGCTGTTCTATCACCTGGTAGAATTCTACACGGAGGAAGCGGCCTTGTGTCCTTCCACAAAACAACTCATCACTACTTGTCTAGAGAAGTTGGGCCAGGTACGTACTCTGGATTTTAAATTTCTTCAGGTTCTTAATGTTACTTTCATGTAAACAAACACTGTCCCGCTTTCAGTTGTTCATCAGCGGCGAGGAAATTCAAGGCCCGCAATTGCTAAGCACAATCATTCAGAGGCCGAATCTGGGGGGCCTGTTGGGACCACATTTCACACCCGTGGCTGGTGGAGCCACCACGTTCTTGCAAATGTACCAAACCGTCGTGGACTTGTCCACTGGCTCGAACGTCGATTTGTGCTTTGTCTTGCTGTCCAAGGTAGATAGTCGAATTTATCGAACTCACTCTTTATTTAATTCCTCGTGGCTAATGGATTGTATTTATGCGATAGTTCGACGTCGGCAGCTGGTTGAATTATCGCCGTCCGCGATTGAGCGAACGATCCACTTTCATAGATCTAGTTTCCAAAGCGTTGTACAACATTGGTCTAAATCCCGAAGAAGAGAAGCTGATGCTGCACGAAGTGAGGGTTCCTTTTACTTTCGTTATGACATTTATCTTCATCAGTTATATAGGAAAATTGTAAAATTATACTATTGCTGGCAGCTCTTCCGAAATCATCTACGACTCATTCTTCTACACGAGTTCCCTGAACACTACGGCGAGGTACTGAGCGCGGTGCTGAGAGGATCCGAGAGCCAGAATCTGTCATTGGATGTTTGGCGCGATTTGCTGGGAGCTCTCAGCGGCAAGTCGAAGAACGTCGGGCCTATATATCCTGCCAAGATCAGAGAGGATATCAGACATTATGCCACGGAACAGAGGCTACTGTCTCGCCAAGAGGTTTCTTCAGCAATTTTATTATCCTTACACTCGAAAAATAATCGAATTCAGTTTTGTCGCGCTTTATTCTAGATGTAATAATAGATTTGATCAAACCCGGATAGAGTGTATAAGATGATATTTTCGCAGATGCACGACACGGCTGTACTTCTAAGCCGACACTTCATGAAGGAAAGATTACAGTATGGACTGTACGGTCTCTACCCGAAGTACAGGATCTACAATGAACCGTTGACCGTGTTTCTGGGTATGGTCGGCCACGCTTTAGTCGTGTTAACGCTTCAGGCTGATCGAGGATCGCTTGCGGATCAATGTAAGTCGGTATTTAGGAACTGTGAGGCCTATAGTTGGAACTATAAATTCTTAGAATCTTGCTACATAACTATTCAAAGCTATAAACTTGCCAGGTAGCGAGCATACGTCATTTGACATCATTAAACGTCAAATTGAGATCATTAAACATCAAATTAACGTCATTTTGACGTTTAATGACGTCCAATGACGTTAAAATGACGTCAGTTTGACATTTAATGTCGTCCACTGACGTCAAAATGACGTATGCTTACTATCTCGGAAGTTTATAGCTTCGGATAGTTACGTAGCAAGATTTTAAAGACTTAATGTTCTAACAACGTCCTTAAATGTCAAACTGACGTCATTTTGGCGTCATTGTTATTAAACGTCATTTTGACGTTTGATGACGTCAGTTTGCTACTTGGGTCGTCTATGATAAAGAAGAGAAAGCTATCGCCAACGCTGTTGCAGTGTGCGAGAAGATCTGGCCGGTGTTGAGCGAGATGTACGCGCCGTGGATCACCCCGTACTGGACGAGAAACTTGCGGGAGCCTACAGCCGCGTGGATCCAGCAATTGACGGACGACAGGTCGGTGCTGCTGCCGTGGATCATTACCGACGGACCCTACGCGAATCGGACGATGGCGATGTTCGCCGAGTGTGTCCGCTTCATCGTCGACACCATGCCGGCGTCGAGCAAGATTCTCAGCTTTGTGTGGCAGTTCTACGTATCCAACTATGCCCACGTGTCCGTTAAGGATCACGTGCTGAACGTGGTGCACGGAAACTTCCTGTCCCTTCCTTGGGACCGTTTCTGCCCCGCCGTCAATGACATCGAGCTAATGATCAGGGTCATTGATCAGTATCTACCGGACTGCCACCTGTTCTTGGGAAGCATCTTCACCTGTATCAACTGGTCCGCCTGGATCGGCGAGCTAATGGCCACGCAGCCGCTGCCAGTCGCCGCCAGGATGCACATCTGTTTGCTCAATTTGCTGGTGAAGCTGTCAAACGAACCTAACGTCAGACAGGTGAAAAGAATGAGAGAAATATGAAATCCCTTCTGAAAGATAAGAGGGTTCTGAGAATGCAAATTAACTTTAACTGACAAATATTTCAGAACGAGAAAGCAGTACAGTTGGTTACTGAAGCCGAGAGTTTCTCGTGGCACTTGATCGACGCCGCGGCTTACGACCAAGTGATCAACTGGCATGTGATGAGCTGCGATCCCAGGGTGATTTTGTGTCTGGGCAAAGACCAGACTCACGCTATCGACGTAGCCGTCAACAAGTGAGCCTAATACATAGTTTACTATTTGGATGCTTTCCCGTTATATAGTGTCGACTTGTAGATGGATTTCTTTATTTCGCCGCTAGAATGCAGTGCAGTTCGCTTTATATAGCTTTTTTAAAGTTTTAAGTTAAAAATTTTTTTTTAAATTGTTGAAAAACACCTAAAATATTTATTTGGTGATGATATCCGTTTGACTTTCAGATAAATTTGAAAAGCTCGATCAAGGTCAACATGAAAATCTTAAGTAGAAATCCCTATTTTTTATTAGAATTAAAAAATAAAAGTTTCTAATTAAGACCTTGATCGGACATGAAAGGTCATGTACCTTTCTCTCAGATACATAATATTACATAGATTATCATTAAAAATTATTTGACATTCGCAGTTTACTGAAAATAGTGGCGGCTTACGATCCTACAGTAAAACACTTTCATCCCACCACCTTGAAGAAGCGACAGATGTACGTGCGTTCTATGGTAAAATTGCTGATCAACTGTACAACGAGACACAAGTCCCTTCTCTCGACCAACAGCAAAGTGTTCACCAATACGTTGTCGCGGATGCTGGATGATATGGAGATTGTTATCACCAGCAGTAAGTGAAATCTAGAACGCAAAAGAATCTATGTAAATTTCAAGAATGACTGAAATTTAAAACATGAAAATAATTTCTTTTCTCTTCCAGCTGTCTCTGAATCGCAACAGGTTGCCGAGGCCGGCCTGCTGATCACCGAGTTTCTGCATTCGATCAATCAGAGCGGGGTGCTGGTCGATCATCTTCGTAGCAGCTGGACAGCGTGGCTGCTGGAGCGAACAGCCAGCAGTCCGGTGCTGATGGGCGTGTTAAGGGTGATCGGAATGGCAGTCGCTTCTTCGTCTACCTTGGGCCACCTGATGGAGGCTGCGTTGGAGGCTTACTTCAAGTATAACGGTAAGTGAATTGATTCCTCCGCTATATGACGTCGTAAGACGTCTGAACAGGACGAGAAAAATGTTTTAAACAAAGAGTAGAGCTTAAAAAAAATATTTGACGATGAGATCTGTTTGACCTTGAGATGACCTTGAAAAGCCCGGTCAAGGTCAACATGAAAATCTTTGAGAATTTTTTTGCCTTACACTTCGAATTCAGTTTCAAAGTGAATCAACGACGCTTCTATTTTAGTAACGGAAGAGGTTCAGCCCACCTGGGCGTCGGTGCTGACGATTTTGCAGTCTATCGTGCCTCGTCAACCGCCACTGGAATCGGTGTTGGTGTCTGAGGGAAGATTGCTGGCCCTTTACTCTGTGTTGCTGAAGAGACTCCCGTCCTGCAGAGACATCCGGGAGGAAGGCATGCTGCTGATCAACTTGGTGGATTGGATCAACGCTATTAAAACCACGTGAGTAGTTCCGCGAAGATAGAAATTAAATGCAAAAAATACAAAAACCTGAGAAAGAGGTTAACATTATCGAATTTTACTTATCTAGGGACATTGTGGAGGAGAAGCTACCTCTGTTGTGGGTGAAAGCGTGCGAACTGGCCTACAGGCAGTGTCAATACAGTGAGAACACGGTGATCGCTGCTAGAGCTTTAAAGGGGCTGGCACGAGCTTTGCTGATTGTAGCGGACGACGCAGGACAAGGCTGGGGTATCCTGGGGGCCATCGGACTAAGGAAAGGCTCCCAGCTTACCGTAAGGTAATATCTCAGAAAATATTGATTTAATAAAACAAATATTTCGAACAAAAAGAGTAGAGCCAAAAAAAATTATTTGGTAATGATATCTGTTTGACCTTGAGATAACCTTGAAGTCCGGTCAAGGTCAACATGAAAATCTTAAATAGAAACCTCTATTTTTTAATTCTAATAAAAAATAGGGATTTCTACTTAAGATTTTTATGTTAACCTTGACCGGGCTTTTCAAGGTCATCTCGAGGTCCAACGGATCATCGCCAAATAATTTTTTTTTAGCTCTATTCTTTGTTTAAAACATTTTTCTCGTCCTGTCTTGCGTCTCGTTTGACTTTTTGATCGTCCAATTTTCAATTTTCTCAAACAGATGCAAGTTCCTCAGCCGCGCAACAGCTGTTTACTGCCTGGCGCAGCTACCGGAGTCCAAGTCCGATCAGCAGCTGGTTCGGTACACACCTCACTCGCCCGGGGTGGCGCCCTCGCGATCGACCGATCCGGATACGATGGAGATCCGACCTAGCGTAGAGGCAGTGAAGGCGATGCAGAGCCTGGAAGGGCTGCTGATGAACAAGCAGTACGCGGAGCTGCGCGGGGACGTAGAGAAGGTTATCAGACTTGTCAGAGACTCCGCCAACTCACTGCACAACGCCGTCGGAATCGTCGGCGCCCTCACTGCCGAGCTCTACAATCAAAGATACCTGCACGTGCTGACGGAATAATACTAGTTGCACCTATTTTGACCTGGCTTCGAAGTATGGTCACGTGACGCGATTTTTAAACCAAAGTTTTCAGAGTCGTTCTATCGAGTGTTTCGAGATCTTCGGGACTCTTTCGACATTTGATAAGACAAAAATAAGGGGAACCAGTCGAATGCCTGTCGCTACGTAGACCTCACCAAATATAACGACGCGTTTAAATCGATTGCTTGTTTGAAACTCGAAGATTAAGAATACATTGCGAAATTGCTTATTATATATATAATATATATTATATAGGATGAGGCATATGTATATATATATATATTATATATATATATATATATATAAAAATTGAAAATTTAACCTTTGGATAAAGATATCAAGGTGAAATGAAGGTTCACTTGACAGTTTCATTTATTTTAAATGATCTACCTTATATATAATATATTATTCACTGTGTTTGTTTTATTCTTATTATTTACATTTATTACACACACACACATATATATATATATTTATTTATTTATTTATATACAATATATTATTATACATATATATAATAATTTTATTATTATATATACATAATATTATATATATATATATATATATATATATATATATATATATATATTGTGTATGTATGTGATTGTGTATATATGTGATAAGGATTTTTGATCGGGTTGTTTTATTATGAATATTTATTGATGTCCGATCAAATCCTGCTCTCCTATAGTGTATATAGTTGCAATGTAATCTTAATCTTTGATAATTTAATTACGTAATTGCAAGTTTAAGAAAAGTTTTATTATTTAAACTTTTTAGATCTGCATTAATCTTCTAGTCACACAAAGTCTGTTTCTTTTTTTTTAATTCAGAATATTGTTTAGAATGCATTCAATTTAAACGCGCACTGGTTTATAGCTTGTCGATAATATATATAGTTAATGATATTTAAATTGTTAATGTTGATATAAAATTTGCTTACGCAATCGATTCACATTGCGGATGCAATCTTGTTATCTTTGTTTGTACACGTATATTTACGCGTTGACGAAATGTTGGAATAATATATTCGCACATTAAGTTTGATTTTCGATGACACAATTGAGGCCTTTGGATCCTCGCTGGAGCTATGTCAGATTATGACATCAGAGGCAAGAAAGCACACGCTGAATCTCTATCTCAAAAACTACCCAAGTAGCAAACTGACGTCTAATGACGTCATTAAACGTCAAAGTGACGTCATTTTTTGACGTCTAATAGTTTTGACGTCATAGACGTCATTCAACGTCAAAATGAAAAAGCTTGCTAATTGGGTATTCTTTTCTTTTTATAATCAACAATTATATCTCGAAAACCATTATTTAAGTAGCAAACTGACGTCATTAAATGTTAAAATGTCAAAATGACATCATTTTGACGTCTAATGACGTCAATTTGCTACTTGGGTAGTTTTCAAGATATTTTAAGAATACTAAAGCCACCTGAAGTGCTATTTCATCGAAATATCTTTTTATTTCGAAATGGCATCTAAGAATCTTTAGGCTTGTAATTTCTCACCTTGACGTCACAATTCCAACATGGTCGGCGAGAAGCCAGGAGCCTTAATTCTTGCGATGAATAAATTTTCACAGCCGTTATTTTAAATATCTCACGTAATGATTGTTCAAGAATAGCAGTTGTCAATCGACGAATAAAAAACTTTAATAGAACGAATTTTTCAAGCGAAATCTCTAGATCGTAAGAGATTACTATGATTATATTGATATAAATAGAATTATCACTCGCAATAGCACGGGATACTTCTAAATTGCTGTCGTAAGATTCACTTTTTTTATTATTCTAACTTACAATAAACGAGCATCATATACACTCAATATTTTCTATATTTCTATATTTCCAACGAAAGTGTATTTAGATAGAAGATAATTAATTCATCATATATTTTCTAGAAACAAAACATGTTTATATACTGTCTAACATAATTTTATGGTGTTGACGTATAAAAATGTTGCTTAACTTTTTATTTTTTATCACCAAAGGGCAGATCTGTAATTTTATACAGGATGTAACTGAAAAAACATATATATAGCACACAATTTTTCATTTTTTATGTCATCATTTTTTGCATATTCCCAATTTTGTCATCTTTATAACTAACAAGTCTTAAATTAAAATACTATTAAAATATATAAATCTATTTAAAATTCTATTAAACTATTTGAAAGTAACTGAAGAATGTAATTTGTTAATATTTTAATTCCACAAAGTTTAGTTTGTGAGAAACTCTTTTTCAATCATTGAACTTGAATTATTGGTGCCTTGACATTTTCATTAAGGAAAAATCCAAATTGATCAGAGAATTGAGAGATGGTAAGCTCCATATATGTTTATTCAGTTACACCCTGTACAGTCTCAAAATGGAATATCACTCCATAAAAAACAAAAGTGGCACCGCATACAAAGAAGTTGGTCTCCAGACAAATAATGGCAAATTTATTTTTAAAAAAATATGCACCAATGACAATCCTCAATTTATACAATACATATTCTTAAAATGTCACGATGCCGCCGCCGCGTCTCGTAGCAGCTGCGCGGCCTCGTCGGACGGATAATCGATCAGCTCGCAGCGAAAATGCTCGGCGAAGGTGCTTCGAAGAGTCGGGATCACGTCGGCGACCGTCACGTTCGCCTTTAGCTCCTCGGACACGCTGGTCACGCCCTTGTTCTCGATGCCGCAGGGCACGATGTGCTCGTACCAGCCGAGGTCGACATTGCAGTTGAGCGCGAGGCCGTGAGTGGTGATGTAACGGCTCCCGTGGACGCCTACCGCGCAGATCTTGCGGTCGCCGACCCAGACCCCGGTGTGCGGCGAGGTCGAGGCCTCGATGCCGAGCGCGGCGCACACGCCTATCACCATATGTTCCACTTGGTGGATGTACCACCGGATGCTCGGACGAAATTGCTTCAGATCGAGCACCGGGTAGGCCACCAGTTGCCCGGGTCCGTGAAAGGTTATCAGTCCGCCTCGATTCGTTCTCCGGAAGTCCGCGCCGAGGTTCCTCAGTTTCCTCTCGTCCGCTTCCGTGTATCTCCCGTCTCGTATCCCGACTGTGTACACCGGTTCGTGTTCCAGAAGCACTAAAGTATTCGCTGTTTCGTTGGGACACGTGGGACGACGATGATGATGATCGGTTAAGAGCTTCTGTAAATGTAAACCGACCCCGTACGACAGGCGACCAGCCAGCAGAACCTTCACCCGTAGATTTGTCATCCTAGGATTCTTTATGATGAATGAGTTAAGTCTTTAAAATCTTGAGAAACTTAATTGTTAATTTATAAAATCTCTTCGCATCCTCGTTGAATCTTTTTCACTCTCCGTTAGATCATGTATGGGATTAGGTATTCAAGAGGTAGTACACACATGGTTTTCAAGTTCTTTATAAATCAGAAGGGAGACCTGTGAAAGAATGATTTTATTTTTGGAGAAGTGTTATGTAAAACAAATTAATTATAATAAGAAAAGAAGAATATTTCGTAAAGCACCAGTAAATATAAGGATAAAACTCTTACTATTGTAAATTAATTAACTATTGTAAATTAATTTTATTTTTATTTTTATTTTATTTTTGAAATTAATTAACTATTGTAAATTAATTTTATTTTTATTTTTATTTTATTTTTTAATTTATTTTAATTTATTTTATTTTGTACATTAATTGTATTTTTATTTTTATTGTAATTTATTTTTTAATTTATGTTAATTTATTTTTGTGTCTAGTATTACTTTTTCGCTTTTATGTTTATTAAGTTACAATATTTTGTGGATTTTTTATTAATTCGTTTTTATTATTGTTTATTGTATCATTTAAATTGTGAAATTATTATTACAGTGTTCATTTGATAAGGACCTGAACCAAAGGTCGAAACGTAATGAGGAAGATCTAATAAATTAACATTTTTTGCCCAATTTGGTCGTCTATTTTTTCAAAGAGTTTTATCCTTGAAATTAATTATAATTAATTTAAAGATAAATGCATTTATCTTGATTGATTTACACATACGTAAGCATCTGTGGCTGCGTAGATCTTCTGAGCATCGTTGAGGGGTTGCACATGCCACTTACTCCTTCGCACTTCGGGATTCTTGTCGATTTTCTTTTTCAACTATATATAGAGAAAAATCTCTTCTATCAATTCTAGTATTTTACTTATCGAGTCGTGATATAAAATAATAAGAGAAAAATTATACCACTAGAGCGGTCAGTCTTTCTAAACTCCAACGACCAGATCGCATCAAGCGCTCATTAGCGAATGGTCCGCAATCCAAACAATTGTTATCTACTACTTTCTGACCAGGGAATTCCTTAAAATCTCTTTCCAGTTTCCGCACGTCGCTGCAAAATGACAAACTTATTGTGTGCGTAGAAAATAATCGTGTAGAAATATAAGAACCTTAAATAATGCAACAAATTGGAAATTTGCATAATTTTTTTCGTGAAAAAATTTATTTAAGATTTCTATGCTGTGTTCATATTTCAAAATTTACAATTAAAAGAAATTCACATTTACAATTAACACCAAATTCAAAATAAATAATTCTTTAATGATATTTTATTCAGAATGTGCCAAATTAAGAATTTACATTTAAAATAAATTCTGGGAGGGCCCCGATTGCCTACAAATCAATTGCCAACAGCATCATTTGCCGACATCTCATTTGCCAACATCTCGTTTAATTACAAAAATTATTGCCTACAGATCGATTGCCTACAATCTGAATTGCGTACAAATAACAACAAAATAAGAGTCGGAAGACCCCGATAAAGTTCCGAAAAGTAGACTCACCCCCGATTTTTTAGGATTATCTCAGTAAATACGAAAAATTATAATAAATATTTTTGACAAGTTTTAGATCTTACAGAAAACACGTGGAAAAGTGTATGCGTGGAAACAGTGAATTTTGCCCCCTTGCGGGGGGCTCTACTACTACAAAACCAGACAAATAGATTTGTGTGGAATCTCGTTTTGTGTAGAAAGTTGCAAATCCATGTGGAATCGTATATTATACTGCAAAGTACATGCTTAGATAGAAGAACGCAGATACAAAATTTAAATTCCATCGTTTTTGTTGAAAACTATTACTCGTACAGTAAAAATGAATAAGACATAAAATGTTTATCTCTGTAAGATCTAAAACTTTTGTCTAAAATATTTATCATAATTTTCCGTATTTACTGAGATAATCCTAAAAAATCTAATTTTTTTATGATTTTTCATGGTGTTCACCATGAAAATCAAATAGTCGCCAATTTTCACTATGATATTCGTAATCAGCGCATAAAAATATGTAAGAATACTGAGTTTCAAAAAATCGAAGATGAGTCTACTTTTCGGAACTTCATTTGGGTCTTCCGTCTCTTATTTTGTTATTTGTGCGCAATAGAGCTTGTAGGCAATCGATCTGTAGACAATAATTTTTGTGTGCAATACGATTTGTGCGTAAAATTGTGTTATGTGTGCAAACGTACGTCCGTTTCTTCATTTTTCATTTGTGTGCAATAGCATTAGTAGGTAATCGATCTGTTGGCAATATTTTTTGTAGTTAAACGAGATGTTGACAAATGGGATGTCGGCAAATGATGCTGTTGGCAATTGATTTGTAGGCTAATGCTCCCCCCCCTTAAATTCTAAATAAAAAAAATAAACCATTTTATAAATTCTCCACAAATTCAATATTCTTTATTAACAATTTTATATAAATTTGATATTTCAAAATTTACGAATGTTTAAGCACGTATATTTTTTGAAATTAAAAATTTAATGAAAAAAACCCCTTTCACTCATTCTCGTCAAATTAAATATCAAACATTATTGATACTATTGATACTCTATTTACATAAAAATATTTAGTCTAATATCTCAAAATTCACGAAAATTAAAAGAACCATATACATTTCTAAAAAAAAAAAAAAATTTATGCACAACTAATTAAATATTTCTCAAGTAAAATTAAGTTTTGAAACAGAAAAGATTAAATATTATTTAATAATTACTGACTTTTTAATGTTGACGCCAACGAGCTTGACTTTTGGATGGCACAGAAGTTCGACAAAGGCTGCTGGTAGCTTCTTCAGGGTATAAATATGCAGAAGGTAACACACGTCTACATCCAGACAAATTTGCACCAAGGCTGTCTTTCCGCTGCCAGTTTGGAAACTGAAAGGCCATTCTAAATCGAAACCTAGTGGCACAATATCCTTCTCGCTACGATTTATCTCTTCTCTGAAAAGAAAACAATTATATACTTAAGAGTATATTTTTAAATTTTTATTTTAAAATGTCTTTCATTTTTCTTTTCTTCCATCTCATTTCTATTTAGTCTTCATTTACATATTTATTTTTTTTCGTTATGTTTTTGTCCTAATCTTATTCAAGATACAATATTAAGGTTTAATTTATATTTCTATCACATACTTTTCTTATTTTTATAGAAAATATTTTATTTAACTTCAATATTTCTATATTTCCATTATTTTTGATAATATAAAAAATTATGTAATATAAAAAATAATAAAATTAATAATATAAAAAAATGGTTTAATGGAAGATATATAATGATAAAAAAATTTAATTTTTCTACGAGCTTAGAAAAGCTTAGAACTTTAAAAAACAAATTTTAGATCTTTTTTTTAAATAAATTGGTTTTGTTTTTTGCAAATAAATATATGAGATTAAATTTTTGCTTCCATTAGCTAGTTAAAAAATGTAAACTTTTAAGTCCCGAAAAAAATTAATCTTTATTAAATAATTAAATATAACTTTGAAATAAGAAAGAGACTATGAGAATCGATCGCAGATGTATGTTCGATCAAAACCTCGAAAATTTAAGTTTTTTCGCTGTCTTATAATAATGCACGAAATTTTGCTTAGCACTTGATCGAACATACATCGGCTCTCATAGCCTTTCTTATTTCAGTTATATTTAATATAAGGAGTCTTACATTATTATTATTAAATATAATTAAATTTATATTTAATTATTTAATAAAGATTTATTTTATATATATATATATATATATATATATATATATATATATAATAATCATTAAAAATTTAATAATTAATTTATATTTAATTATTTAATGAAGACATTTTTTTACTATCTTATTTGCATATTTTTATCGCAATATTTGTTTTTCATTAAATGAAAGAATGTTTATATTTTATCCACCAAATATTTTTTGAATATTCAAAAAAATACCTTACATATTTTTCTGTAAAAAATATCTTGTATTGTTTACACTTACAAAAGATTATTGCAGATAAAAGCACAATCGACAAACTCAGTAACGTACTGAATGCGACCCTTAAAGACAATTGGAGGATACTTTTCACATGTTATACGTTGTGTGTTGCTGCAATTTTCAGATTTCAGCTGCAAATAATTAAAAATCAATAATAATTAATCTCATATATGAAAGAGAGAATTGAAATAATAGAATATTAAATATTAAAATAAAGACATTAATGCTAAACAAGTACATTAAGTAAATTTTTGTAATATTTCCAATATGAAATATTATATTGAATTACTGTAGATTTTTTATTGTGATAACTATGCACAAACAAATATACCACACAAAATATTTTTAAGTAAATATTTCACAAAATATTTGCTTAAATGTCCAAGATTTAGAATGGAAAAATTCGAAAGTACAAAAATATAAGTGGCTTTGAATAAAAATTCTCATATCTTCCTTAATTCTAATGCCTCAGTTCTTTAACAGAAGTTATATATTGATTCGCAACTATAAAAGCATATAAACAATCTAACTCTTAAGTTTGAGTATCGAACTAGAGTATCGAGAGAGTTTTAGTAGATTCTATTAAATATAATAGATTCATCATTAACTGTGTGATTGTGAGTACTATAATACTATATATAGTACTCGATAATCAGTAATATAATACAAAATATATATTAAATATAGCAGAAATGAGAGAGTATTGATTATAATAGAAGCTTCATAGCATAAAAATAAAGTGCCTTTGAACACAAATTCTCATATCTCTCTTCTTACATCTGAGTTCTTTAACAGAAGTCATATATTGGTTTGCAACTACGAAAACATATAAACAATCTGACTTTGAAGTTTGAAAGCATCGAACAAGAATGTTTCAGTAGAGTCTATTAAATATAATAGAATAAATATATAAAGTACTGATCATTAACTGCGTATTATAGTATTCAACAATCAGTAATAAACCAAATATATATTAAATGAGAGAGTACTGTATTATAAAAATAGAAGCTTTGCAGTACTGCGCACCCATTCATCAAACAAAAATGTTTGTAGATTCCGAGTACAATAGAACAGAGTACTATAATATGGTATGACAGGAAGTATAGTAGAAGCGAGAGTACTATAGTAGAAGCTTCATAGTAGAACTTGGGCATCCATTTATCATAAAGTCAACCAACGTTCAATTTCCATAGAAAGTCCTGTGAAAATAGTGAAAGCACATGAGATATAGATTTCAGATTTCTACGACAAATACACCAAGGAAGACCAAAAAATAGAAAAATGAAGCAATCCTCCTGCTATACTGACCACAGTCCCATCTCTATTTACAGCACGTGTGTTCATCACGGGGATGTGATATATATATTGATCACCAAGTGATCCTTTCTTTCTTCTTCTTCTTTTTAGTAGTATTTGGTGTCACTAGTTCGACCTTGAATAGTTGCTTGAAGATTACGTGAAGGTCATCTCCAATTTCTTAAACGTCATCAATGGGTTAATTATGACGTGATCTTCTTCTTTTTGCTCTTGATATTAAATTGATACCGGTTGAAAGATATTTAAACGGTCAGAAATTGGTTAAATCCTCTGCGCATGCGCAGTTCTCATTTTAAAAACCGTGTATGCACATGCGCGCGCTTTTAAAAAATGAGAACTGCACACACGTAGAGAAGAAAGAGGGGAAACTTGTACGGGTGCGAGAATTTGAAAATTCTTGGAGTACATTTTGTGTCAAAGCCAAACTACGTTTATACATGCAGGGTGTTCCATTTTAATGTCCCGCCCAAAATACTACTTTTTTATTTTTGATTGTAGAAAATTTTTCAGTGAATATTTTATAACATATTTTACATTTTATTGTCAAAAAATTGTTAATTTCGAATCTAACTCAAAAAGTACTTGATAAAACAATGCTTTATTTAGGATTTTGAAAAGCTTTTAAAATAAACTACAAGAATATATATGTAATGAAAAATAGGTGGTTTTGTTTAAGAAATTGAATCGAAAAAAAGGTAAACTTCAAGCAACTATTCAAGGTCAAACTATATAATAGCATCATATTAATTACGTCCCCTTCGAAATCAATTTTTATCTAAAACATTTTTTTTCTACAATCAAAAATAAGTTATTTGGGACGGGACATTAAAATGGGACACCCTGTATATACATATATATATATATTTTTGTTTTTCATCGAATTTATTTAAATAAGACTTTGAACGGTGTCAAAGGATCAATCGTCTTATTTTATATATATAAGTTACTTAAACATTATTACTTTTTCTTGCTCTCCAAATTCGAATATACATACATAATGATTCTAATGTTAATGATAAATATGCTTACAGATGGCTTACTTTAAATCTTCTACGTATTGACAGCGCTTTTGTTTCTTCTTTCACTGATTTTTCATATTTTCACACACATACATAGACAAAAAATTGTCTCTTTCTTCTCATTCTATCAAATTATAAAGATTTATCACTTCATCAACGTTTAACCAGCTATTTATAATGTATACATATTTCACTCCTGTGCTATTTTTTTTTTTTAGGAAATTCTATCATTCATCCAGATAAAATTTAAGAATAAAAACGTATTTTGTTTAACTAATGTTCAGATTTTCAAATCAGATTCTTTCATAAATCACTAAATACACGTGAATTTTTTATCTTCAAAAAAATCCTCAACTATAGCAAGCGTACGTCATTTTGACATTTAATGCCATCAGTTTTCCAAGTAGCAAACTGACGTCATTAAGCGTCAAACTGAAGTCTAAACGTCAAAATGTCACTTTGACGTCTAATGACATTATTTGACGTCAAAATGACGTAGATTTGCTACCTGAGTCGACGCAATACATTTAAAATTTCGAAAATCTAAATTTAATAAAAATTGTACTTAAATATTGTCGGATCGAAAAAAAATCCTGCTAGGAGAAGATTAATTTCAAATTCAAAGATACATATTGCAAAAACCTTCAACCTTTTCCCGTTGCCTACACTCGTATATATACATTCATGCATACACACATACATACATACATACATATACTATATTCTATTATAATATATATAAACGCATGTGTGCACGTGGCATTAAACGGTTCATATACGATTAAGAAATCTATGATAAACGTGCTCATATTGTATTTAAGTATTTATACATTTAGCGCTAAATCTTGGCATGTAAAACATAAATTTTTTTCATATTATATATACAATATGTATTTTATCATATATATTATATATATTTTTCATGTTATATAATTATGATATATATAATTGTATAATATATTTTTATTATATATATATATTTTTATATTATATATATATATATATATATGATTATTATATATATAATTGTTATACGCATAATAAATATATAATAAAAGTATAAAACTTATATATAACATTATATACATTATATATTACAAATAAAAATTACGTAAATATTATATTAATTAATAAATCGATATAATCAAGTTATTGTTGGCTGCCAGTGTAAATTTATATTATGTAAATAAAATCCAAGTCACATTTAGCGCTACATGTAATGTTACACAGAAGAAAGCGAATTGGTAAAGTACGTGTAATGCAAAATGAAGAAAAAAAATTGAGAATCCTATTGTAGATCGTACATAAACGGTTTAATGCGAGGCGAAGTATCTAACCGCGCTTTACATTTAATTTTTACATTCCTATCATTAGAAGGGGTTTCTCTCGCGATAGAGAGTTCCGTCGAAGCCGGAATCAAGCTCTCGGGTCCTCGCCGCGGCTATCTTAGATTGTGACGTTAGAGGCGAGAAACGCTGAAAATTCTTAGATATCGGTTTTAATTATTAGATATTTTTTTACTTCAAAATGGCATCTAAGAATTTTATAGCTTGCATTTTCTCTGACGTCACGATCTAACATGGACGATGAGAAGTCAGGAGCCTTAAAAAAATTTCAAGATACACAGTATACTATTTCTACTACTGCTGCGTGATTCTAAAGACCGGTCCGATCCTGAGGAAAAACCTACGCAGCACCGATCTGAGCTCGGGCTTGAGATCGAAGCACATGACCTCGCAGAGGAGGGATAGCAGGTGGAGGCGTGAACCGCAAAGCGGTGGTCGCTCATTTTCAGGATCCGCGTGAGCAGTAGCAGCAGGATCGGCGTCCAGGCCTCGCGATGAGCCTCGTTCGCGAGCGAGAGGAAGTATTCGAGGGCCTCGCACGCCACCTCGACCAGACGCGCCTCGACCCTGGGCCAGTCCGCGCGATGCGCCTCGTCGCTGTACATCTTGAAGAGAATGCGTAGCGCGCAAGCAAGCGACTGAGTCTCCTGCTTCAGCAGATTCGGCTTTACATTGCCGCGAAAGCTCGCTTTCCATAGCACGTTGCGCTGCTCGTGATTCGAGTTGAAGTTCTTCGCGAAACGGTGCGAGCGCAGCAGACACTCCACCAGTTGCAGCAGATGATTGGTCGTCAGGGCGCAGTACATGCCCTGTTCCTCTTTCTGCTGATCGGCGCTGGCTCTGGAGAAACAATGCTGATCAGTGCTCAATATATACAAAATATATATATATATATGTATATACAGGGTGGCCTCGAACGTTCCAGCAAGACTTTGATATTTTATAGGAAATTTAATTCTGAACAAAAAATTTCCTATAAACATGGATCGAAAAATGCTTTCTTAAGAAGTTATCGCTCAAAAATATCTGATAGAAAAAGAACATAAGGTGAAAAAAAAATGATATTTAAAAGTAAGAGCAAATAGTAAAAAGAAAATGAGACTTAATAAATTTCTTGAAAAAAAAACGATATAACAATGAAAATATATATAATAAAAAAAAATATATATATACATATATAAATTTTTCCAAATACGATAATTTTTCGCGGAGATACGTTTATTTAAATTTATGCGAAATGATATTAATTGCGTGTTGCGATAATTTTTTTGACCAGTATATATATATACTAGTCCCATTTTAATCGATCGAAAAAACGTAATGACCTTGAAATAACCTTGAATAAAAAAAAAACAAATGAAAAAACAATGCTGCTCAGTGATCAATATACAATACAAGGTGTCCAATTTTAATTGATCAAAGAAACATAAATAACCTTTAAATGACCTTAAAAAGCGCCTTTTAGAAAAAATCTGTAACACTATCTTTTGTCCTCTTCCAAATAAAAAAAACTTTACTTTGAAACATTTTGTTGTATAATTAAAAAATGAAAACAGTTTTTAAGGGTGATCAATTAAAATGGCACATCCTGTATATACCGATGCCCAACGGCAGATTCTTTAATTAGATCTTGAAGTCTTGACAACTGGAAAATATCTTTCAATTGTTTTGTAACTCTATGTATGCAATAAAACACTTACTTTACAAGCTCCGACGATTTGCCGTTTAGCATGTCGGCCTGTGCGAGCGCGAGATTCTCCTGATCCTCTTTGCGCGAGGTCGCCGGATAGAAGACGATGTTGTCGATGGTCTGTATCAGCTCGAGCTGGACCACGCACTTGATCTGCAACGCAGAGAAGAGCTTCGCCTTTGGTAGGGACTCGGTATTCAGACTCTGCGCGCTGTTGCTCCGCTTCAGGATGCCAATATGAAGACCGTCAGACTCGCCGGTGATCACGTCAAGGTCGGACTCCTTGTTAAGCGACTGCGGTTTCCACGTGAGTAGAGCGGACGGCAGGGTGCTCTCGAAAATGTCCAGAACGCATTGGCAAGTCTTCTCCCAGGTCTGCTCATCGAACTTGATACCGTTGCTGATGACCAAATTTTCCAGACAATTCGTGCCCGACCGAGCCAGTTGCTCGTTGTCCTGTTGTACACACCAGAGCAGCTGAAAGTACAGCTGTTCCAGCAACAGGGGACCCAGAATATCGTAAAATTGCGAGAAAACGTCCACAATGGCGTATAGCGCGTGGTTACACGTCGTCGTCATCCACTCAGCTTTCTGCAACAATAAGATTTTATTTTTCTCGTTGCCGAAGCTCCTGCATCTCTAAAGATATCCTACAAACCTCGGTATGTTGCTCGGGCAATTTCATATTGTCGAAAATTCTGAAGAGAACCTGGAAGAGATCCTTCCACCAATGAGGCTTGAAAGACGCGCCGTGAGTTTTGACGACGTCGAAGAGCACCGTCAACGCGCGCGTCCTGACGTCTAGCTTGCATCTGCTTACCACGCAGGATAATTCAAACAGTAGCGGAAACCATCCTCTCACCTAAGAGAAGAAAAGAAAACAAAAATAGAGACAAAAAACATAAATGACCTTCAAATAGCCTTGAATGAAAAAACATAAATAAAGAAACAATGCTGATAAAAAATGTATTAACGTCGAGCGATTTGGATGCGAAACATGTAATTACCCAGGCTCGATCTTCCTCGGAGACCATCCCGCTGTCGTCCATCATACCTTCGGCAAATAGATTAGGATTCGCGTCAATATAGGACGCGCAGGAACGTATTAACCGTATAGCTTCCATACTGGTGTCCGGAAAAGACGCGTTGCACGCGAACTCGCTCAAACACTTGACAGCGTCCTGGAAGGAATCCACCATGATGCTGAAGTCCTCCGCGTACAGCTCATCTATAAATGGTAACAATTCGAATTATAAAACAGGGAGATATTACACTTTCCAGAAGATATAAGAATCTAACTCACTGATGATTTTGCCCGTCATGGAGAAAGCCAGCTCGACGACGGACTCGTCGCGATCGCTGGCCGCGTGATGAAAAACGCTAAAGATGTTCTTCCAACCAGATCTGATGTTGGGTGCCTGCGAGTGGACAATCTGAGCCACGCATCTGACGACCATGTCTCTGATCACGGGTGATCTGTGATAATTGGATTAAATTTATTAATTACATCGCAATAAATTTATTTTAATATTAAGGAGAGAGGACCAACGTTAAGTTACCTATTCTTTTTCATAATGTGTTCGAACGGCCTGAGAAAGTCCTTTTGGAACCTGAAATTGGCGAACTCGCCCTTCTCAATGAACTTGGTAGCTAGCTGCCTCAGAGAATCCACGGCAAAGAACGCGATATCTTGCCGAGGACTGCAGCCCACCCTGTCGAAATGATCGCCGAGGACCTGCCAGATCCTGGACCACTGCAGCCTGATACGACCCATGTTGTAGTACGAGATCTCGACGATCTTCGTGAGGGAGAACATGCGAGGTTGCGTGGGATGCGCCAGCTCCTCGAGAGAGACCTACAATAACGCGAGAAAATATTTATTACTCAATTTCACACTTCACCAGGTATTAAGTTAAGACAGACCTGGCAGAGAGCCTTGACGAATTCGACGATGGCGTCGCCGTCGAGTCTCGTCGAGCCGGTGAATATACGATCCACGGCCACGACAACACTTTGCGAGCTGGTCTCGCCGATGGATTCCTTTACGCTGGGGTCCAGCGAGCTCAGGTTGAGATTACTGGTCTGGTGCGAGCCGGCGGAATGCGCGAGACTGCCGAAGTTCGCCAGGGGCGAGGGAAAGTGCGGCTTGGACGGCGGACCCAGCAGCTGGGGCCGCACTCCGGTGCCGATCAGCTGCGCCAGTTCCAACTGGGAGATGCACTTGACGACGTCGAGCCACGAACTACCCAGGTAGTTGCCGTCGGTGTGCGCCACCGTGATCAGGGTCTTGATAGTGTCGATATTTTTCGCCTTCATCTCGGTGATAGGCGAGTTGGCCGTCAGCAGGGTGAATCTAGCCAGTGCCTGTACGTAAGCGTCGCGTTCAAGGCTCATGTGAAAGATGCAGGCGATGCGGATGGCGCACCTGCAGGAGGAGTATTAAATGTGTAAGAGATGTAAGACAATGTAAATCGTCAATCTCAAAGTGTTCACCAACCTGATGCCGTCCAGGCAGAGCGACGCGATCTCTGTGTCGTCGCAGTCCTGCAGGCCGACGCTGAAGGCCGCGAGAAACGGCGTCCAGGCCATTTTGAACATCGGCCGCACGTGCTCGAGATGCTTCGCCGTGGTAAACGGCGCCTGGACATGACTGACGGACTCCATCAGGTTCTTCGCTGCCGTAGAGATCACCTCCATCTCCATGTTCCACAGCAATCGGCGTTTCTTCTCGCTGGAGATCAGCTGCTTACCAGCGAGTCGACTGTTGTTGGGGTTCGACTTCATCTTGATCTCGTTACCGGCAATCTCGTCGTAGATCCTGGAGAGGTACTCCTCGGGGAGGTCCTCGTTGTCGCTGATACGTCGGTTAAGCCTGACGAAGACAGAGACTTCCCTCAATTTATGCTCGGATTGACAGAATTTCTGATCGAAAAATGTGGTATCGTACCTGATGTACTGTTCTTTGGTCATTTTATTCTTAACCTGCGGCGAGTGCAGATCAGTAGTCAGCATTATGATTGAGAAACCGAGGACGTAAGCTGTGTCCGCGCTGGTGAAGAGGCCGTTGTTGGGATTGCATTCGCAATACCGACTGGCAAACTTCTCCATCAGTCGATCGATCTTCTGCGCTTCGCCGGGTAGTCGAAAGCCTTCCAGAAAGTATCGCAAAGCGGTTACCAGGTCGCGCTCGGCAAAGTTCATCTGATCAATGTAGTGGTACATCACCTGTATGCGCGAAGTAGTTTAGCTTCTGTTACATCAACCAGGACGACGTCATTTATGTTTTTTCGATTCAAGGTCATTTGAAGGTCATCCTTATATGTATACTCTATTACCTGATTGTGATTGTGGTCGCCCAGAAAGTCGCCGATGGCAGTCTTGTCGAGTCGCTCGTCCAGATGCAGCCACCTAGCTACGTCCTCGGGCGAGGTTCCAAGTAAACCTTGCTCCTGCAAATACTGCACACCCTTGCCTGGTTTCCGGCTGAAGATCTCGATGCCGGTCTCCCATACTTCCTTCTGCTGCTTCTGCACCTCGTATTGCTCCGGCGAGTCCGGCACCTCTTTGTTACCTCCGGTTAGGCTGGAGTTGGCGGACGAGAGACTGCCGGCGCTTCCGTAGCGTGGCAGCGGGATTTCCGGCGCTGGTTCCGGTGGATCCGAGAGGGGCTGTTGGTCCGCCGGCACACTCGGATTCACGTACAGGTCCCGGCTCCATTCTACCATGCACTTCAGGATGGACACGAGACACTCGAGGCCGCGAATTCGCATGGACTTCTCCTAGAATAATAAAACGTTCCAGATAGCAAGCATACGTTATTTTGACGTCATTGAATGTCAGTTTGGAACGATCTCTCTCATGGAAGAAGAAAAAGAGAAAATATAAGAAAAAGGTCAATTATTTAAAAAAGAAAACAAATAATCTCAGGTAGCAAACTGACGTCATTCGACATCAAAATTACATCAGTTTGATGTTAAAATTACGTCAATTTGATGTTTAATAATTAAAGAAGAAAAAGAGAGAAAATATAGGAAAATAAAGATTATTAGAAGAAATAATCAAGTAGCAAACTGAAGTTTGTCATCTTGACATTTAATGACGTCAGTTTGTTACTTGCCCAAGGAACACACTGAAATCAAGAAAAAGTCAAAATGATTTTATTTTGATTCAAAATAGTCATGATTTTTCATGTGACGAAAATTTGATTTATCATGATATCATCACATATCCCAAGGAGAACAGAAGGTCAAAATGATGTCAATTTGACGTCATATTGACTAAATATTGACCAAAAATGACATAAATTTAGTCAACATGACATCAAATTGACATCATTTTGACTTTTCTGTTCTCCTTGGGTTGGATCAAAGAAGAGGAAAAATAACCCAAGTAGAACAGAAAATCAAAATAACGTCAATTTGACATCATCTTGATCAAATTTGAACTCCAAATTTGATCAATGACGTCAAAATGATATTATTTTGATTTTCTGTTCTACTTGGGAAATCCAATAAACAGTACACTGATGTCATTTTGACGTCCAATGACGTCAGTTTGACGATTAAATCGTCAAAATGTCAGTTTGACATTTAATGACGTCAGTTTGCTACTTGGGATTATTTCTGCTCTTTTTTGAATAATCAAGTTTTCTCCTATATTTTGTCTCTTCCATCATCGCTCTCAACGCACCTGATTCGGCGACGCGCCGAGCTCCAGGGCCTGGCGACCCTGGGCGATCTTGGAGAGATCATTGACGAGTCGTTCGAAGAGATTCGCGGCGGAGAGGTCACAATCATAGTTGACGTAGATGTCGACGACGCTCTGGGCGTCCGCGCAGATCCTCGTTAGCGCGTGTATAACCATCCACTTGTGCTCGAAGGAGCTGCTGGAGGTCTCGAGGATGTTCATAAAGATTTCCTTGAAGAACACCTCGATCTGCATCTTGAGATGCACCTTAAAGCGCGCGAGGAGCGCCAGGAACAGTGCTAACGAGAGCTCGAACACCTCCGGCACCGAGGACACGCCGTTCTTCGACAGCGCGACGCACAGATACTGCTTGATAGCGATGACGAACATCTCGTTGGAGCGCAGCACTGGGCCGGCGTTCTGCAGGATCCCCAGGAGTAGCTGCAGCGACAGGATCTTGGAGCGAAGCTCGTGCGACCTAGGGTCGGGAGTGCCATCCGGCAGCGGCTTCATCGATAGCTTGCAGAGGGCGCGAAACACCAGGAACGCGTCCTTCTGCAGCACGTGGGTGAACTTGGCGGTGACCATGTTGTCGTTCTCGGCGGTCACCTCGTCGCCGTTGTCCTCCGCGCCGCCGTTCTCCAGGTTGACCTCCTCTTCCAGCGGCACCACGGAGTTCACCACATCATCGAGGATGCCCTTGACGATTGTTCGGGGGTCCACGGCGTCGGAGACGCTCTCCGCGTTCGCCTCGGCCTCGATATCGCCGTTCGCCACGACGGCGGCTTCCTGTTGCTGATGCTCCCCGTCGAGCTTCACGCTCTCCTCCTCGGCCTGAGTCTCCATCCGCGCGAAGATCACATTGATCATTTGCGTGAGGGTCGCGCGAGCGGTGGTCTGGTTCACCAGGTTGCGGGACGCCAGGTAGACGTTGTAAACAGTACGGATCGTCAATAATACCGTGCCCTCGTGCACCTCCACGTGCTGGCTTGTCATCACGGTCAGTAAAGCCTTGATGATTTGCAGCTGCACGCCCTCGTCGGTCTGCGGACCGGTGAAGCAGCCGCAGATCGTCTCGACTATTCGCACGATCAGCAACTTGCTCGGCTCCGTCGAGTCGGGCACGTTGCCGGTGAGATGGCCGTACGCGATCAGCTTCTGCAGACAGTCCAGGGCGGTCACTACGATCCTCGGCGACTTGCTCTGACATGCCAGCTCGAATGGTAAAAAGTACTTCTCCGCAGTGATGACATTTGAGTCGCTTTTAGGTTGCGGAAGGGCATTTGAGGTCACCTCCTCCCCCTGCCCAACTGGTACGTCCTTGATCTCGTTACGGAGATCCTCTGCAAGATGCAATATAATATAGTATAATATTGTATCTAATATATATATATATATATATATATATATATACATATATAAAATATAATATACATTACATATATAATATATAATAAATATTAGAATATAATATTAGAATACAATAACATCGCGTTTGGTTCTATTGGCCGATATATATATATATATATATATAAATGAATATAAATAATGAATAATGAATAATGAATATAAATATAAATAAATGAATAAAATGCAATTGCTTGAAGATACACTTGACAGCTCCTTAAAAACATGCAGTTCTCACCAAGGGCAGACTCGCAGGACTTCCTGAGCTGCGAGAGATGCGACCTCTTGACATCTCGATCAGCCAATATCTTCTCCAAAGCTCGGACAATGAACATCTCTCTGGTTTTAGAGTTATTTTGCATCGTCACCACTCCTGGTGGAGGATCTACAGCTGGTTTTAATGCTCGCAGTGTCTCAAAGTGTCAACATCCAAGTAGATCAGCAAACGGCGATGCACGTGACTCTCTTGGACATAAGTCTGGCTGCTCGCCAACATCTTTTACCACCTTCAATCGCAATCCTGTACACGATGACCGCTCACCAGCTGTGAATTAGAAGAAATGTCAGAAAGTTACCTAGTATCAGAGACCAGGTCTGGTCTCTTCTGAATTCCTGAGTTCGGAGTTTATTCTTTTTTTTACTCAAAATTGGAAGGAGAAAGATAAATCCTGAAATGATGTAAGTTCAGTTCAGACTTTGAAGAAAGAGAAAGAACCCGGGTAAGTACGTAAAATCTGGATCAGTTGATACTGAAATTACCCTACCTGAGGAGACGTCAATTTGCGAGTACGAGCAACACACCGGGTTGGAAGTGCGGTTTCCTTGGGAAGTGGTCTAAAACATCTCCGTCATGGACGTCAAAACCGACACTCGCACACGCACACACTCGCTCGCGCAGTTTGTGACAGCCGCCTGAACGTAACCGCGAATGACGATGGCCTCGAAGCTCCTTGAACGTATATACATATGTTCCCGGAGGCCTCCTCTTGCTCACAGCCAACTTCACGCGACAGGCGACAGCGCGTCACCGCAGGCGCCTCAGCGTATTACTCGCATGCGCATGCCCAACGAATTTATAATTATTATTATTTATTACAAATATTATAAATATAATTATTGATATTTATGTGTATATATAAATATATTTATTATGTTATATTTTATTATATTTGTATATATCAATTATTATATCTTATACAAGGTGTCCCTGAATGGTCTATACAAACTTTCAGGATATGTTCCAGGGACCAAAATAAGCAGAAAATGTTTTATAAACATATGGGGTCGAAAATGCTTCTTTCGAGAGTTAAGCGGGGAGCACACACTTTTGCATAGGCGCATAAGCGTAAACATGAGACTCTTGATTAGTCTATAAACGTGTGCATAAGAAATTCAACCAATCAAATTTCTTATGCATATGCTTATGCGCTTATGCAAGAGTGTGTGCTCCCCGCTTTAAGCAATAAACCAATCATATTCGATTGTTATAATTTTCGTTTTTAAGTCTAATAATAAACCAACAAACGCTAAAATTAGACCAACAATCATCTATAAACGATTACGCATCGATTAGACTGTTTTTTAATTATAAATGAGATTTTTCCGGCTAACTTAAGGCTAATTTTTCTTCTTTAATTTAAAAAATATATATAAACCAACAAACGTTGCAATTAGGCCAACAATCACCAACAAACGACCAACAAACGATTAAAAAAATTAAAAAAGTCGAAGACCTCAGTGGTAGTAAACTTACTGCAAACGTTAGTTCTGATTGGCTTCTGCTTTTCTGCCAAGGTGTGAATCTTCCCTAAGTATACACAGTAGCGACAGTGAGCCATCCAACCCGGTATCAAATTTTAGCACATGCGCGAGTTTGTACATCTAACAATATGGCTGTGCCCAGAATGTCACATCAGGCATAGAATGTCTATGACATCAGCAGGCCTATTTTGTAACTCTTTAACGTATGCGTTATAATTATAAAGCATGATTTACTAGAAAGTGTACAATTTCATTGGTCCAAACCTAGTAAATCATGCGTTATAATTATAACGCAAGCGTTAAAAAATTACAGAATAGCCCTACAGGTAACCTTTAATTCTATAGCTTCATGTTTTTTGTGATTGGAATAATTATTTCAATAAATTCTCTCTGAATTCTTCTTCTTCTTCTTCTTTCTGTTATGGCTGCTTGGGTTTCCACGGAAGAAAAATAGTTCCATACACCATTAATTGTTTAAATATATCAATGAATACGTTTACACGGCACCCTTAAAGGTGCCTACTGATGGACGCGGCAAGTTGCCGCGCGCGGCAGTTCAGAAAGAACTAGATCTAGGGGCTTCTGAATCACTCCTGCGTTGCCGCAAGTGAAGTTGGAATAATCCAACTTCACTTGCGGCAACGCGGGAGTGGTTATTTGTGCACATTTCAAAATAAAATTGAAACGATGGCAGGAGTAAATGTGGAGATTCCAAAGGTTAGTGTATGTTATTATATCCAAATATAATATAAGTTTAATATAAAAAAATATTAAGAAAACAATCGCGAAGGTAATATATATGATTGTGCATAATTCAAGATTGGAGGTTAAGTGTATGTTTTGGTCGTTTCGGAAGAGAAAAACGTACCGTAACATGTGCGTACGAATCTATTTCAATTCTTATAAACATTTATGACTTGGAACCGAACTTTAGAATGACACATCGGGTGATATAATTGATTTTTTTTTTATGGCAGAAAGTATACACATGCGGATTATGCGAAATAATTCTTGGGGACCTTGAGGATGAAGAAACATGGTCCCATGAATGTTTTGCAAATTATTCAGAGATTGTTTTTGATGTGAATAGCTTGTATTTATATCCCAAATGTGGTAAGTAAAATATAAAAGGTGAAAGTGACCGATATAATACTATTTGAGCGAATGTAAAAATTTAAATATCTTGTAGAAGATGGAAGCATTGTGCGCCGAAGTGCGATTAATGGAGCAGAGCAGATTGTAATAGAATCGCCTCTTCCGACACAAGAGCCGTGCCCAGTGGAAAACCTGGAAGAACTTATCATTACAGAAGTGTCGGCACGAGAACTGTTATGGAATCAAAAACTGAGTATAACAAAACGTGACAGGCAAACTGTACAACAACTTTGGAAGCAAGTGGCTAATGCGACGAATGGTACGTATATATATTTGTGTGTGTATGTGAGAGAGAGAGAGAGAGAGAGAGAGAAAGAGAGTAGTTAAAGAAAACTCAATAGAATTAAAGTGATATAACAGTACGATTTTATTATTACAGGCGAATGTTCTGTCGATGAGGTAAAAAAAAAATGGAAGAACTTAAGGGATCGTTACATGAAAATAATCTCTCTTGAAAAGTTGCCAAGTGGATCAGGAAGTAAACCATCTCGCAGAAAGTGGCAACATTACGAATTGTTGTCTTTCTTACGTGACACTTCTTTGGAAAAAGAGTTAGTATTTCACAAAAGCATTCACTGCAATACTAAAAACAGTTAATATTGATATTATTTCATTTTATTGTATTTCAGGACAGTTTCAAATATGATGAGTCGTGAGGAAGACACTAGCAATGATGACACGGAAATCCAAAGTGTGGACGTCGTAGAAGTCAACGGTGCGATTGATGCATCAAAAAGTATTTCGTTCATAAGCTGTACGGGCAAGTAAATAAATTTAAAAACAGAAAGAGAATAATAAGAAGAATATGCAATAATAAAATAAAACTTTTGCAGAGTCTACAATGTAGTCGTTATGACAATACGACGCTGCAACGGACCAATCAGAGAAAAAAAATCATATATTCTCTTCTTTGATTGATCCGTCACAGCGTCGTAACATTGTAACGACTGCATCGTAGACCCCGCATTATATTCAAAATTCCACATTAATTATCAACCGACACACATATATATATATTGTAGGAAAATTGTACAAATTGAATATCTCACTTGTTAGTACTATTACAGCTAGCTACATCAATTTTGTCCAATAATACAAAATGTATTATTATGTAAAAGTCATTCTTTCATTTTCAGGAATGAAAAGAAAACGAAAAAGTACTGAGCGCGAAGAAGACTTGATGAAGCAGATAGCAGAGGCCTTGCAGACTCCACGACCACCTTTGCCAACTCCTCCTGTTCTTGACGAAGTTGACAATTTTACTTCGATGATTGCCTGCCAGCTACGAGAGTTGTCATCAGTCCGCAGACGCGCAATAATGTTGAAAATTCACGAGCTCTTACGTGCTGAATTATTGCGTAACGACAATTCGGCAACAACAATAATATAACGTAAAATATAATAATATGAATAATATATGTATACGTATAGTAATAAAACGAGACTGATTTTGTTAGTGCAATAAAGCCGAAGCGTATTTATTCAAATAGTTATTACTCAACTGGACCGGGATACCAAGAAACATTAAAGTTATGATTATCTGGGAAAGTAGGAAAAAGAAGTTTTAAAGAATTAGTTTGCATGATTAAAAGGTGTGATTTATTTCCTTTGCATGTGTAGTATACAAATAATGATTATATCTGTGATGTCTAGTATAATATTATAAATAAAACGAAATAATATGCTAATGTATCATTTATCATTTTGCCATGCTACTGAGCCTTCATTATTAAAATATTTACAAAATTCATCTCTAATGAGCATGGCACCCCGAGTACTTGTATTTGTACTACATTTGGAGATGTCCACAAATGCACAACCATCTTCCATAATCGTCCTCCACGAACCTCGTATGTGATCACCCACAGCCGTTTCTTTATCCAACATACCTGGTGGAATATAATTGTTCTTCTCGATATCACTCTTGCGGAGCCAGTTATGAATGCAGATTGTACCTTGTACGATCTTCATAGCAGTTTCCACACTACTAATGATCGGTTTTCGATAAACTCGCCATTGGCTAGCAAGTATTCCGAAACAATTCTCTATCACTCGTCTGGCTCTACTGAGTCTATAATTGAAGATGTGCTGTTCGGCGGACAAGTTATTTTTGCCAGAGTATGGCCTTAGCAAATATGATTTCAATGGAAAGGCTTCATCCCCGACAATGCAGTAAGGCAAAGACGGGCCTCCTTTGTAAAAACTGTCCGATTTTGGGATATTCATTTGACCTGCATTAAGTTGTTGACCGAATCGGCTTTCACGAAAAATGCCTCCATCACTTCGCCTGCCATACGCACCAATATCGACGAACCGGAAAATATAATTGGCATCACAAATAGCTAATAGCACAATGCTATGACTGTTTTTATAGTTGTAGAAATTGGAGCCAGCATTATCCGGACACTGAAATTACACAAAGATTATTATATATTTTTCACATACTGCAAGAAAATTGGAGTCTGCTCGTATTGTTTTTTCTATTTATTTCCCGATAGTTTTTAATATTTGAATAATGCCTGAAAAGAATTATAATACAAGTATTACTTACTTGAATGGTTACATGCTTTCCATCGATTGCTCCAATGCAATGTGGAAAGTCCCATATATCTTCAAAATCTTCTGCGATGCTCCGCCAGTCATCTTCGAATAACTGAGGTGGAAGAACCAAAGGACACAAATGTTCCCAAATAATCTTGCATGTTGTAGCAATAATATTGCTTACAGTCGTCAAGCCTACTAAATATTGATATGTCATTGAAGACATGGAATCACCAGCTGCCAGAAATCTGAAACGTAATGCAAATTGATGTAATGCAACATTTACATTCATATAACTAAAATAAAAACAAAAGATGTTTACCGTAATGTCAACGTCAATCGTTCTGCTGCACTTATCGGCTCTCGCACGACGTATTGTTTCTCTAGATGCGGGCCTACAATGGCTAACAACTCTTCGTATTGCGTGGTTGACATCCGAAAATAATTATGGAACCGCAGATCTTCCAATTTAAGTGTTGGCAGCAAGGCATGGTAAAAACCATGCTCACAGCGTTTTTTAAAAATTGGAGCAACCCAGAAACGCTTCTTTTTGTTGATCCGTCTGTTTTTTGCAGCTAATAACATAGCTAATGATCCGAGCAACTTGTCACGT